ATAGTGCTGCGTCACTACAGTAGCACGAACCCCAGCAGGCCGGCGCTGCCGCAGAAATCGCGACGGCCAAGGGGTGGCGAACTTACTGTAGTCTGTGACTAGATCGACGTCGGTCGACTCGGTCGGAGCATACCGGTGCGGTGCTAAACTGTTATGAGTGTAGGGCTCTTTCCGTGGCGTCTATACTACCGGTAAGATTATTATCCTTAGTGAGTAACCGCTGAAATGAGGTTCAATTCCCTCCTCCCCCAAGGTTTATTGTTACTGACTCTTGCCTTATCCCTGCCATCGACAATCTAGCCGTAGACCACACTACACGCAACCCGTGATATTGCTGGTCAATCTCCCTTCCGTTGGTCTGGTCGGGCTGGTAGGCGAAGACGCGGATCCTGCCTCCCGCGCCTAGACCAGGGCGGGATCGGAAGGCACAAAGCGAAAAGAAGTACTTGGAAAGTGTACACGCGTTCGAGACGCTTTCTTCATGACACGTTGACAGCCGCAAGGGAGGTGCCCAGACAGACGTTTACGAGTACATCGAATGGCGAAGCGAGATCCTGAGGATGATAATCGTCGCCGAGAACTATGCAAGGAAGTTTGATGCGTGATAAAAAAAGTATTATCCGAACACCTGGCCCTTTCTTTTCCTTCTTCCCACTCAACGGTTTAAAAGTCTAATTTACTGTTTTACCTACCAAGGAAATTACTTAGTACAGTTTCGGTATTTGCTCTGGAAAATCCAGATCTGATCGAAATCGCGCCAATAATCAGGCTTGGTTGCGGCCTTTTTTTTTTTTTTTTTTTTTCCCAATCATGGTGTTCGGCAGATGGAAAGGGAAATTGGCTGGACGTTGGTAGTAGGTATACTTAGTATATGGAGTAGTGTACTCCTCTCCCCGTAGGCAAGAAATTTAGCTCCGCCGCCGCATTCTGATGGCGTCCGTCCGTCATTATTGCGGCTGGGGGGGGGGGGGGGGATTTGATTGTGTGAGGGAGTCTCTGACGGGCGAGATGACGGGCGAGGTCGTATGATAGTATCCTACTTACTTACCTTTGTGAACCTTTCATTATTGTGAGTAAGTTGCTTGCTGGAACTGTAGGACCGTCCGGCCGACAAGCCTGATAGTCCACCAAATAAGGATTGGAGAAGTTGAGTTGGAGGTTAAGTTGTTGTTGGTTCGAATGGGTAATTGCATGCGATAGTGGTCCGTGAACTTACAAACAGCAACAAGTTACAACATCAATTCTCCTCCGGTGTGTGTTTTGGCCTGGTATCTCAGGCTGCAATGCATTATATCATTTCCGTAAGCAAAACTCTTCCACTGGGAATCTTTCCCGATCTTCCCAGGTTCACAGCAAACCTTGTCCGGTCTGACCCTTTTTTTTTCTTCTTTTTCCTCTTTTTGCAACATAGATTCAATCTGGTAAAATCTCCGTACTATCAATTTCTCCCCTCCAATCCCTCCTCCCTCCGTCACCCTACGACATAGTCAGAACTGACGGTGCAGATCTGATCGTCAAACTTGAGACAAACACGCCTCCGGAGGGGCATCTCCCCTCCCCCCAAAGTTCAAACCGTTAAAGGGAGCCGCCCATCGCGAGGCAGGTCCTGAACAACAAGCTCGAATGCAGCTTACCCTAGAATCGGTAGTCTCTCCGACTTCCCGGAGAGATTATTTCGTCCGAAATGAATCAATTCACCACCTTCATTCATAGAGAACCATAAGAATTCCCCCCCAAAATGGATAACTAAAACCACAACCCAAAAAAATCACCGATAAGGAAATCAGTTAGAGCCGCCACATTCCACAAACCGCCCGAGCAGTCTGGGAGAGACCCTCTTTTTGCGTCCGTTTGCCGGGTGCGCCGGAGTCCACTTGGTATCGAGAACCCCACGAATAACAGTTCAACGATCCTCGATAGCTACAGGGTGTGATCAGAGACAAAGTGCTCTGTGCCCTCTGCCCTGGGGAATCCTTGGCTCCTGTCTCGCCGAAATCCTTCCTCGTCTTCTAGATTACTGCTGGAGGGATTTTGATGCATCCCTCTCTCTGATCCTTGTTCGCTCTGGCTCGCTCCGTTTTAACCGGCATGACGGAAAGGCATGCTTGCGACGAGCCCCTGCTGCTCCACTTTACGGAAAATCCGACCACCATCCCGGCCCTTGCTAAGCAGAGACGATAAGCTGGTGGAACCGCGGTGGTTCCCTCCCTAAATGTTGATTAATCAGCCTTTGGAGAATTCGTCCGAGTTTGAACAACAGCCCGGCCGAAACTGTGGTCGGCATGGTAGAGTGGAAGGTCGTTTCGTACGGGGATTTGCCCATTTTGATGCTTGCCTGGCTTTCGCGGTTCGAGGTGTGTTGTTCCTTCTCTCATTTTTTATTACAATTTTTTTTTCTTTTTTTTTTATTCTATATCGATCTCTTGTTTCCGTTCTTTGCCTGCTTGCTTGCCCCTTGCAAACTTTAGACAGGAGCATGATATGCAAGCATTATTGCTTTGATCAGCGCGCTTCGATCCTCTTGTGTTGGTTCCGTGTTGCTCCGGCTCGCAATTAATGGATTTGATTAACTTGCTGCCAGAGAAAGATCGCAAGCTTGCAGAGGGATATCCTCATCTATGAGGCAGAAGGAGCAAAGAAAAGAACCCTCGGTTGGAGCCAGAGCCTAGTTAGAGGCTCAGAGCAAATGATAGATAGACAAAGATGGTCATCGCTCGGACGGCACCCACCGGCCGATCTCAGTAGTCATTGAATGCAGAATTACATGCTATTGCGCTACGGTAAGTCATGGAGGACGCATTGTCCAGACCAAGCCAAACAAGGTTATCACCAACTGCCGTCCCGAAAAAAAAAAGTTAGAAGATGGTGCTTTGCTACTCGAGCCGCCGCAACCATGACTAACGAAAAGCAGTGCAGACCTGGATCTTTTCCGAGAGGATCCCCTTGCGGGGCGCCGGTAGGGAAACCTAATTATCATCACCCAGCCCGACAGGGTAAAAACAAGAGAGCGCGCGCTGCGACAAGCCCTAAAGGCAATACAGAACAAGAAGGGACCCCGGGGAGAGAGGGACCTCGAGAGGGGCGCTGACGATATCTGATACCCAGTTGGACAAAAGTCTAAATCTAATTCTCCCCTCCCCATCTCCGTGGCATGATTCGATCGGGATCAAAGGGTCGATGCTCGTGCCTGTCTTCGTAGCTAGAGTTCGGATACCTTGGGTCCCTCTCCTCCATCTCCGGTCCAGGCTCCTCCCCCCGTTTGAGTATATCCAGTGTCCCATCAGCGTCCGTGTAGCCGCGGATCACCCAATGATTCAGGTGTCATGGTGGAGCAAGAGCGAAGTTCAGCCGAAGACGGAGCTTCACTAAATGCTGAAAAGCAGACCAGACATTGAAGTGAGACAGTGGGAAAGTAGAGACGAATGGAGAGAGTTAGTGAGCAAGAAAGAGGGCTCCCAAAGTATGGTTGGACGCCAAACTAAGTTGACCGGTACGGGTGAACCCCGTAGTACCTTTCGGTACTCATCAGTCTGTCATAGGGTAGGCCTTCAAGTCAATCAGCCAGGCATAATAATAGTATATGCCCCTGTCGAAACCGTAATTGCCGGTGTGAATTCTGCCTGGATCAGTCATAAGTTGCCATCAGTGTACAAGGGTAATCAATCAATCAAGAGCAGTTTGTCCAGGTGGGCTTAGGGGGTTTAGGAAGGTGAAGATCCAACTGCCTACAACCAGGAAGAAGGGACCTTCGACCATATCCCCCATATTATTCCTACCACATCCTCCTCTTTTCCTCTCTCACCTTATCCCTCTCTTCTTTTTCCTCCTCCCTCTCATCTGGCCTTCCATGGTGGTGCACGTGTGTGTGTGCATGAGTGAGTGAGTGAGTGAGTGAGTGAGTGTATCTGTGTATCTGTGTGTGTACGGCCCATTCATAATTCTATGCCTTTGTGTGGGCATTGAAGGCGGCTGCTTCTCCAATCGTTCTTTCTTTACCTCCAGCCTACTGAATTGTGCCTGAACGGTGCTCAGGTGTATGTACAGTACATCACCGCCCACCTTCTCCGCTCTTTCTCGATAATCGATCTAGTCAAGGGATCGGGTTTCATCCGTGGCCCTGTTCCAAGAGGCACTGCCGCAATATAGCACCTCAGCCCCTCTACTTCGGGCCTGATTTGATTCGTTAGTGGCAGTAACCTCCCGGCCGACATTCAGCCCATTTGACACTTGTGTGCCCTTTTGACGTCTTACGTCTTGGACGGGCTGACTTCCTGCTTTTCGAAAAAGACTGGTAATTCGAGAAGCGCACAACTAAGCCTTTTCGTGGAAACCCCGTTACTCTTACACTTTTTTCTCTCTATCTCTTCTGTTAATTGTTGATTTCCGTTGGAGTGGTGAGTTGTGTTGTGTATTGTTGTTGTTGTTGTTGTTGATCTCGAGAATCCATCAATCAATTGAGTGAGTGATTGATTGATTGTCCCACCGAGGCACGGAGACCACCTGGTCTCGACAAACGAAACGGCCTGCCTTCCTCTTCGGTCCGTCCGTCGTGGGCGTTCGATGCGTGTTTCGCCGTCCATCTGCAACCGCACGCTGTTTCGCCCCCAACTCCCTTCCTTTGCCATCATCTCTCGGCGATCTTCTTGATTCTGCTATTCTTGGACGCAGACCTACATCCCAGTGCCCTGTCCGTCCGCTTCCACCTGTAATTCGACGAGCCCTTCCAGACCTGCTATCACGAGTGGCACTTTTGACGATCTCTTCAGCGACAGCCATCTAGACCTCCCGCTGCAACCCTGGAATGGAGAGTTCTCACCTACTGACAGTGCTTCAATGGTCGTCTACAACATGACCATTGGTCTTTAACTGCTATTCCCCCCTGATTCCGTCATCCCGCAGTGAATGGAAGCAGCCAAGTGAGCGCGCGTGGCGCGGACTTGGTCCTTCTGTTGCGAAAATTCCTGCTATTCCATCCGAATAGTGCTCAGGTTCTGCAACCAGGAAGGCGTTCAGTCTTCATCTTACTACTAGTGGTGTTTGATATCCTTAATCTCAATCAGTGTGCTTACTATCTTATCCCACGCCTCTCACGTATACGGCTATTGTTCGACTACCCCACCTGTGCCTGCCAGTCTAGCACGTCTACGGTCCGGGTGCACGTGTGAGTCAACAAAGCTTCGATTCCCACAATATTGGAGACGGAGATAACTAAATGACTTCGTGATCTGGCAGGTTGCCTTGATCGCGTCTCTGGGCAGTTCGGCAAAGCCGAACAACAATCACTCGGCTGAGCAGCCCGGATTTTGCTGAGTACGATTATCGACATATACACGCTCCGGAGAACTTCCTGCCAGAAGGAGTTTCCCGGTCTCGTGGTCTCAGTATAAGCCATCAAAGTCTATCTCGTACGAAATCAGACCGCCAACACCATGTCGGACCATCCGACAGGACCCTTTGGGAGTATGTCGCTCATAAATAATACTGACCCGGTACATTCAGCTAACGTTCCAGGCTCTGGAGCTCATCCATATCAGCTCCCGCCGCCACGTACGTCGGCACCTTTACAGCTCGGGACAGATCCCTTCCTGCGGCAGCGCAATCAGGCAGAAGGCCGCGAACCTAGCGAGCTAGCCTCTGGTCGCTCAAGTATATCTGGCTCACAGTCGGGGTCGAAGGAGCAGCTTCCTTCAGTGAGTCAGTTATTGACACCAACTGCTCATTCGAGCCGACCATCGTCTCCGTATCATGCCCACCGATTCGGGGTCTACACTCCTCCCACTGGTGGCACTGGCTCCCCGATTCCTCTCCAACACAGCGAACATTTACCGCGACCTAGTATCCATGATAGTCCCCGGGCGTACCCTGAAATGGCCGTCTCGCAGAGTCGGAGCCTGCCGCCACTGTCTCACATTTCGACCAATACTGGATTTGGACGTGAAGGATCCCTACACTCGCTCCATACCAGTCCCGCAGGACCACCCGTTCACGCAGCGTCTTTCTCATATTCTGGCTTTAAGTCCCAGGAAAAGGATCATGCGGGAGATTATTCTCCTTCCGAGGCGAATTCCGACATCACTTCCGCTAATCGAACCCGAGGAAGTAATGTCCGGCCGCACGTTGTGGATGAGAAGTACATTGACGGGGAAGGATTGTGTTATATCTATGCAGACGGGTCACACTGCCCGAAGCTGATCGACGGCGTACCAGTGAATGCTAATTGGGGGATCACAAAAGCCGGCAAACCGAGAAAAAGACTTGCGCAAGCTTGCTTGACCTGCAGGGAGAAGAAAATCAAATGCCAGCCAAACTTGCCCAAATGTGATCAATGCCAGAAGTCTGGGAGAGACTGCAGGTTCGAGAGCGCGTAAGTGGGTCGATAACAGCTATTATGAACTTCCGGCAGATACTGACGGACTGCCAAACCAGACCTCGTGGCCATCGGGCAGCACTAAAAGCTTCACACCTCACGAACAAATACGATTCACAAGAGAGCTACCCTGCGGGCGCTTACAACCATGGCGGTTCCCCTCAACTGTCATACTCTACCATGCGAGCATCAGAGAGCTCGGTATCGCTCCCCGGCACGAATTCGCTATCTCCCAAGTCCGAAGCTTCCATAATTACACCCTCGGCTTTGGATACAACACAGAGTATGATGGATTATGAACAGCAATATCGACCAAAAGCGCATAGCTTTGGCCGCGCTTCCTTGGGAGCCGAAGATACACATATGGGCACAGCCGATGCGACGGCAATCGTGATCCCAGATTATGTGGAAGTGTTGACAGAGATGAAGGACATGAACCCTCAGGATCCACTCGTGAGCGACTGGAATACAGACCCTTACGAGGCTGACCCGGAGCTTACCGTTCACTATGTCGAAAGCTACTTCACCTACGTGAATGATCGGTTGTATTACATCTTTCCGCGAAAACGATTCCTGTTGTGGCTGAGGTCGTGCCATACAAAATCACTGGAAGACAACATGCTTCTCTACGCGATGATGGCTTTAGGATCGGTTTTCTCCGATCGTCCTGACAGGGGGATGGCAATGAGGAAATACGCACGCACGGCTCGATACGCAGTAGAGCATGGTCGACATAGTCTGTCTTTGCAACTTGCCCAAAGCCACATCATCATGAGCATGTGGTATTATGCAGTGGGCGCTCTGGTGAAGTCCTGGGATGCGGCTGGAGCGGCTGTCCGTACGGTGTGTGGGCTCCGGTACAATATCGAATCAGGGGGGGTTATTGTGGATCAAAACCGGGCTTGTGAGTATGGACTGCACCCGCAGGCTTTGATCGAGTGTCGCAGGCGAACATTCTGGGTTGCTTTCATCAAGGACGTGAGTACATGAACCGGACTATCGCGCGTGTTTACTTTGTAGCTAACCAATTCGTGATTCTTAGCGTACAACCTGCATCTATGCCCCGTCGTCCGGTATAATCTCCTCTCAATCCGCCTACCTTAGACTCCCTTGCCGCGAAGAAGTTTTTGAAGCACAGGAGTATACCACGGTGCCCTACTTCCAGAGCTTCCTGAACCAACCTCCTTCTACAAACAATGACCTTTCCGGTATGAGCGCGATGGCACTCCTCATTGAGATAATGTCGCTGTGGGGCGAAGTATCGGATCATGTCCTTCGGTTGTCGCTGGTTCCAACAGATGTATATGGCAAGCACTTCGACGAATTTTATGCGACAGTGGCGCAACGGGCAGAGGAATGGGTCGCGAGGATTCCAGACCACCTGACTTTCACGGCTGTGAATCTGGAGCGGAGCATTCGGACCAAAAAAGCGGACGCATTCATGTCGATACATCTGGTTTATCATGCGACCTTGATGAAGTCAAACAGACATGCTCGCCACCGGAGCATGCGTGTGGAGGCGATCAGCCAGCATATCCATGCAGCCCGGACCCATGCGGCTGATATACTTCGCATGGCCAAGGCTTTGGTTCGCTATGCATCTGAGTATGAACCGACGCGGATTCTCGTGGAACCAAGTTCGGCCAAGGGAGCGATATTGAACCCGTTCCTGGGCTATGTGATCTTGTCTGCGATTGACGTGATTAGTGCAGCTGGCCGCTTGGTCGAGCTGCGAGAATGCATTGCCCTAATCCAGGGTGGGCTCGAGGCAATCAAAGAGCTGACGCGGTTTTGGGGCAGTACCTTGGCGCTGGCGACATTGATACAAGAGCGACTCGATTCGTTGACCGCGTGCTTGGAGAACCCGGCGCAAACCGATGGCAAAGTTGTCTTCTTGACGAATAGCGCATCGTTGGATAGTAAAGTCCGTAATGTGCTGCAGAAGCATTCGCATTATCCGACGGATGAGGATCTCATGTACGGAGGGTTGCCGTATGAAGGGTTGCTTAGTGCTCTTGGCGCTGGCGAGGTCCCTCTTTCGAACAGGGCGATTCTCTGGGTCGGAGACGTTAAAAGCTGATGGTTCTTACTTGGGGGACCATCGAAATTGCATTTCAGAGGCATGTAATACCATAGCAAGGCCGTTTTTTGATTTCGATTTACACATCATATACCCGGGAGGCTTGTTTGGACTTTTGTCTGTTCTGGATCATGGAGGACTGACAGGTGTGGTCCTATCTATTGGACGATTATTACTGTACATACAGAGACATGAGCATTTTAGCCTTGATGAAGCATACGTGCAGTATGAAGCATGAATTTGAGTCTAGTGATAATGTAGATGTAGACATGTGGCCTCTTACACCGCCGAGGTTGTTTTTCCCAACGTCATCGAAGGGAGATCTGCCAGTAAGAATTGCTAGACCTGCAGACCGCAGCACAACAACAACAGTTCTGAGACGGACATACTCGATGCCGCACTCAAGTCACAATAGTGGTTGAAGTGATGATTCTTTGAATTTAACATGGACTTATGAGCGACAGTTGTTTGACCCCGTTCCCGCGACTTGATCAGTTACTTTCCGGTATGTCTCTCCCCGCTCTTTCCGCCCGCCCCTCCGTCCCGGTCCAGAACTGAGCGGACACTGCAGAAGGACAGCCAGCCAGCTTCTTACCCATTCCGGCGCCGGCACATTGATTCCAATTGCGACAACGGGTTTTCTCTTGGGTAGAAAGAGACCCATCCAGCAACAGCTTATTTTATACTTCCGCCGGACACAACCTAATCACTGACCCCTTCACCATTATCACGCTCGATACTTAGGAAGTTCATCAGCAGATCCGCTCTCTCGAAGAAAAAAAGGCGCTTGATCCTCTCTCTACGAACGACAAGAACTTCCTTCTTCGAGCTACAGCTACCACCACAACCACCACAACCACAACCACTATAATAACAACCAACAACTGAACCCGAAACTCGAATAGCAGGAGAGGGAAAAAAAATGCCAGCCCTCGAACCCGACACCTCCCCACCGCCATCGGCGCCGGACTACCAAACCCACACCCACAATTACACTCACGAAGACGAAGAAGAAGACGACTATGAAACCCTCCCCCACCCCAATTACCCAGAGGAATCATCATCATTATCAGAAGAAGAAGACTACTACGCCCTCCTCAACCTCCCCCGCGACCCCCCACCAACCGACACCCAAATCCGCTCCGCCTACCGCACACTCACCCTCTCCTTCCACCCGGACAAACAACCGGCCCATCTAGCCGAGACAGCAAAGCGACACTTCGAACGTATTCGGACGGCGTACGAGACGTTAATCGATGGGCGGAAACGCGTGGTCTATGATCTTTTGGGGGCGGAGGGGGTGCGTGAGGAGTTTGATGGCGTCTCCGCCGCCGGGAATGCGAACGAGCATGGTGGTGGTAGTGGTGGTGAAGGCTCGCGGGGGAAAGAGTGGAGGGTGGGTGTTAAGGTTAAGAGTCCTGAGGAATTTCGGCGGTGGTTTCTTGAGAGGATGAAGAGGAGGGAGCGGAAGGCGGTTAATGCGTTGGTTGAGGGGAAGGTATGTTTATGATTTCCTTCTTTTCATCTCTTTGGGGGTGGGGTTGAAGGTTGCCGGTTTATTGGGCGGTTGGGTTTGGGATGGATGGCGCTGACTGACTGACTCATGCAGGGTACGTTTACTTTGGGGATTGATGCGTCGGATATGATTTCCGTCGATAAAGGCGCTGGGGAGGTTTATTTGCATGTGCCGGACCCCAAGTTGGCGAATTTTGGCGTTGGGTTCTCGTTCAAGGCGCCTTTGCCGACTTGGGGGAATATTTTTGGGGAGGAGGAGGAGGAGGAGGAGGGCGATGGTGACGATGAGGACGAGGCGGAGGAGGGTGGCTCCAGACAAAAAGATCTTGCGTCGCTTGCTGATGGCCCTGAGATGGTCATTAATGCTGGAATCTCGGGCAAGATTCGCCATTTGACCCAGAAATTGGAGATCCGGGTCCAGGATCAGGAGCCGGAGATTAGAGAGGTGTGTTCTGTTGTCAAGTTGTCCCGATGAGCATTCATTCAGTCGTCACTAACCACCGACCAGGTTCCTGTCCCGTTGGTCATCTCGACCAAAGAATTGCAACTGGGACTCGGCGCAAGCCACACCTTTGCGGATCTATCGGGCTCCAAGGGCATCCTGGGAAATCCGTCCTTAAGGTTTCTTCAGTATTCGGCTCTCTCGGTAAATGCCTCCGTGCTGCCCTTCCCCGAGCTCGATGTCAGCTGGGCGAAACCCTTTACCCTTGTCCCCGGCACGAGACCCTTCCAGCTGGAGTTAAACACTGTCTTTCAGCAGCCGGTTTGGACTGCGCCCCCGATGCTGGGGGCCCGGCTGTCCAAGCAGATCGGCGACAAGAAACATGTGTTCGCCAATTGGTCGAGTGGAACGCTCACCTGGCCGCTTGGCTTCCTCCAATTCCTCAATCCCAAATTCGAGGTTCGAGATGCGTTCGAAAATATCCTCTTTATCCCAGGACAACTGAGCCAATTCCAGTTCGGTGTCTTGTCCCGGCCGACGACTAAGTACGTGGCTAGTGTCGACGACGACATTGACGACGGCGAGGCCGAGGAAGACATCGAGTTCGAGAATGTCCGCTCCAAACGCCGCAAGGCCAACAATGCTGCAGAGGCGTGGCAATTAGGTGCCGCCGTTAGTCCGATGATGGGTGGTCTGTCATTCAGCTACTCCCGCAATATCTTCTCCGGAAAGCCGTCCACCGACGCGCCGCTTTCCCAATGGAGCTCCGAGGCTCACTATCATCTACCCCAAGGGAAAGAGCCACGGTCAGTCCGGCTTGCGGTTCAGAGTACGGTTGGGTTCGATCTATCGCTGGGCTGGCATATCGAGGGATCCCGTCGGGTTGGTGGGTTGACACGTATGGGGCTGGGTGTTGGCGTTCAGTCGGCGAATGGACTCGTCATGACCGTCTCTTGGAGCCGCCTGGGCCAGAAGATCAAGTTGCCGATTACCGTCTGTCCTTTCGAAGCGGCCAATGCTGATGCCGCTGCGTTGGCCGTTCTGCTCCCTTGGGTCGCGTACTGCGCGCTAGAGTTTGGATTTATCCGCCCGAGGGAACGCCGGAACCACCGTCGGGTGATCGCTCGACGACAGAAGCAGCTGAAGAAGCTGGTGCCGAAGAAGCGGGAGGAGAGCCAGCAGGCCATCCAGTTGATGATGGATCAGGTGCAACGGCGTCGTGATCGGGAGGCCAGTCACGATGGCCTGGTGATCACCCGGGCCGAATATGGCCACTATCCCAAGAACAACAAGAAGAGGAGTGATGGCAGCGATAGGGAGCCTGAGGTGGCTGATGTCACTGTCCCGGTCATGGCGTTAGTTGACAACGGCCAGTTGGTGATTTCCAAGGACACGGCCAAGGTTAGTATTTCATCTTACCATCTGTATTCCGGCTTCATGCTAATTAATGCTTTCCAGTTCCACATCCTCGGGTTCTACGACCCGGCGCCTCTCCTGCCCAAGACATTGAAGATCTGGTATACGTATCATGGAAAGGAACATTATGTGGAGGCGAGTGACAAAGAGGGCGTTGCCTGCCCGATGCGCTCGCATATGCTGTAAGCTGGGTGGTTCTACCTAGGCTTGGTTTCTTATGCTGTCCTCATACTTCCTTCTCACTCCCTATAATGTATACATGACCCCTTCCTTGTTTGCATCAAATCTCATTCATGCTGCAGATGGTTGAGACCGGGTGTTTTGGTTGCATGGCAGCTTCTCTTTTTGTGTATAATAGATCTGCGAAATGATTCCCCTCTCATATATTCCTCGATATCCTGTTGGCTTGACTGAGATCACTGTACAATAAAGCATATTAGTGAAGTCCTGATGATTCTCTACTTCAGACTATTCCACCACGAGTTTCCCGACCAAGCAGAGACACATTATTTGGTATATAAGAGTAGTCTGAGAGCATACTCGCGGCCTCGAGTCGTCAAAGCGGTGTGAACTCAACTGGCGGGATATCGAAAGCGGGCGCCACCGCCCTGCACCCACGTGACCATCGACGCAATTCCGCCGCCAAACTTGCCAGCCCGAGTTTGAGACGTTGAGATGTGATCAACCTCTGAACCACACACCCATTCATCCTTCGGTGGTCATCATCAACTTATTACCTCCCACGATGACGTCCATAGCGGAGGGACTCTTCAAGTCTCTTCCCAAGCCGAAATACACCGGCGAGGAGGAGGAACTCCCCCAACACGCGCAGCCCCGAGGACCCCGGATCGTGGGCCCCGGCCAACTCGATGAATCCCAGATCGTACTCCGGGTAAGCCACCAGCTTCTTATCCGCCCACCCCCAACCCGATCATGATCCCAACGCACTATTTTCCAACGATGAAGCTAATCTTCTGTCTCCCGTTCGGGTCAACTACAGAGAACCGGACCACCTCCCTACCAAAACCGCGCTGGATGGCGCCCGCGCGCCCCGGAGGACTTCGGCGACGGGGGCGCGTTCCCGGAGATCCTGGTTGCGCAGTACCCGCTGGACATGGGGCGGAAGGGGGCGGCATCGACGTCGAACGCGCTGGCGGTGCAGGTGGACGCGGAAGGGAAAGTGAAATACGACGCGATCGCGCGGCGGGGCCACAGCGATAACCGGGTCGTGCACGCCAGCTTCAAGGACCTGATCCCGCTGCGGCAGCGGGTCGACATGGGCGAGATCTCGCTCGACCGGCCCTCGGAGGAAGAAGTGCAGGCGCAGATGGAGAAGACCAAGAACGCCCTGGCCAGTTTGGTGGAGGGCGCCGTGTCGGCGCAGAAGCCCAAGAACGTGCGCGGGGGCGGGCGCCGCGCCGAGCCGACTTTCGTGCGCTACACGCCCGCGAACAACCAGATGGGCGATGCCTCGCGTGGGAAGAATGATCGGATTATGAAGATCGTTGAGCGTCAGCAGGATCCGATGGAGCCGCCGAAGTTCAAGCATAAGAAGATCCCCCGTGGCCCGCCCTCGCCTCCGCCTCCCATTATGCACTCTCCGCCTCGCAAGTTGACTGCTGAAGATCAGGAGGCTTGGAAGATCCCCCCCCCTGTCTCCAATTGGAAGAATCCCAAGGGTTATACTGTGCCCTTGGATAAGCGCCTCGCTGCTGATGGGCGCGGCTTGCAGGATGTTACGATTAATGATAAGTTTGCTCAGTTTGCTGAGGCGCTGTTTACCGCCGATCGCCATGCTAGGGAGGAGGTGCGCTTGCGCGCCCAGATGCAGCAGAAGTTGGCGGAGAAGGAGAAGGCGCAGAAGGAGGAGCACCTGCGCGCTTTGGCTCAGAAGGCCCGCGAGGAGAGGGCCGCTGCTACCAGCGGTGGTGGTGGTCGTCGCCAGGATTCGCGGTCGCCGCCTTCGCGTAGTGTCAGCCGCAGCCCCTCGAGATATTCTGACCGGTCCCGCACGCCGAGCGACGACGAGAGCGGCGCCCGCGAGCGCGAGCAGCTGCGTCGCGAGCGGAGGCAGGAGGCGGAGCGCCAGCTGCGGCAGTCGCGCATGGGCACGGAGCGCCGCATCCAGATGATGGCGCGCGAGCAGAACCGCGATATTTCGGAGAAGGTCGCGCTGGGCCTGGCCAAGCCGACGCAGTCGTCCGAGGCCATGTACGACTCGCGCCTGTTCAACCAGACGAGCGGAATGAGCTCCGGGTTCAACGAGGACAACCCCTACGACAAGCCGCTGTTCGCCGCGCAGGACGCCATCAACAGCATCTACCGTCCGCGTGCGCAGGTCGATGACGACGACGACGGCGGCGAGGGCGCCGGCGAGGAGATGAGCAAGATCCAGAAGTCGAGCCGGTTCGAGGTTCTGGGACGCGCCAAGGAGGGCTTCAAGGGTGCCGATTTAGCAGAAGTGAGTGTCTTGTTCTTGTTTATGTTTTTTGCCTAGTCACGCTACTAACATCCAGTCCCAGGCTCGTGACGGTCCCGTCCAGTTCGAAAAGGACACGACAGATCCCTTCGGCATCGACAGCATGATCGCCGACGTCACGGGAGGCGGAGGATCATCGGGCCAGAAGCGTTACGGCCTTGAGGAGGTCGATCGCTCCGAGCGAGGATCCAAACGGGCCCGTGTCGATGATGATTGATTATGGAGAGGAGGGTTTGGTCTGGAACTGTATTTGTGATTCCTTAGGTATTTTTTTTCTTTGTCATGCATTGCGGGCGTTGTGATTCACTTTCTCGGGAGCAGTTTCTCTCCGGTGCCATTTAATTCAAATCAAAAGAACAGACAGATATGATGTATATCTCTTCTCGCGATCATACTGTAAAATAGCCGCATACACGTGAAGAACTTCCGGAAGGGCAGAAAAAGCATGACTATACCTTCCCCAATTCCGCCTCTATCTACTATACTACCTATACTACACATATATTCAACAACCAAACTCGATCCCAATATGATATGAATATCGGACCTACACAAGTCCGAAACCCCCTTCCTCCCTTCTTTTCATCCACCATCCAAATTTAGACCAAGATCGGGTGTATCTATCAGTCACCCGACCTACTACCTACCGCATTACACTGCACCAGAACAAGAAAACAGGATTCAGCGAGAACTTGGTTTCTCCTTTGAGTATGTAGACAACCACTGATTAGATAAGGATTACGCTGCAGATACGAATGGATGGACTTTCGTTGATTGTTCAGATGACCTTTCTATCCAAAACAGATTGGGGTTCTTTACTTTGCTGTGGTTATGTGGGGCGCTTCATCTGGGTTACGTAGTATGTAGTATCTAGTGAGTTTAGTTTCTTTGGGTTGGATGCGGAGGACTCGGTAGTGTTCGACTAAGTGTATGTATGTGCATGTGCACGCGATGCGGCGTGGGTCGGATGTATCATGGGGCACTTACTAGTTACATGTACTGTACTTACTGATAAGAGGTACTGTACATACTTAGTTTGGTGTTTCAGTTCGGTGGTCTTGGAGAGGAGTTAGGTGGGTAGATTGTTGATTTGCTATGATTATAATCTCTTTACCTCCGGGATATTGTCTGTATGAAGATGATGTAGGATAGATTAGATGTTCCTAGTGCCACGCGATATGCTGCTTTTGCTTCGGGGGTTTGAATTGGCTCCTTGGTCTTCGGCAAATGGTACTGTACTTTTGCACGGTCTTTGACAAGAGCCCTCAGATGGATCGGACCTACCGTTCGCGGGAGGGGCAGGGAGCTGTGGCTGTGTTTCCCTATAAAGTACCGTCTACCCTATAGCATACCCTTGTCTATTGTATAGCACCAGGCACCCTTGATGCTATGCTTGGTTAGCTATGATCGCTCAGCCACACCGCACCACATCATCATTAGTGGTGGCTGGGATTCTCAGTGGCTTGCGAGGCCAGGCGCATGAACTGCTGTAACTTACCCTCTGTCTCTGTCTCTATCTTGCTTCCATGTCTTATGATTGAGGGCGTGGTGTGGGCGTTCGTATTGCCTTCTCTTAGGACTTGAGATAGGCTGCCGTACATGGGTGTGGCTATGCGGTATACGCTGCGAAAGATAGCGGAAGTTGGTTGACTGCCGTGCATGCATGCATGCATCCCATCCATGCAGATATCAGGCCATTCCTGGTTATGTCGGGTCGATCATCCGTGATTATTTCTTTTAGTGGAGGAGGGAGGTTGTATAAGTTTCTATTGCTACCCGATGGGTGGATGGTTGTCTTGGAGTGTGGTGGTGTCAATCTTTGGGCAACCAATCAAGGGAGGTAGATCTCTTGTCTTCTGGTGAGGTCATGGGGATCGATCGGTTGTCTCTCCTGGTTTTTGTGTAGATGATGGACCGCTTCAAGCGCATCAGTCAGTATACTAGGAGTATTGAGTTCGTAAGTTAGGTTTAGGGGATCGAGTCGGGTAATTTGGGTTCTGCTGTTCTGTTTGTTCTGCTGTGCATGAATACGAAATTTTGATGGGTTGTTTTGGACGGAGACAAAAGGATTCGCTCGGAGCCGGGATAATTGCTGCATTATTGTCGCTGTTATCAGAAGCATTAAGGCAGATAGACAGACGGATATTTTGGAACTATTCTCCTGCCCGTAACGTGGTCAGGGCAGGCAAGCATTCCACTACGAATTGTTCTCATATCGGATCCTTGACTGGCTGGCTTATATCGCTCAAGGCAGTCGATGTCAAAAGTTCAAAAAACGCGGGCTTGACAACGGAGTATAGTCATGGAAAAGGCAGCTAGCTGGACAGGCAGCTCCACAGTCCATATAGAAATTGCCCACTTAGGCTGTCGGGTCCTCAAAAGCCACCAAATAACACGCCGGAGTGCCACAATTCCTTCAAACTGCTTCTCTGTCGACCCTCCGTTGGGTGCCACCCCCTCACTTTTAGCTGCAATCCAAAGCCGAAACGACACTACCCTGATGCTTGATGGCGACAGTCGACTTCTTTTTGCCCTTTCGCCCCCCTAGTCTATCGCCGTCAAAATCGCCACGCAACGCACGCATGGCTTGCTCTCTGCAGGATTGGCCTGTGTGACTGGGTCGATGGCTGATTTGCGCGACCGTGGTGCCTGACTAGTAAGCAGCAGCAGCAGCTGCTGCTGCTGCTGTGCTCTCCCACACGTTCATCACACCAAACATCCTTGCCCCTGGAAAAGTGCGGGGGAGCCGAGAAAAGGGTGTGTGGATGGATTGAGAAAGGCTTGCTTGCTAAGGTTTCTCGCAGGATGGGAGGAGGGAAGAAGGAAGGGGAGGGCGGCCAAACACCAAGCGAAAGACATCCGCTTATCGATCCGTGCGCCTGCTGAGCAAATCCGCTATAATCTACCACAGCGATCATCATCCATCATCCGAGCAGAGTGAGCCACTGAGCACAGGGCAACTCACCTCGGTCGGGACCAGCGCCTAGCGCGGGGCGGCCATCCAAAGGGATTTGCTGGTTCTACTGATAAGCAGTCTGGGTCGGGTGGAGCCTGGCAGCTGGAGACAAGAGATAAAGGCCGGAATGGGCGTAGAATGACTCGATTTGATGTATTAGGTAAAACGGTTTGTGGTTGTCGGATTTGGATGGAAGAGGCAGAGAAGAAAAAAAAAAAAAGGATAAGAACCAGTGTTGGGTCAGTCTGCAGTCGTTTTCAGATCGATGAGTTCTTGGCTAGAGGAATAGCACGAGATAGAGAGAAAGAGAGAGAGACAGAGAGAGAGAGCGTGTGTGTGTGTCTGTCGGTGTCGGTGTCCGTTAGGTCTGTCTTGTCCTGCAGCCAGTCATCATCAGCAGCGAACTTAATTTTTTTTCTCTTCCTATTTACTTTCCTTTTTCTCTAGTCTTAAACGGTCACTGCCTAACACTGTGGAAAAATTGGGGCATCCGGTTAGACTACCACTTACCAGTTCATACTGTCACAACTAGCCGAATATCCGCCGTGGAACTGTCGCTGAAACGGTCAGGTCGCAGTGTCACATTTTGAAGCTAGACAAAAACTGGGCCAGACTCCACCAAGCCATTGATTATTGCATTGAGTGAGTTGAGTCAGTCGAGCAAAGTGTAGAAGAGAGAGTGGTGGTTGGAGGGAAGCAGACGAATTGCATCGCATTACTAGCCACGAGGTGGTGGTGGTTTATGGTGGTCGAGTCACCTGCTTTTCTACCTTAAGCTCTTCTTCTACTGGTGGTGTTCTTCTCCTCATTCTACTTTCTCCATCTGCTGCCTCCTCTTCCATTTACTAACTCAAAACTTCTTCTTGTCCTTTCCCTCATCATAATTCTCCTCCTCCTCCTCCTCCTCCTCCTCCTCCTCCTCCTCCCCCTCTCTTCTTCACCCACCCTCAATTAACCTTCGATCTGCTTAATCTTCTCACAAGACCACAATCCCCTCCCCTGACGGTGACGCAAATTCCTCCTTAATGCCGTAATCCCCTTCAATTGCCTTGCGCATCGCTCAGCTACTTGCGTGCTACACCTTAACCGATTGATACCATCTGTTCGGACAATGGCGTAACCAGGGGTCGGAAAACAATGATCGGGCGAGGCTACGAACTATTCAGGTCTTTCAAACACAGAAAGAAGAAGCGAACAAAGGATCCTGACTCAACATCCTGGCTGGCGTCATAATCCCTGAGATCAAAGTGATCGCCCGGGCGATTGATCTGCCTTGCCTGCACTGCACGGCGCTGCCTGGTGGCTCCATACATGCTTTATTACTTGCCTGTCTAGTCGCTTCCTTTGTCACTTGAATCAACATCTATCTTTCCACTCTTCTCTACTTATTCCTGTCAACACTAAAAAGTTCTCATCTATACTGTGAGTCTCCACACTTTTATCCACTCTTCTACTTCTAACTGGTGCTAGACCGTGCCGGCCATCCCGCTGGCTTATTTGAATATCCATCCTACTTGAGTGTCGGCGGCCCCTACAGTGAATCAGCCACTTTGGCGGCACTTCTCTGCACACAACCTAGCATACTCACACGCTGCCTACCAATATGGAGAAGTCGCTGTCTCTAATCTCTGCCCAGGTCCAGTTCATGGTAAGTCTTTATTTATCCTCTACAACAACTGAAGACCTTCACTGTCATGTCCCAAATTGTCTCCAAGACAAGGCGCCATGGCATCTACCCCGGTTAAGCTTGTTTCGCTGACAACCGTCGTGGAAATACAGGAAGATCGGCTGGCCCTAGTGCATATTCCGCTCGATCTCTATCCGTTCTTCCTCAACCCGATCCTGCAGGTGCTCTTCCACGAGGTATCACCTATCGCTGAGAATCGGGCAGATGGCCAGGACTTCGGCCGTGCCGAAATGCCCAAAGATGCGCAACCCGCATTCTTGAACCTCTCAATCACCCCAGTGGAATGCTCGATTATGTGCCCGAGACAGCTTGCCAACCAGTACTTTGCTCCGTTGGTTGATAAGTTCCTTCGCAATAATTCGTCCAGCCAGAGTCGCCTATCAATCAGCCATGATGATTTCATCGCCATGCAGGTGTACGGCGAGGGCCTGGAAGCCGGCCAGCGGGTCCTCGAACTTACCCGGCCACTGGCAATGGCTGGAATGTACGTATCGATCAATGTGAGATTCTGAGTAACACACTGACTGGAATGTTGCAGCTCCATCTTCTTCATCTCGACTTACTTCTCCGATTACATCATTGTCCCCTTGCGCAGCAAATCTCAGGTGATTGAAACGCTGGAGAAGCGTGGCTTTCAGTTCGAGCTGTCAACGGAGGCTTTCATCAACAACAACCAGGCCCAGTACAGTAGCTGTTTCAGCCCTGTCTCCTCCCGTTCGGCAAGCAGCCTGAGTTCCCCTCCAGCTACGCCTCCTCCTTCATCGTTGGATGAATTGCAAGTGCGCACGTTCTCGTCACTGCGCAAGAACCACATCATTCCTTCTGTCGATCGATCTCTTCGTTTGGTGCATTGCGCTGCCCACCATCAATTCAGCAGTAACACCAGCTCCATTGAGATTCTCCGGGAGGCCCTGACCACCACATTGATCGTGGACAAGCCACGCTTTCTTTCACTCACTTTGACGGCCGCTGATCCTGCGGCATCTCTTCTGTTGGAGAAGCGGCTCCTCCCTCGGTTCTCCCATGGAAACTCCACAACCACAGACGAGGATGATGAGTCCAGTCTTCTTCTCGGATCGAAGGAGGAGATCCTGGTTCCCATAATGCTAGATCTCCGCAAACTGCCCCTGCAGGCAACAGGGATTGTCTGTGGTGTGGCAAGTCGATTGGCCGATGCTACCCACGATCGAGGAGACGCGGAGACTGATGTATCTACGTTCTTGTCCCGTTCCTTCAATGGCTCCGGCACTTCCCTCGACAGTGTATTCAGGCCCTTCCTATCTTCCAGCTGGGGGTCTGGTGGACCGGTGCGCCCTATTGGCCTTGACACGAACTTCCCAACTCATCGTTTGCAACCCGACATGGACCTGGCGATGGATGCCGTGGAAATCAGTTTTCTGAGCACGGCTCGTGCGGGCACCATTCTGGTTGGCGAACACGAGCTGCACCGTGCCGTGGATGCCTTGGAGGCCGAAAGTCACGAGCCCGAAGCTGCGATTGAGGCTCTCGAGATTTAACTTTCTTGTTCCTTCTCTTACCAAAAGTTACTCACATATTCCCCTCTCTTCGTTTCGTTTGGTGGGTTCTTCCCCCGATTTGTTTTCATTTCCCCGCACAGATACCAAATTGTTGCATTTACATCGTCGTTTCTTGCATTACATGTTTCTGGTGTTGTTTGTTTAGTAGTCCCTCACACTTCCCCTTCTCTCTTGCGACTTGACCTCCTAGTCAAGCGAAGCGCTGACTATTGGGTGTTTGAGACAAATTGTCTTCGCTGCATGACCTCTTCACAAAAGTTGTTTCATTGTTTTTGAAAAATCGCAAGGATATTGCATCTAGTCGGCCATCTGAGTTTTTATTTCCGTTTATTGTGTGCCGTTCTCATAAGATTGCGTTAGTGGTTAGTAGGCGAGTTGGTTGGTTGTCCAAAGGTTTATTGAGTCGCTACGTGCAAAAAGCTAGCAAGCAAGCGTGGCTAGCCGGGGTGTTATTGCTGGTTTGATTTGATACCGTGATGCGTACAGCATAGCATTGATTGATGACTGGCTTACCGGTATGATTACAGTTCGTTTCGCATGCAAATGGAATGTATGGTACTTGCTGTCATCACACTTCCATTGAGTTCCAAATTTGTTCTCTGTATTTGCAATTGGTCCGGTTCCCTACTCACGTAAAAACTACCCTTAAGTCTATTCATTAGATTCTCTGTATTGCCCCGGACATGGTGCAGGACCTACAGCCACACACCCCTGGAATAATCCCTCCGGATCCGACAGACTCAATAACTATACCAATCAATAAAGGGCAAACAATAAGGCAGCTACCGCTTACCCCTTGTAGGCGCTCCATGTTACATACCCTACCTGATAAGGTAGAGCTACGGTAGAAGGGGAGGTGGCTGAACCCGCTCCTCTTTCCCTCTCTTTGTCCTCTTTCTACTGTACAAAGCATCTACTAACCACCTAAGATAAGTATAGAATACCTTCGTTGTACCAAACCGGCCTACACTCCCTACCCCCTACACAATAACCGTAGTACACCATACCCAACCCTCCCCCCGTATGGTCAACCAATATCCGATAGGTCATATTCCCAGTCTTAATCTTGAGGCTTTTATGCGGAGACGGGATAATGATTGTTTCATGTAGTGATTAGTGGTGTGCGTGGCGTGGTGTGGTGTGATATCACATCTGCTGTACCTGGTAGGTACAGTACATACCTATATGGGATCTTGATTGCGGATCTGTTCAGCAGAATTGAGTAACGGGGTACTTATAAATACACGCGGAAGGGAAAGGGGAATAGTTTGTAAGAATCCAGTATCTCCAGGCTCGAATACTTCAATATTTCTACTGTGCTACTTTTGCACTGGGTGTCCAAAGATGGACGGACGATGCGGTAATTCAGTACAGGGGGAATTCGTCATTCATGTGTATTGTATATACTGTACAGACATAGATACCCCCTTTACCATAACAAAAAGCCTCTAAACGGTAGTGGCAATTGCAGCGAGGATTGCGTACGAGGTCAGTATAATAGCTATATAATATGACATCTAATATGTAGTGTAAGTATGAAGGAATTCAACTAAGTCCGTGCGTGCATGCTACGATCCTCTGCTCTGGGTGCCTCGGGCCCGCCGGATTGGTAAGTGTGTCTGCGCTGGATGCTTCTATGCTTCTGCTTCTTTTGTACAGGGTAGGTATATAAGTATCTCTTATGGAGATGGGCACGAGGATGTGCCCGCCCACTGGTTCTAGCAATTTCTTAGGTGCAAGAGGGCACGGCCTTAGGTAACCTTGTTATAGGAGGTAGGCCTGATGATCATCACGTTGAGAAACGGATATCGCCGGTGTACTTGGTGTAGACTTGTCGTTACCCATTAGGTTGCGCCGGTCTGCTGGTTCTCGTGGGTTCAATGGGCTGACTTGACCAAGTTCCCGACTAGGTAACAGCCTTCTTCGAAGGGATTGAGCTGGAGGGATGGATGTAAGGCTACCCGAGACGGTATGGATAATCAATCGAGAAAGGACGGTGATCGATGGGATGGTAGGGCCGTAGAGTTCACTGCAAGTGAAGAACTGCACGGTGCGGTGGCTGTGCTTTTCCTGTCGTCATTGTCGGTTGTTCGCGGCGCATGGAAGGCGCTTAAGCCGAGTAGGCTAAGCGTCGAGATTTGAGGCTGACATTTTAGTGTTTCTCATCGCGAAAAGGAGACGACAGAAAATTCAGATGCAACACGTGGGCGTCTGGTGGCGTGGAGGCAAGGAAATGCTAATTTCAAGGCGCACGGTAGCCAGTCGGTTGTCGAGGTAAATACGAGCCAGGGTGAGCAGCCAAGCAGTCAAAGCGCACCGGCGTAAAACGGTTCGTAGAAGCGGTTAGGGGAGTTGGTCGGTGGACTGGTTGTGGTGGCCATGACCTCTTATCTCACCCCGGAGCTAGCGATAGACTTTGACGGTGCCTGATAAAACGATTGGTGAGCGAGGAACCAACGGCATTTCGACAGAGCACGGGATAGAACAAGAAGCCAAAAACAAAAACAAAAAAACTTACCATCCGAGCAACCCCCAGCCCAACATCCTCCCTTTTCATTCCACGCCACGGCACTAACGGCCTTCACCCCCTCCCCAGCAGGAACGGCCGCAAGAACCTCCCCACTGAGGACATCCCAAGCGAACACGGCAGCCTGTGCCGTCGTGCTGTCGCCACCCTTCTCAGCTTCACTGCCGCTCAGGACGACGGCGTCTGCCTTGGCAAAGACGGACCGGATGCGCAGCTCGCTATTGCGATACGCGAGTGGACTCCGACCAAGCGTGAAACTCTCCTTGACCTTTTCCTTCTCGTCGCCCCCGAACGCCTGCAAGAGTTTCCCGTCGCTTCGATCGAGCATGCGGATGCGCCCGTCCAGAGTCGACGTCAGAAGAGCATTACCGTCGTTCGAGCAGCGCACGCTCGTGACCGGGTGGGCGAGAACATCAACGGTGGTCCGGCCCATGCGAATATCGTAGACCCGAACGCGGCCGTCATAGCTGCCACTTGCGATGGAATAGGTAGGCATGTGCACGTGTAAGGAGGAAACGGTATCCCGGGCTTCGGTCAAGGTCTGAATGGGCTTGTGCGAGTTGGACTTGCAGTCCCAGAGGTTGATGGTCGTGTCCGCGCTGCCTAGCCGTTCGTCTCAGTTGAGCCGCAGAGACAATTGCTTTGAGGGATGGAAAACGTACCAGACACGACGACCGAGTCTGCCTCCCCGGCGAACTGAACCGCCTCGACTCGCGCATTGTGCCCACTCCATCGTCGGATGGTTCCTCCTTGTTCGACGTCCCACAAGAAAACTTGTTTGTCTCCGCCTACGCTTGCAAACCGCGCATTATCGGCTGCGACGGCGACGTCGAGCACAGAGTACCCGTGGGCTTCGTACCGCTGAATTGGGGACGTTGTCTCGGCTACGGTGCCATTGTTATTATTGTTGGGTACAGCTCGCGAGAGATGCACAGCACGGTCGGTTGATCCAGTGAGGACGTAGGTCCCAGGATAGCTGGAAAATGTCACCGCGTTGACGGGTCCTGTATACGTCAGAGGTGGTTCGGGGCTCTCGCGATGCGGAACAAGGCTCACCATTGTGCGTTTTGAGTGTGTGAACTAACTGGGTAGGGAATCGTTTGCTCGACATTGAAGAACGCAGGCTTTTGAAATGAAGAATGAAGCTACTAATTGCTAGAAAGACTGCGCTATCTCCGGAAGTGGAGGGGAAAGAAACAAGGCGGCATAAAAGTTGGGGAAAGAGAGGAGCAACGGCTCACCGCCGGCGGACAACGGCCTTACTCCGCATTTCCGACCGCTCAACATTCTATTGAGTCCGGCAAAAGCACCCACGCACTGATTAAATCTGTATTGACATGCTACGAAGTACAAGTGGGTTATTATCGAAGAATGTAGTCAAACCATCGCTAGTTACCAGAAGGCAAATCAGAACAACAAAACAACCGGTCCGTGTTGAGCGTCACGGCTCGAGACGTATAGTCACTCTGAGCGCACAAAATCCGAAAATCAACATGAAAAGAAAAAAGTTAAAGGGGTAGTCAAATGTAAGGATATTAGTTGAGTTGAAAGCACAGTTCGTTCTGTTTTTTCCACCGTCTGATAGACAGTCAAAGCCAGTCCTGAGGTATTTCAACGACGTCCGTGGCTCCGGGTGGACGAGCCCTGCAGTGACTCGATCTCCTGCTCGAGAGATTTGATACTGTGACTGGTCAGCAAAGCGATTCCCCGGCTGGGAATATTGGGAAACATACGCAGCGTGAGTGGCCTCCAAGTCCTTGTTGAGGCGGTCTCGCTCGGAAATGAGCTTCTGCTCCCACTGGCGGAATCGTTGCTCTTCGACCTTGACTTGTTCGGTGAAGCGCTTGCGCAGGTTCTCCTCCTCCTCCTTGAACTTGGGGTTGTCCAGCTTTCTGGGGCGAGCCTCGCCGAACTTCCGGGTCTCCATCTGTTGCGCGCGGTAGGCCTCGTAGTGCTGTTCTTCGGTGGTGTGAATCAGGTCCAACATGTGAGTGCGGATCAGGATAGAGCGCAGCTTCTTGAAGTCGCAGTGATCCTCGTTCTCAACCTCAGCAACACCCCAGGCGTACTGACGACCCTTGACGACCCGGTTGTCGCTAGTCTTAACGTCCTTCTCCGATCCGATAACTGCGAAGGGCATGGCGGCCATGAGGCTGCGCGCATGGGTGGCGGCATGCTCGTCGTCTTCCTCGATCGGAGGAGTATAGATCTTGATTCCCTGGGCCTCGATGACGGCGCGAATCTATCATAGTCACAAGGTCAATACTTATCCTCAAAGACATCATGCGGCTCGCTCACTCTCTGCTTATAAAGGGCCAGGTCGGAGGGGCTGAGAGTATCAGCCTTGGCGATGACGGGAATGAGGTTGACACGGGAGCTCAGGCGCTTCATGACCTCAATGTCGAGAGGCTTCAGGGTGTGTCCAGTGGGGCGGATGAAATACAAGCAAGCGTGCACACGCATATCGATCTTATCGGAGCGGCGGGGCTGCTGCTCTTGCAACATGTAGGATTCATGCTGGTCGTCGAGGAATTCAATGATTGGTTGCCAGGAGTCGCGGTTGTTGACGTAGTCTCCAAAGCCGGGGGTATCGATAACAGTCAGGCGAACTACAGCGGTCACCGGGGCATTAGCAATCGTCCGGAGAAGCCAGGAACATCCGCCATTAACCTTTGAAGAACTTCTCCTCAAGCTCAGCCTTGGTAATCTCGATCTCAACAGTCCGGTCGACCTGCTTCTGATGACGGCGCTTGTGATCGGCGTAATTCTTGATGGTGGTGGAAAACAATGTGTTGATGAAGGTGGTCTTTCCCAAGCCAGATTCTCCAGCAACCTGTATTCGTCCAATGAGTTTCGTCCTTCCTTAAACCCCTAAACTGTTCATTGACCAACCATAATAGTGAAAGCAGCACCACGCTTAGCGACAATCTTGTGTCTGGACATCGTCGTCAGCACCCATGGTGATTAATAATATTTCCTTAGAACGCATTCCATACCGCTGGTTGGGAAGCTATTCATATCAAATTGTTAGTGGGATATTGTATATCAATGAATAGCGACTGCTCTTCATAAGACTTACGTTGGCAATGCCAATGGGGGATGCGGTTTCGGTAGAAGACATGATGGTTAGGAGTTGAGCTGGAACTCAAAGAAGCGGTACCAAAGGAAGTAAATAGAGGATGGGCGGAAAGAGGACAACGCTGGCCTAGGACGAAATGGGGCGTTGGGGCCAACGGGGTAGAATGAGAGAGAAGGGATTAACGAGAGGACAGACGACGAGAAGCGGAGTAGAAATAGGATGAGACAACGACCGTCGGGGGAGGGGAGGAAAGCGGAGAGAAGAGAGGGAGCGAGGGAGAGACTTTGGGATAGAATGGGATGATAGATCGGGAAGTCGTGCCTTCTTCGACTTGGTTGCTGCCCCTGAATCCGCCCCCGAAACAAACAGCATGCAAACAAGCGAGCGTGACTGTGACTTGAGGGGGTGAACGACAGATGCCTCGCGCCTCAGGCTGTCAACTATCCCGAGAAGGCCTAGCTTACGAGACTAAGGCCCCGGATGGCGCTAACACTATTGAAGACTAATGCCGCCGGGGCCGGAGGAACTGTCGATCCGCTCCTTATCGTCCGTTTTGGGCAGCCCGATTTTTTTGAAGATCGACCGATGATTTAAAGACTAGGCGAAGGCTTGCTGCGGTGCGAACGGATTAGGTTGGCACAATGAAGACGGATTTCAAGGTGGGCTTATTGCTTTTGGGACTCCCATCCCTGTGGAGACTGAAAGTAGGAGAAGAGAGAATCATTGGGACTAACAATTATATCTAGTTTTCCAACCTGCTGGGGACGGTCTATCGCAAAGGTAATCTGCTCTTCACACCCGATGGCAACTCTCTGCTCTCCCCAGTGGGGAGTCAGGTTTCGGTCTTCGACCTAGTTCAGTATGTGCTTTCGCGCCCAGGGACAAACAACGATCTGTACTGATATTATCTTCTTCGCGAAGCAACACTTCCTATACCCTTCCCTTCGCGCACCGCACCAATATCGACCATCTGGCGCTCTCGCCGAACGGAAAACTTCTTCTGACGATCGACGAAAATGGCCGCGCCATCTTGACAAATTTCCTGCGTAGAATTGTGATTCACCACTTCTCATTCAAGGGCCGTGTCTCTAGTCTTAAGTTCGCTCCGTCCGGTCGGTTTTTTGCTGTCGGAGTTGGAAGACGGCTACAATTCTGGAACACGCCAAACACGCCTGGCACCGACAACAACGGAGAGATTGAGTTCGCGCCTTTTGTTCTTCACCGCGATCTTGCCGGGCATTTTGATGTGATTCAACATCTTGAGTGGTCGAGCGACTCCCGCTTCCTGATCACTGCGTCCAAGGATTTGACTGCCCGGATATGGAGTTTGGACCCAGAAGAAGGTTTCGAGCCCACCACGCTGGCTGGCCATCGTCAGGGTGTCAAAGCTGCCTACTTCTCTGCCGACCAAGAATCGGTAAGCTTGAGCATAGCCTTGCGCTCGAATGTGCGCTAATTACGAGTAGATCTATACGATTAGCTCTGATGGGGCTGTCTTCCGATGGGAATATGTGACAAAGAAGGATCCGGAGACTATGGAGGATATTGCCGAGGCACAGTGGAGGATTGTCAAGAAGGACTTCTTCATGCAAAACGATGCCAAGGTCAACTGCGCGGCCTTCCATGCACCCTCGAATCTTTTAGTTGTCGGGTTCTCCAATGGCTTGTTCGGACTCTACGATATGCCGGAATTCAACCAAATCCACCAACTGAGGTATGTATAACGTCTCTGAGTTCATTGGGCAGGACTAATGTCAGCGCAGTGTCTCTCAAAGCAATATCGACTGCGTAACAATCAACAAGTCGGGCGAGTGGTTGGCATTCGGATCTTCTAAGCACGGTCAACTATTGGTGTGGGAATGGCAGTCCGAATCCTACATCTTGAAACAACAGGGTCACTTGGACTCTATGAACACCTTGACATATTCACCCGACGGGCAACGAGTGGTAACCGCAGCGGATGACGGAAAGATCAAGGTCTGGGATGTCAAATCTGGCTTCTGCATTGTGACCTTCACGGAACACACAAGCGGAGTCACGGCGTGCGAGTTCTCCAAGAAAGGAAATGTCCTGTTTACAGCCTCATTGGACGGTTCCATCAGAGCATGGGATCTTATCCGTTACCGAAACTTTCGGACATTTACCGCCCCGACTCGGTTGTCTTTCTCCTCCCTTGCTGTCGACCCGAGTGGTGAGGTTGTTTGCGCCGGCTCCTCAGACTCGTTCGACATCCATATCTGGTCCGTGCAAACGGGACAATTGCTCGATCAACTTGCAGGCCATGAGGGCCCTGTTTCGGCCCTTGCATTCGCAGCTGACGGAAACCACTTGGTGAGCGGTAGCTGGGATCACACTGTTCGAATCTGGAGCATCTTCGGCCGGACGCAGACGAGTGAGCCCTTGCAACTGCAGGCTGATGTGTTGGATGTGGCTTTTAGACCAGATGGCAAGCAGGTTGCTGCATCGAGCTTGGATGGTCAGCTGACCTTCTGGTCTGTCAACGATGCTGTGCAGATTGGCGGTGTTGATGGTCGTCGCGACGTCTCAGGAGGACGTAAAACCAGTGACCGTCAGACGGCCGCGAATGCGGCAGGAACTAAGTCCTTCCGGTGTATCAAGTACAGCGCAGATGGCAGTTGTATCCTGGCTGCTGGAAACAGCAAGTACATCTGTCTGTATGATGTGGGAACAGGTTCGATGGTGAAAAAGTATACCGTGTCGGTCAACACCTCCCTTGAAGGTACTCAGGAGATCCTCAACAGCCGCAATATGACGGAGGCTGGCCCTCGCGAACTTATCGATGAGACAGGTGAGGCTTCCGATGTAGAGGATCGCATTGATCGCAATCTCCCTGGCGCGAAGCGTGGAGACCCTGGATCCCGCAAAGTCCGACCGGAAGTTCGGGTTACAGGCGTCGATTTTTCCCCGGCTGGACGTTCCTTCTGTGCAGCCTCAACGGAGGGTCTTCTCATCTATAGTCTGGACAACGATGTGGTGTTCGACCCCTATGACCTCGACATCTCGATCACTCCGTCCAGCATCATGGCCACTCTCGAGGCCGCCAAGCAGGCCGCGGCCACCGGCCAAACAGATGAGGACAACACTTTCCTGAAAGCATTCATCATGGCCTTCCGATTGAACGAGAAAAAGCTCATTCGGGCAGTCCATGAAGCCATTCCTCCAGCCGATATCCCGCATGTCGTTCGCGCGGTGCCAACCGTTTACCTTCCCCGTCTGCTTCGCTTTGTCGCCCATGCTGCTGAAGAAACACCTCACTTGGAGTTCAACTTGCTATGGATCGAGTCCCTCTTCAGTTCCCATGGTCGTTACTTCAAGGAGAATTCGGGCACATTCGCGCCGGAGCTTCGTGCGGTGCAGCGTGTCATTGATGAGATTCACAACAGCTTGAAGCGGCTGACGGACAAGAATATCTATGACCTCAACTTCTTGCTTGCGAAGCCTGTGCTTGCAGGTAAGAAGCAGCCCGGCCTTGTTCTCGCTGCTCTCAATGGCGAAGCAGAGGCCACCAATGGGGAGGACGAAACCATGGAAGATCCAGCGGAGGAGGGCGATGGCGAATGGATGGGCCTTGAATGATTGCATGCCACTGTTTTTGTACCTTTATACTCCTGTCGTTCTTGTTCACCTCCGGCCATCTGGTTGGCCTCGCATGTGCTCCTGGCGTTGATTCTGTGATATACCTTGGTAGAGAAAGGGGACAGCAAAAGTTTGGAGTCTCGATGCTGTGTTTATAGGATCTGTAGTACATATACACCGAATAATAACCATTCAGCGTTATTCTGGGACCTGGGTCTTGAAAGCATTTAAGATTGTACGAAAGGGGATGTGAAGCCCCGCCCAAGAGATTCGTTTGCTCTTGGTCTGTCCTCCTTCTCTTTTCCTTCTATAATCTCTTTCCTCACCTTCCCCCGTCTATCAGAGTGCTAGAAAATGCCCACCATGGCTTTCTCTAATATTGCCTGGAAGGACATTTCCCTCATATCCCTTAGCTTCTCCATTTGCTTCTTCATTCATCGCTTCGCTATCGAGCATCTTTACAATGATCTCGCTAGACTGCCTACCATCAGGTATAAATGGTTTCTTCCCGACTTCATCAACAAATTCGCCTTCTGCTTCAACGCCCAGGACCAGATCGTTCGTGGATACATCAAGGTAGGTTTTGCCGCCACATTTGCTCGCTCAAATGACCCTCGTAATTAACTTGGTTTCCGCCCAGCACAAGGACCGAGCATTCCGACTTCTGACTACTGACGGTGACTTGGTCGTGTTACCGCTCAAATATCTGTGGGGAATTGAACAAGTGCCAGCAAACAAATTGAGTGCTTTCCGGGCACGACACAGGGTGAGTTTGGCGGGCAAGGGGATGGAGGAGAGTCGGATGCTGATGACGACACACTGTATACAGAATCTCCTGGGCGAATACACCGAAGTGGTTGGAGGAAGTGCAAATGTCTCGCGTGCAATCGAACAGCTGAACCAACAGAATCGCCGTGCGTTTGCTCTTAGCATTATACACCCTACAACAACTGACCCCAGGATCACTACATACCAGTGCGTATAGCTGCCCAGTTCAGCGATGAGTTCCACAAGGCGCTCTGTATCGAAGTTCCAAGATGCCAGTGTACGTCCTAGCTCCACCCACCCACCACCAGAAGACGAAGCTGAGAGATACCCAGACAAATGGATCTCCCCAAACATCTACAAGCTCGTCCTCAAACTCGTCAGCCGTGCCACCGCGCGCTTCACCGTCGGCGATGACCTCTGCCGCAATGGGCTCTGGCTCGAAGCCGTCCCCTCCTACACGACCGATATCCTCGCGACCATCATCCTCCTGCGTCCTGTACCCCAGTTCCTCCGACCCATCGTGGCACGAGTTCTCCCCAGCTTGCGACGGGCTCGCAAACAAGCGCGCTGGGCTCAGCAAGAGCTCCTCATCCCTATGATCGAGTCGCGTCGATATAAGGAAGTGAACGAGACGGACTACCAGAAGCCCGACGACCTCCTACAGTGGATAATGGACACAGCAGAAAGTAACTTCGATCGAGACCCCGCGAACATCGCCAAAGCCTTGATGTCAACTATCGCCCTATCAATCGTGCATCCCATCACCAATCTCGTCACCCATGCTGTGTATGATGTCCTAATGCAGACCCCGTATATCGGTCCTCTTCGCGCAGAGATCGAGGAGATGCTCGACCAAGGTGAGCTCGACGCCGACGAACTCAACCTCGTCTCCCGATCACACCAGCATCTCATGGACGGTTTTCTGCGAGAATCCCTAAGATGGAACCCACTCAGCGAGCGTATGTCCTCATCTCTCCTTTTCACTCGGCCATACCCCCTCTGCTCACTCCAACACCCAGATAACGAATTGCACTAACCTGCCACAAAACGAACAGTGAACCCCCAATACATCCTAACCCAACCGCACACCTTCGCCGACAGCACCCCAGCCCTCACCCTCCCCTCCAACACCCGAATCTGCTTCCCCGCCGGTCCTCTCTCGCGAGATCCAGCTTTCATCCCGCACGCCCATCGCTTCGACGCCTTCCGTTGGACCCGCGACCCCCGCGAGGTCCTGCCCATCCTCCCCGCGGAAGCGGCTGACCCTCGCATCCGCCATGCTGTTGCTTTCCACGCCGGGTTGGCTCATATCAGCCCTGTCAACCTGCACTTCGGTTGGGGACGCGCTGCGTGTCCTGGCCGGGACCTGGCGGTGCGCATAGCGTCCGCAGCGCTCAGCCAGCTGCTGGTGCAGTATGATATGCGGTTCTTTCCGGGGCAGGTTGCAAGACCACTGAATACTTGGGTTGGGGAGATGGGCTTGCCGAGTCGTGGGTTCAGGGTGTTGATGAGGGAGAGGGGGAGGAGTGAATGAGGTTGAGTTGGCATTGAGGAATCGTGGGGAGGGTGGTGATGGAGAGACATAGGGCAGCGAGACATGGAGGGTCTTTGAGGTTACAGACTTGGGAATGATGTGCGGTTAAGCTGTTACGGGCCTTATCGTGGTGAGGCTATCGTTTCTTTTCCCCATTGACTTGATCCGTGTTGTCGTTGATGGCAGATGTGGTAGTATCTGAGTGTACTATGCTACTGGAGCAGTCAGTATGACTTGAGCAAGGTAAGACTACGACATTAAGTTTATTTTAATCTCACCTGAGCGCGCAACGAACTGTGCTTTACCTCTACGGAAGAACATGAGACCCAAGCTGCAGACACCCTTTTCTGTCTGTACCTCTGCTTCTAAATCCCACAGCCCAAAGCTAGACAAGATGCAGCCAGCATATGAAGTCCATACCAGCACAACTATATTCGATATCACCGAGTTAACACTACTCTCGAAGATAAATAACTTACCCATAGTCAAGAACATCTACCCAGACTGTAAGTAAAGACAGTCCTCAATCCAAAGATATCCAGCACATGCAACCATCCACCCCACAACCCAGCCCAGCCCAGCCCAGCCCAGCCCAGGTCTAAATTTGAATCTCAACCCGGAGACAAACTCCTAACAACCATCCCCGATCCCCCAACCCCAGCCCATAAACCACAAACCACAAACCGACCCAGCAATTTCAATCCCGCCTAAACAATCCTGATCCCACCCGGGCCCATTCAAATGCGAACCAAAATCATATCCAACCACCAAGAACCTCCCCCTCTACCCCACCCTTGAAAACCAACCGAAGGCTATCACTACAAGCAACTACCCGTCTCAACTGGAAAGCAAGGCTTATCAGCAACTGAAGCCTAACTACCACCCATGAAAGAAAGTCATCGATTACTCTAGACTATGGCTAGCCCCTTACACTCGAAAAGCAAAAGCAATAAGCTCGATTCTTACTGCCAAACAAACCAATCCGATCCAATTCAATCCAATCCAATCCGTACTACCAGGGAGGGCACTCCAGAACACCGACTACAAAGAATAAGAACCAAAATGAACCGCGATCCATCCATCAACCGCAACCTGCACCCCGAGGTTCCAACACCGTTCCGTTCCATCCACAGTCCAATCCAATCCAATCAAACCATGTCCATGCCCATGCCCATGCTGCCCACCATGAACCAAGGTGGATGGGAAAAAGTACCCCAGTATCAATCTGAAACAAGCCCATGGCTACCGCACTACTCTAGACTAGATTATACTACACCAAACCAATCAATCAAAACAAAACTTTACCCAACCCTACAACCAAACCACCGCCCAGAACAGAAAAGAACAAAGGTATAAAAACCCCCAACCAGCTCCCACAATTATCCATTCCAGACCGTGCTCCCACGAACGCAATACTCACGGCAGATATAACTCTTTATTACCAACATCAAACCAACCAACCAAACCAACCAACCACCAAGAAAATGTACACACTCTCGCTCCTTACTACCCTCACGATCACGCTCTCCCTCCTGGGCACAAGTATGGCTGTTCCAGCGGTGATGGAGAAGCCGCTCGCGGCGCGGATTAATGTGGTGGGTTCTCCCGTGGGCCCTTCGGTTATTGGGAGCGTGGGTTCGTCTGTGTTGCTGGGCTGGGCCGGGCTAATTCCTCTCTGATTGATTTAGTTGCCGAATGGCGCGGCTTGTGCAAAGGACGGGAGTCTGGGGATCTGTCAGAGTAATTTCTGTCTTGTGAGTATTATCCATTTCCTGGTGGGTGGTTCTGTTTCTGGAGGGTTGGGGTTTATAAGGTTTCAATGCTGAGTGCTGAGTGGCTGACGATTGTTATAGCAAGTTGAGGGCGCGGCTACTGGGGTCTGTCGGTGACCATTCTAGTCGGAAACTTGGGGTCTTTACGGGCTCATGTGGTTGCTTGGAGAATAGCCTTCTCATCAATGAGTCTCGCGGAGGACGGACTGTATACTTCTGTGATCTTGTTTGGATTAAACGCTAAATACATACCACAGACTGGAGATCAATGTTTGTCAAGGAAGTAGTGCATTCTCAAGAACTATTAGTCCATCATCGTGGAGGAAACTCAAACCTGCAATACAGTTTTACTCAGACACCTGACAAAGATACAAGGCACAAATCACTCGACCTTGCGCCGCTTGCGCTCCCTCTCAACATCATCACTATCTTCCGAGTCATCGCAGCGGTACTGTTCTATCATCCGCAAGATCATACTCGCCAGATCCCGTGCGATGACCGGAGGGAAAGCCTGGGTCACCTCCTTGTATTGTCTTTCAACGTCTCCCCAGAAGATGAAATCGTCGTCGAATCCTTGAATACGCGCGAGTTCTCGAACCGTAAGCATATCGTGACGTTCTATTCCCAAGTCAGTAGATGATGGACTGAGAAATTCAGGAAAGATAGTCACCCGGATGCTGTATGTGCCGTGCATTCGCCATACTAATCGTGGGCGAAAGCTCGGAGGATTGACCAGTAATAAGTGAGCCTGTGTAATGATTGTACACGTTGCTGGTGAGGCCCGGGCCTGTGCAAGCAAACGCTTGTTTGTTTTGAGGACCCCCGGCGTTCGCAAATGACAAGTTCTTGATCAAGTCCCAGACAGACCCCTTAGACGACTCGAGGCCCGAAGATTGCGAGAAATTCCGGGGCCATGGGACTGGTGAGCAGAGCGATGAAGCCAGAAGAATGACCACGCCCTCATGTCGGGGGATTGCCTGGCCGGGAAAGTCTATGTGCTTAAGATGAACACAGAACCGCCGGGTCAAGAGATTGTAGATAAATCTGAACAATGCTGAAAACGCGTGTTCGTGAAAGGCCCATTGTGGAAGGGTAACCAAGACAAAGTCGATATTTTGCTGCAAACTGAAAATGTTGTAAAGTTGTTCCAGGGGCTGTAATCTTCTGCGCATCTCCTCCGTTTCGAGCGTTGCGTTCTTGGTTACGATGGAGCATATCACCACACTGGGTGTGTGCTCTGGCCTGGTCGGTCCCAGAAGTTCCTGAGCGTTGATCCGTTGTAGTATTGTATCGAGAGAGCCGTCAAACACACTAGCGGTTCTATATGCAGCCTCCAAGCTTTTAGTCTTCGATCATACAAGCTAAGACGATACACAAACCTTCCATGTCATATTTAGCACAGGATCAAATCCGATAGCTGCCTTGATTTCGCATCCAGCTAAAGAGAAGCCCTCAGCAAGTCCGACTATGCTTGGTGACAGATCGAAAACCATAGGTCGCGAGGCCGTATTGTATCTTGGCTTAGGCCATTGCTTGGAGTTCAAAATCATGAGACAGGAGTCAACTGGCATAATGGAGGCATTTCCCTCTGGGCAATTACAAGCCAAAGCAAATCGACAGAAGAGTCCGGCCTTGTCCAGATCTATCCACGTTTAGCTTCGAAACTGAACAGGCTCAAATATCGAAATGAATACCTTTGGGAATATCACTTGTATGTTGAATCTTTCCCGTCGGTCCAAGTGTATCTTCCTTGAGCACACTGACAGCAGTGATTGTGTGTATCTGGATTAAAGACCCGTCGAAGTATCCTCCCATGCAGTCCATGTTGTTGAAGAGTAGCAGCAGCTCTTTTTCATCCAACTGCGGGTCCTTTTCCATCATCTCGTTCAAGAAGAAGTACTGAGTTTGTCGAAAGAACAAATATTGAGTCACGAGGAGCATGCCTTCATCTTCGTTGTCTCCTGCTTCTTGGGTGGCAGGAAAGATTCGATGCACATAGAATATGTAGGAAGTAACCTCATCGCTCCGTGGTGATCTCACTGTCACCCGCAGAGAATCGCCCTTCTCGAACCTGAACTTAAGTCTCTTGCAGTGTAAGACCGAGAGGGGATAGTTGGGCAGAGCCTTTATGCTTTAGCAAAATAAATTATACCGCTGGTATAAACTTACCAGATGCCAACTCGTCTGCGGGTTGCACCTATTAAAAGCCGGCCAAAATTCCTCGGCCTCCCAATTATTGAGATCAGGAATTATGTCATGGCTCAGTGTTTCTGTTGTCACTTCTCTAGAGCGTCCTTCCCGGTTATCTCTTTCCGGCGTGGATGAGGATTTCGACTTCGATATGACACCCTCGGACGTCGGAATGACTGGAGATAGCCGCTCCAACTCTTCACCAATTGTGAGAATTATTTTATGCTTCCGAAGCAAGTACCAGAGAGAGTCGGGTATGTCGACTAGAGTTTTATCGGGCACTGGTCTCGATGAAGTCTAGATCCGTCAGTCTCATCCGGCCATGCCAACAAGAGTCATTCTTTCGTGTAGCCTTACATCAGATGGAATATTGGCGTGATAGAAGTTCTTACCGCCATCCATATGACGTAAATATGCCCAGATTGCCTTGACTGTGGATGCGCTGAGGTGATTTTGTGCATCGCTGATGTCAAGTGGACCACATCGGTCGGTAAGCAGAAAGACATACTTCTGCAACGCATTAGCGGCTTTTTGCGCTATTGCAGCCTCCCAGATACGGCAAAGGCGCATAGCCTCTTCTTGAGGGCTGGAAAAGCTTCTTCTGTTCCCCGAGACTGTGGCGTGCTGAAGATTATAGCCATACGTGAACTTTCCGCGTCCAAGTTTGGTTTCCGGCAGCAGAACTCCCTGTAAAAACACTTTGCCCGAGAACTTCCTGTCAAGCAGAATGTCCCCATAAACGGTCGTGATGGTTTCTGACGGAAGGGAGAAGTCACAAATGTCGAGAGCGACAGTCAACCAATGTCTAAACATGCCCATATAGATTAGAGTCGTATCTGAGTTGATGAAGATGGAGACATCCTTTGATTGACGACTTCTCAGAGTTGATATAGACTTGGTTCTTCGTTCAATCTCGCCGACAGCGCTTTCACGCATACAAGCAGTCTTGCACATGAGTAGCGAGCCTGACCCTTCCAGTTCGAAAACCCAATAACGGTCCCGCGAATTGATCGAAAACTTGCATCCATCTTTGCACAGAGATAGAGCCGCAAGTTTGATTCGTTCGTTCCGAAACTTGAAGAGGCCAGCTATTGTCGAATCTCGGTTATTGACTTCGACTGTCGTTCCAGCTTCTGTCGAAAGCAGATGGTAATCAGCGACCACCAACGAGACGCGCTTTGTGACTTTAGAGTATTCAATGAATCCCAGGTAGCCGGGAATTCCTTTGAGTGTTGCCTTCACAGTGACAGAGCCAGCTGACTCCTCGTAGGTTTGAGTAAATCCACCGATAAGGCTAAAAGATTCAGCAATCGCGTCCTTCCTTAAACATGCAACTCATCAGTACCAGTTTCGTCATTTTTGAGTTCGCTAAAGAACAAACCAGAATTGATAGAGCTCACGGAACGCATCTTGAGCCGACCATCCTTCTATCTCTTGCGTGGGGAGGTTCAGGCGCCGCTTGTGTGGTGAGTTGCCTTCGAGTGAACCCGGTCTCTCAATTTTGATTCGAATACGTTTGTCAGCGCTCGAGAACCTACTCATGCTGATGGCTGAGCGTGATGGTTTCCTGGGCGGAATAAGTGAGCTGCTGCTCCTGAGAATCAATAGAGTTTGAGGAAAGACTGCAGAGGAGAGAAGAAGAATTTGGGAATGGCAGGCGAGGTTCAGAAAAATGAGCGGTCAAAGGCACAGAATCGATGAGGAAGCAGGAAGGGGAAGGGAGGATGGTTGCCAGTGGAAGAAGTAAGGTGAGGCTATTGAAACGACAGGCCGAGGCCGAATTGGGAAACAGCGTCCACAGCACACATGAGTTGCCCGACACATCATCAACCAACCACTACGGTACAGAGAAAGGAGTGAGATCAGGTAAGATACAACCGCAACTGGATCCCTCCAGTAAGCTTTCATTAAATATATTCCACAGAATTCAACCTCGCGTCTCCTCCAGAGACAGCGGGAGTCACCTGTAAGTCAGCCAATCCTTCGAGGACAAAAGCTGAGATATCTAGCATATACATCATAAAGATGGTCATTGACCATCGCAGAAACGAGAGATGAAGAAAGAACAAAGTATATCCGAAAAGTAAACAAAGTCACAACAGCACGCCGAACGAATCAGTGGAATGGATACTACGCCCATCAGTGGGAGTGTCCATGGCGATAATGTTTGTGAGCATGGTTATGAAATCCATCTCGCTTGAAGAGAGGCCTTGTGGGCGCAGGTAGGCCACTGGACACGCCACTGGAGATAGTCGAACTGGCTTTCGAAACTGTTTCTAGACTCCCAGTTTGCGTCTCAATGGGAACGCCTTGATCATCCACGAGTACGATAATTTCTTGTTCAACGTAGACGAAGGTTGTAGAGGGAACCGTGTCGGCAGACGAGGTACTCGAGGGTGGTGACCAAGTAGTGATTTGTTCCCAATTTGAACTCGCAAAGAGATATCCGGCTAAGCTCGAAGGATTTGTTGCCGGAGACATTGCTGCAGCTGAAGGCTCCGCAATCATTGCAAGTGTACTAGACATTGAAGTTGTGGACTTGATCAATGGAGCGCTCGTAGATGACGAAATGGCCACAATTGGCTTAGCAACAATGGCGAATGTACTTGATGCTGGCAAGGGAGTTCTGACTAATGGACTGCTGGTGGAGGTGATGAGACTCGGCTTGACGTTATTCTCGAGTGTGCTCGGTGTTTGAGCGGTGGTCTTGACTAGAGGAGCGCTCGTGGACGAGGGAGTAGCCATGATAGTAGGTTTATCTGCCACAGGTAATGTGCTTGAAGGCTGTAGAGCAGTCTTGATCAGTGCGGTACTCGTGGCCGACGATATGACTGGGTTTGAAGATGCAACCATGCTCTTGATAGACCCTGAAGAAGCTGGGGAAGCGGATAACACTGTAGACATGGCAGCCTGAGTGGCTGACACAGTTGCATTCGGTGTAGAGAATAGAGGTGTAGCCGTGTTAGCGGGGGCTGATGCGACGGCTGACGAAGAGACCCCCATAAGCGGAAACTTGGAAATAGTAGCGGAGGGCTCTTTCGTCGGAGAAAGAAGCGGTGTCGAAGGCATGATAGCCAGAGTAGGACTTCCAGTCGGTGCGGAGGCAATCGAGGCGGAAGACTTGACAACAGGCGGAGAAGCCATAGCCGGAGATGACACTGCGAATAGATTTGAGGCGGTGGTTGATGCCAACGGGGTTGATGCAGATGACTCTAGGCCAACAGAGGAAGGGCTCGGCTTTGAAGAAGAGACAACGCCTGAAGGACTCGCCATCGACGGCTTGGCTAACACACCTGATGAAGCTATACTCGAAGCAAGTGAAATCGACGACTTTGTGGCCAGAGTCGAAAGCTCAACTGACGCGGACGAGGCCAAGAGTGTCGGTCTGACTGACACGCTCGAAATGTCCGATTCCGAAGACGGGTCTGGAATAGAAAGCTGCGCATTGGAAGCTGTTGAGGTAGCTGAAGCCATGGGTGCAGCGATAGTAGTGTGTGCCCTCGTCGTGAAGGAAGTAAGCGGGGGCGCAGGAGGGACATTTACAACCGGAGGTGCAGTGGGCTCCCACGCCTTTGCCGTCGTGCTAGTAGACGAAGTCGCGAGTGTGGGTAGGGCTACATGTAGGCCCGCCGACAAGAATCCAAGATCAATGCCGATTCCGACAGTGGGTAGGTCATCAATCACAACTGGTGTCGGTCTACCGTGGCCCCCGGCGGTGGTGGTGTATCTAACTGGGCTCGCATATGCAGGTCCGGATTGAATGGCGAGATTGTTCGGAAGGCCACCCTTGTGATAGTTCACATCTTCATTCTTTAGAGCATCTGGGACGGGAAAGTGGCACTGGTCCTGTTTCTCGTCGCTCTGAAGATTGAAGATTGGACAGTCTGACACTTCTCCAGACATGTTTGTGCACGTGTTAACAGCCTGCTGGAGCACCTCTGAGTCCCAGCCGTACATAAAATCACCATGGTAGCCGTAGCCTGTAGGGTCACCATTTGAAATTACAAACGTGCCCTTCTTGTTCTTGAATGCGTACGTGTCCCAGATGGACTCATAGAAGAGCGAAACAAGGCGATGCTCAAAGCCTTTCGGGCATTCTCCATCCATCACCAGCGAGGGATAGGCCAGGTGAGACTTGTGGTCCGGCGTGTCGACATCCTTCCCATTCCAGCAAGAAGGAAACATCAATTCAAACCGAATTCCTTCAGTACAGTGTTCGTCCAAGTATGTCTTGTCTGGCAAGTAGTGACGGCCCAACGAGGGCTCGGGGTTCTTTTCGTAATTGAGACAATTGAAGCCGACGGCCTTCTGACGAAGCGCATCCTGTGTTAGATCGTTGCCAGACCACTCTGACTGCGGAGGATCAGGGATAGGCCAGGGGAAGTCACGCTTGTATGTGTCTCCTGCCATCATGCGGAAATTCTCAGGAAAGGCCGTCACGTTGTCGCCATTGAGAAGGTAATAGCTGTGGTCAATTAGTGCCAAATCACGCCGGGCGCATTGAGCGCGACTCACGCAAGCATTCCGCCCACTTCATTGACAAGCTCAGCGTCGCCGTTTTGATGCATAAAATACAACGCAGGTACCCAATATGCTGACTTGTCCTGGGTGACCGCGCAAGAAGTACAGCTCGATTGCTTGAGACTAGCCTCGTTGGCTGACATCGAGAAGCCTATCGGAAGAACTCAGCGACCGTGCTGGTGAGCGAGAAATGATGCAATAGTACTGACCGCCCGATCCATGAACTGCGTGTACATGATCCGATGGTATCCCAGGTGCCACTATGGGATCAATCCGAGCCATCCCACTTCGTCCGCGACAGGGCAGACGCCAGAATGCGTTTGCCACATTGGAGAAGACCGTCACACAAGTCACTATACTAACATCAAGTTTCATCTTTGGGTGCATCATCCGCTGGTCAAGGAGTGGAAGTAATGGGTCAATGGCGCGAAAGCTTTTGTCGAGATAAGAGAGTGGTTATCGACTAGATGCGTCACCAAGAGCTAAGGATCGGAAGTCGCGCCCATCAATGGCAGAAGCTAAATATTCGTGGTTAGTGTGGTTGTCGTTGAGGTTGTACCGTGGTCGTGCAGTCAGAGCACGTTGGTGGACAGGCTGGCTTAGTATAAGAACGGCAATAACAACAAAACAATGACAAAGCACGTCGCCGCCACGCCACCGACAGGTTCAGAGGGAGGCCTGGAAGCTCATTGACATCATGTTTCGCTTCAGAGGTTGTCCCTGAGGGAGGAATATTCCTTCATTCCAATAACACGACCGCTTCGGGATCGATCGTCAGGGACAACAAAACGTTACTGCTGGGGGAAACGGAATGCTATTCCCATTTTGAGTTTCTCTTCCCTGTTGACCGCGATACCGAGTCGTATCGATTCAGATCCTCGAGCCGCCGGGGCGGCGTTTGAAGCGTTGAAGCCACTGTAACGGTATGCAAGGGATACGACTCGGATCGGTTGCCAGGAATTCAGGACCTCTTTCATCCTTGCTAAATAGTCCTGTCCTGCCCCTCTGCCTGGGAGGCAAATTAGACGGACCAAAGAACGAAGATCCAGCCTTCGTATGACTTCCAGGGATTAAGATCAGACGAGTGACTGCCAACCAAAATCAATGAGCTCAACTTGGGATGGGTGATCAGCTGCCAAGGTGTTTCCATGATGGGAGACTGAATTGCTCCGCATATGAACGATGGTAGTCCACCCTCATGAAAGTCGATTCAAGACGATCAGATATCTACAGCAGGACCGGATTGTGGACACAAACCAAGAATAAAGGCCAAGGGAACAACCAAGCACCGTTCTTTGTAGAAGTAAGACATTGTCTGGGGCGCGGAATAGACCGCAATCCGCATGGCTCGGTCGGCATTGGGAGACAATTAGTCCTTCCCAGATTCTCCGGTCCCTTGTTGTAGGCTGAATGAACACTCGGTCTTTCAAGGCGTCAAAAAGACACATCATCTGCACGACCGGAGATATTCGAAGGTTTCAGAAATTGCTGATCCGCGAGTCATCATGCAATGAACTGCAAATGAGTCTTGTCAGCTGCACTCTTTGCAGGCTGCATCTCATTGACATCGCTGTATGCGTCGAGTACACACTCGACCTTAATTCTAGCAAAGGGATAGAGGGCAGCTATCCGAATCAGGGGTGGTCGACAGCAGGGGCGAGACCATTCTCGAGCATTTGGGTATGGATCAAAAGCCACAGCGTATTTAAGCATACGACCCTAGGGTTGCGAAGGATGTCAATAAGGTTGCGGCGTCGCTAAGTTGAGCAGGACCTCGTTCCTAATCGTTCTAGAAGTTCAAGAGGCTTGTGTTCGAGATCATCAGGAGCGCTCAGCACTTTGATTTAGAATATATTCGCAAGCAGGATGTTCCAACGCAGGGCTCAAGCCGAGTCGAACATGCGAATGGGCATGAAACAAGAACTGGTCGAATGAACGAGAAGGCTTCGCGTCGCGTCATGAAACATGGAACAAGGAAGTCGAGAAGATCGGGTCGGTCGGGAGTGCCTGACTAGTCGGCGGCTACCCGCGGTGGTTGATCCCTGGCGTTGTGCTGCCGAGTGTCGATCCAGGTGCATGATGACCTCAAAGGTCAGGAGGAGCAGAAAACTGTCAGCAGCCTGTCTTTTGATGGCTACTCCGATAGTTTAAGTTTCCGACCGTTCCGGTTGCTCATTGAGCTGTGTGGTTCCTTCATTAGCGAATGGCATTAGCATTGATAATCCACGTCCCACAGGGCCGCTTCGGCGTCGGAATCATTACTCATCTAACCAGTACAACTCATCCTTACCGGGTCATTATTCGTGCAGGCAGATCTCAGCGATATAGCTGCAGTATAGTGCTTAGCTCAATCACGACATCATCTGGTTGTTGGAGAGTGAACAAATGGCCAAGGTCTCCCCTGCTAGTATATCCCGCGTCGCTATATGTTCCTGCCGAGTGCGGTACGATAGTTATTACTTTGGGCCTCAAGCAGGCGACACAACTTGAGTCTCAGACAACAAAGCATATTCCATGATGACAACCTCGAAGATGAGTGGTGTACCCTGCGACAATAGGGATATAACCCGTAGGTTATGTATCAAATATATGGAAGCTGAAATCTGTACAATCAAATATAAAAAGCCGTAACCCTCACAGAAACATATAACATTCCCTTGTCCACAATTCGGAGCTATTCGACACTATGATATATAAATCCCGAACCCCAAGTTCTACAACTTGTACTAGCAGTATGACGAGCTCTTCAATTACCATAGCGAGTCACAACACCTTCAAAGTTCCAAACCACCATCCAACACAATCCACCTCCGCCCACATATGCCGGACCAAAACCCCCATAACCAGACCCAAGACCCAGACAAAAGCAACCCCAAGAAACCAAGCATACACCCAACCAAACCAAAGCTCCCTTATCGCACATCTCAGCCCATCAAACCCCCAGCCCTGCCCCAGATAAGAAAGCCTCCACACAACCACAGAGACCCCTGTCAATGTCGCCATCGCAAGATAAGCTTGTCGATAACCTCCCCCAAAAAACAACCAATAACGCTCCACCTCCATGATCAACCAGTGCCATGATAAAGCAATCTGAACCCTGCAACAACCCGAATAGCGAATGAGGAGTGATCGATCGACCAAGCAACGCCAGCGAGATCTAGATTCTAGCCAACCAACCGCGTGTCGACTGGTAATCAGATCATCAGATGTCGAATCGGAGATCGCTGTCTAGTGCTGCCAGCCAAAACAAAGAGGTCTATCCGGTACCTAGACTACATAATAGATGTAAAGCGGGAAGGATGGTGAACCCCAGGGGTGCCGTTATTCGGCCGTTATGGCTTCTCTATCGGTACATAGGTAGTCATGGAAATCTTCCGGGCTTTCAAGGTTCATCTGAATTGAATCCCCAATACTATACTCCGTATATACAAGCGAAAGTCTACGCAAGCCAAAGCAAATCAAATCCAATCAACAGCCGAGCGCCCGGGGAAACAGTGGAGCTCATTCACCAAGCGACATATGCGTTGTGCTGCCTGCTGTGTTGTCATACACCGCAAACCAGCCCTCGATCCACGGTCGCTGTGGATGCCTTCAAAACAGAACCACCAGCGACTTCCGACGTGCCGAAGCTAGACTACATAAAACCTAAACCGGCAAACCTTCCCCCGAACGAGTAAAAGCCTCCCAGCCCAAAGACCCCATTCATAATACCGCCTCTTAAGTCTTAACCGCCCAGTAGACCAGGCCTTTCGTCCGTCACTAGACTACATCCGGCAAAGGCGACCAAGCCTCAAGTCTAAAGTCGTTTATCTCTGCGCTAGACTAGATAATAGATATACCCCAGGAGGGGTAAGAATTCCTACCGTCCCGGCCTTATTTTCTATTCGGTGTTCCTTTGTGGCGGTATGCTAAAACGCGCCAGGGTGATGCTAGATCAAGCCATAGGTTTCGGGCCTTGGGGGCGCGCGGGGGACGGAGGGGATCGAAGAACTTTCCCGCGCGGGAGAGGCGCATAAAGTTTTTGAATCGAAAAGGACACTGTAGTACAGTACTCAAGGAATCCTCTTGTTTGACAGAATAGAAGGACGTACGTCAGTCGCACGCGCGGTGAGGAAGTTGAAACAGCACTAAATGACGCCTGTAGGAGGACCACCCCATTGCTTTTGAACAAACAAACATTGATCGGCTAGCGAATTCCACGCAGGGCAGCGGAACCGCGACCAAGACTAGTCGGTTTGGCGAGTGGACGGGCAAAAAGAGAGAATCATGGCTGCCTCGAGCAGGTTGAAAACTAAGGCCGACGGCACGGGACTAAGGTTGCCCTGGGCGCACGCGGGGAGGTTCCGTGAGTTTTTGATATTGAGATTTCGAGGCACTCCCTATGTCTGCACCATTATAGACAGATATGAAGAATTGGTGTTGAAGTATGTTCAGTGACATCGACCTGCTCAAACTGAAGGATCCAACCACCATTGATGTTTCGTGGGACAAAAAGCACACAGCCAGATAACAATGCCTGGGTTCCGAAAGGCGGACCGGTGGAAATAGCGTTAGTCAAGTGTTTCTCATCTCACCCTTTCCGAGTTTCGTGTGCGAATGAGGAGCGATCGTTGGAAATGAGATCCACCATGCGAATCCGACTAAGCCCAATGGGCTGACCAACGAGGAACACGGAATCAGAAAAATAGCTGGAGATGGTTCGGATCAGAAAGACCGGTAAATGCAGGCTGTCTCATTCTCTCAAAATGTTGTAGTGCGCCTGCTCCGAAGGTCTTCGTATTGCCCTTGGCAGAGTGCGGAGAATGACGTTGTCTTGTTTGTAGACAAAAAGATTGTTGTTGTTCTTCGTCAAGCGACCGGCGCCCAGTACGAGTAGATCTGAAACAATATCTCTGTTATCAACGATTGGCATATCTCCTGTGAAAAATTTCCTCTTCACTCGGGCCGGTCGGTTTTGACAAGAAAAAGAACTAAAATGCCAGTGGACCAAGCAGGATGATAATCACAATCTGTTAAGGTATTGTTGGGACCCAAGGTGCATTGCATCTGGTCTTGCATCTGCGGTATGACGCCAGTCCAGGAGGCTCCCGTCCATAACTGTTAAGAAAATAAGAAAATAGGGCAAAGCGGGAACCTCACGCACCTCTAGCAGATGACCGGCTAAACCATGTGTGGGCAAGTTAAAATTCTGTCGTCGGCACCAAAGCTCACCAAGTGGGGAGGCCGCCACTCTTTGTATCTGCAGGCGGCCAACGACAGTGCTCAGCCATGCCTGGGACCAGAAGCCCTTTTCCACCGAAAAGCAGAATCACCGCCACAGAAGTTCTCCCAGATGTGCCTACGTAGTTGGCTGTACCTTTCAGACTGACGGACGAAGGAGGGGTGTTGGTTGAGGGACTTTCTGTGGTCGACCAACCCTTCCAGACCCTCCTATGACGAAGGAGAGAACAAGCCAAAACGAATCAAAGTGGATAGAGAGTCGAGATTGAACCCGCCAGATGCGAACCGGATATTGGCAGTTTCCCCGTAGAAATTGGCAAACGACGGAGGCACGAGGGCACGAGGGAACCACCCAAGGGCATGGGGTACCTTGCCCATCCATCGATGAGACTGGTGGAGCCTCCGTCAGACCTCGCAACATGCAAGAAAAGTGCCAACCCCAAGACGGTCGTAGAGAGGGAAAATTAGAGCAAAAACAGGAAAAAAATAAGCTGCCCAAAGGATCTTAAATACTCAACTGAATCCCATTATCCTGGCCGGCTTGTGTCGGCCCTCATACTTACCTCGAACTACACCTCTTTTTCTTCCCTTCTTCTTCTCTTTTTCCTCCTTCCCTCATCCCTACTTTTGCCTCACCCTGCAACAAACTGATATTTCCCTGCAACTACCCCTTCCTATGCAGCAAAGGTCTGGCGCTTTGATTCTCCACGCTGGCTTGGCTCTCTGCTCCTCCTCCACCATCCCGCTTTTGTTAATAGCTTGAGAGAACCACGCAACTCAAACGCAGATTGAGTTCTGTAATACTGATTGCTCCCGGCATTCCGTATCCATTGTATCGCCGTATCGTCAGGCAGTCTATCACCAGTCAATCAATCCGTCTGCGACAGATTCAATTCAGCGAGCCCCTTGCCAGAATTTCGTCCCGGTCATCGACACCCCATTTGCGACCTTTTCTTGAAGCGAAACAAAATATTTGCCACCCGCAGCAAAACTCCTCGGCCGAAGCCTCTGTGAACGAATATCCATAAGCCCCTATGCAACAGTGGCCTTGAAAGTGAACCTCTATCAAAGCCTCCTTTAGGTCCTTGACAATTCTTATCTTCCCACGCGATCATCCTTGCGGCCACGGCAACCCTGCGAGCGATTGCCCTTTGCGACCACATCACGTGTTTTCATTCTACGCTGACCCATTGTCTCAATTGTCTGGTACAATGAGCAACCTCGATATAGAGAAGAAGCCCAGCGCCGGGCAGGTGACGCCCAGCAGCGAGTCGGCGTCCGGATCCGACGATGCGGACGCCCTCAAGTTGGCCGAGATGGGATACACGCAAGACTTGCAGCGCAATTTCTCGGTGCTCTCCCTGATCGGCATTGCGTTCTGTATGTCTAACTCCTGGTTCGGTATCTCCGCCTCATTGATCACCGGTATCAGCTCCGGCGGAACGGTCATCATCATCTATGGCCTGCTGTGGATCACCTTCATCTCGTGCTGTGTGGCATCGTCGCTCTCGGAACTGGCCAGTGCCATGCCCAACGCGGGCGGCCAGTACTTCTGGGCTGACCAACTGGCTCCGAAGAAGTACGCTCGGTTCGCTTCCTATGTGACCGGCTGGTTCGGCTATGCGGGTGCCATCTTCGCGAGTTCCAGTGTGGTGCTCAGTCTGGGGTCTGGTGTAGTGGGCATGTGGGCGCTGGGCCATCCTTCCTTGTATGCCTTTCCCCCCCTTCTGGTAGCCTCCGTTGTGCTGACCCCGATGACAGTGTTCCCAAACCCTGGCATACCGTCGTAGCATACGAGCTCATCAACCTCTTCTGCTACCTGTTCAACTGCTGGGGCAAGTTCCTCCCGGCGGTCGCCAAGGCCACGCTGTACATCTCGCTGCTCTCATTCTTCGTGATTCTGGTGACGGTGCCGGCGTGCGCCAGGCCGCACGCCAGCGGTTCGTTCGTGTTCGGGCACTTTGTCAACTCGACGGGGTGGAAGTCGGACGGGATCGCGTTCATCGTCGGGCTGATCAACCCCAACTGGATCTTCGCGTGCCTGGATTCGGCGACGCACCTGGCGGAGGAGGTGCCGCAGCCGGAGCGCAACATCCCGATCGCGATCATGGCGACGGTGGGGATCGGGTTCGTGACGTCGTGGTTCTACTGCGTGGCGATGTTCTTCAGCATCCAGGACTTGGACGCGCTGCTGAACTCGAGCACGGGGGTGCCAATCCTGGAGCTGTACTACCAGGCGCTGCGCAACAAGGCGGGCGCCATCGTGCTGGAGACGCTGCTGATCGTCACGGGCATGGGCTGCCTGATCGCGTGCCACACGTGGCAGTCGCGGCTGGCGTGGGCGTTCGCGCGCGACCGCGGCCTGCCGGGCCACCAGTGGCTGTCAACCGTCAATGCCAAGCTGGACGTGCCCATGTGGTCGCACTTCGCCAGCTCGCTCATCGTCGCCCTGCTCGGCCTGCTCTTCCTCGGATCCTCCACCGCCTTCAACAGTATGGTCACCGCCTGCATCTCCCTGCTGTACATCTCCTACTCCGTGCCCGTCATCTGCATGCTGATCCGCGGCCGCGACACCATCAAGCACGGCCCCTTCTGGCTGGGCAAATGGGGCATGGCCGCCAACTACATCACCCTGGCCTGGACTCTGTTCTGCTTGGTTATGTATTCCTTCCCTGCCACCATGCCCGTCAACACCGGCAGTGAGTTCCCCCTGTTTCCTGGTCCATCCATCCATTCATGAACCAATTGACTGACCCTCAACCCAGACATGAACTATGTGTCCGTCGTCTACGGCGTCATCATCTTCATCATCATCTGTGACTGGTTCGCCCGGGGTCGCAAATCCTTCCGCGGCAGCCAGAGCTGTGTCGAGGACGCCGCCGCCGCCGCCGCCGCCCACTAAACGAAACACATCTGCATCTTCACTCCTGCATCATGCCAGCACATTTCACACCCCTTCATGATTAGCGTTGATCAAAGCGTTCCGCTGGCCAACTCGCCATTCCGTGCGATTCTTGATTCTCAAGTAAACCAGAGTCAAATAACGACCACCATGCGACCACAAAAGAAGAAAAGAAGTTATGACCACACCAAAAAAAAGAGAGAAAAGAGCTGTACATAGACGATACCCTGGTGATAGAGTCGATATATAGACAATGATTCCCAAGATAAAATAAAATTGAATAAAGATTTCTGTGTTGCTGTTCGTTAGTAAACTTCATCTGTCAGTCAATGCTTAGTCAATGCTTGAATGGGCTGGTCCAGCGACCCCTGCTGGGTATCCTCGCTCTGGATGAACTTGGTCTTGGTGGATAGCTCAAGTGCCACCTGCACTCCAACACAACATCCCACCCAGACGAAACACCAAAGGAAGGACGAAACCCCAAAATAAATGCCCAAGCCATCCAAAGAAAGCGGCTTTATTTAAGGCGCCTGAGACGAACGGCCAGTGCAAAAAAAGTGCCATAGCTTTTTCTTTTTTTCTGCACTCCATGTGACCACCACCGGTAGGAGGCCAGACCCATCCTGAGCTTCCGGGCCGTGGGGAAGATTCGCACGCTCCGAACCTTCTAGCCCCAGCCACAAAACCGTCGGGGAAGTTGGAACCTATCACGTCCGCGAACTAGAAAGGTTCTAGTTAGGTTGGTTATCAGTGTTATGTTTCTTGGAGAGTTTTGATGCTTCACCGTCTCTTTGCTGTTGGGAATGTGTCATGTGCGTGGTTGTTTGAGGTGGAACTGAGGGTTTCTTGGAGGTTGTGGCGTTGTTAGTTGGTTTGTTTGCTCGTTAGCTGGGTAGTGAATGTAGTTGGAGGTCTGATCGGTCAGGAGCTGCAGGATTTGGAGGGTATTTTGGGGAGGCTTTTGCGAGGTGGTGGGGTTTGGGTGGTGTGTCCTTGGGCTGAGATGGTGTTGTTGACGTGGAGTCGAGACTCGATTTGGAGATGGTGGGAAGGATGTGGTGCTGGTGTGCCCTGCGCTGTTGTTCCGATGTCATTTTGATATGTAATTGAATGGCTTTGTAGATTATGGCTTCGGGTCACGCTGTGGATTCCTTGTTGGATTGAGAAAAGGACAGGCTCAGTACCGAGGACAAAGCTGAGTCCGAGCATGGTGGGATTCGTCGCTTGCTGTAATGGCAAGCGCGCACGCTCGGAGCACATTGGCTGGCAATAAGATCAAGTTAAATTCATTTTCGTAGTAGGCATGCAAAGCTGTGAGGAACGTAGACTATAATTGGAATAACATTGCTCCTTCGGGATGGCCTGTGGCGCGGTCACTATACTATCACTAGTTCTCCTACCGAGAGTACTTGGATTTCACATTTCCATGATTGCTCAGGCTCAAATACTATATTCAACTCTCTCATTCATATGCAGCAAAGAAGATAAGAAATTTAAAGCAAGACAACTTGACCCCTCATCACAGTATCATAGCAATGGTACCACGGCTTTCGTCAGAGGATCAGTAAAATGGACTTTGCCAGAGCGCGCCATTACCCCAAGCAAAGTCTCTTGACTGCTGCAAGAAGATCCGTGCCGATTCTGGGATAACGCACAATCTCCGACGCGAACTTGAACTCTGTGTTCCGCAGATATGGTTCCACAAGTACGATGAGGAAAACTCGACGGACAGTGCTCCCTGAAGGCAACCTGTCCACCGACGCAAAGTGTTCTGCTTTGATATCTCTTATACTGTAGTGCCTGTCGGGTGGCCAGTATGGCGTCTCCCGTTTCGAGTTCATGTCCCGATCCGCCTTGATAGTCTGCTCAAGACTCATGGCAACACAATCTGTCAAATCACCGACCAAACTCATATCGGCGAATATAGCCAAGTCCAAATGACGCGAAAACGAATTGCTGCGGTCTTCACGCAGCAGAGTGAACTTGCCAGTATACAGCCACTCGATGAAGAGCTCGAATGTGTGCTTGCAAGTGTGGGTGCCTTCTTGCAGAGTGGCAGACAACATCTTGGCTTCAGTGAGATTGCTCTCGAACATCTTCAAAAAGTAGGGGGACTTCTTGCACAGAAGAGCCTTAGCCAACTGGTAGGTTGGACCAGCAGGCTCAAGTCGGATGCTGACTAGAGGCCCGTGGTATAGTGGAAGGTACCTATGAGGCTACGTTAGTATATGTTACTGTGAAGCTCGGGATCACTGACGCCTCCGCAAAAGAGTTCTTTGTCGCAGTCTGTGGCTCGGTTTCAGCATCTTGGGTCAGCATCATGTACTCTGTAGCCAGTCAATCAAAGATGCTTGTCTGAACGCCTTGGTATCCAGTCTCAAAATGTGTCAGGTGTGAGTTCTCGATATATGGTCAGCAAGAGAAGCTTGAAGTTAGTTGAGAAGCGTATAAGGAATGAGATTGGGGACACGAGATGAAAAGAGGCCTTTATGTAGTAGTGACGTTCCAGGCAAGCTTTGCTCCCTGTGAGAAGGGCGGTTCCTCGCCCATGGATTCACTAGCAAGCATGGAAGTTACAAACCTAGAAAAGCTGGACCCAAGGACCGACTCATCAGTTCTCACTCAAGGCTTTGGATGTATCAAATGGTACCGTTGAATGTGAAAAACTAAATAATGGTCTCCGATGATATGTCATATCCCAGGCGCCACCGATTTTCCCAAGGAATTTCATATGAAAAAGCAAACAGCGTTATACTGCAACAATACAGCTTTCACTGTTGCCAACAGGAGAACATTTCAGGAGGCGAATGTAGGAAAAAGTCCTATTCCATTTGTATGATGTTGAATGAGCAATACAGGTCCCAGGGAGTCTTTTCAAGGAAGACTGCAGTACAGAAATAGCATTTTCCAGGCACTGGTCTCTCGGACTCTGGCAGCGAAATTCAAAAACCATATCTTCCAATCTTAGCACCGAGAACGACGACAAGGATCATGGTTGCGCAGGTCAGTTAGGTTTCAGCAATATCTCTGAGGCTCTTCATGACTTATAAATTTAACATTGTCTTCAATCCATGATTCTGTATATTGCTAAAATCAACTCGATTATGTCATCACGGTGACCATTTCCCAACCAATCAGGAAGCTTACTTTATCCATCAAAGATCTTACAAATGTTGACAGATCACGGATGAGAACGTGCCAGTCAGCATTATTACCCAGAACTTATCAAACAAATCATAATACGACGAAATTCGACAGCTCAGAGGCTAGAATCTTCTCATTGAGAGAGACACAGCCCACTCAGCCACTTACAGCGCACAAAATGGGCGTTAACATGCTACCAGCATTATTTGCGGTTCTCGGTCGCCTTAGTCAGTCTTACCCCATGCTTACACGACGGATCTCCGCCCCGCCTGGACCTGCATGCCACTAAAACTATAAAGCCGATCGTTGATGGCGGCGACAGAGGGAGTAGTTTCTGAAAATGCGCATCGCACTCAATCCTATCACAACACCTCTCTACTCACTGATTGTCCTCTCTCCTCTCATCTTCTTCATCACCAAAGCAATTCTCTCACAGAACAACCACATCGAAATGTCCAAGCCTCTCGCACACGCCTCCATCGTTGCCCGCCGCTCTAGCGAGCGCGGGTACGCCGAACACGGCGGCTGGCTCAAGACGTTCCACACCTTCAGCTTCGCCAACTACTACGACCACAAGTTCAACCAATTCGGCAGCCTGCGCGTGCTCAACGAAGATCGCGTAGCTGCGCGCAATGGTTTCCCGACCCACCCCCACCGCGACGCCGAGATCTTCAGCTACATCCTCAGCGGAGAGCTTACGCACCGCGATAGCATGATCAAGAAGGGCGCTGAAGGTGCCCAGGGCAAGCAATTCTACCGGATGAAGAGAGGCGACGTGCAGTTCACAACTGGTGGCACAGGTAAGTTTATCTCCAATCGAATATCATCTTACAATTGCTGACCAAGTGGATCACAGGCATCGCGCACTCTGAACAAAACGAATCCAACAAGCCGGTACACTTCCTCCAGATCTGGGCCCTTCCCTGGAAGTACGGACTCAAGCCTCAATATCACACGAGAACATTCGACGAGGCTGCCAAGCGGAAGGGGTTTGTGCATATCCTGTCGCCGCTCGCTGCGGGTCCCGATGCCACGGCTGCGGAAGAAGAGGCGGCCGTCCCCAAGATACCGGACACTATTCCCATCCATGCGGACTTTGTGATGGGAGCTGGTATCATTGAGCCCGAGCAGACGTTCCAGTGGACTGTTGGCGCCGGTGATGCTGTCACCCAGAAGAAGCGCAATGTATACATCCACCTTCCCATGACCAAGGGCGGCAAGGCTAAAATCAGACTGGACTTCCGCGACAATGCGGTTCTAGAAGAGGGTGATGGTGCGTTCGTCACAGGGGTGAATGCGGGGGATGTGCTCAGTGTGGAGAGTATAGGCGAGGCGGAAGCGGAAGTTGTTGTCTTGGACAGCAACTAAATCGTTATTTTGGGTTTCTTTTCTACTGGAAGGCGTCTGTTTGGTCTTTGTGATATGGAAGGCATGGTTTTTTCGATAGATGATTTGACTAGATTATGACATGTATACTAGCGGGTGTTTTTGATAGATATAATGAATATTTGAGCCTTGACTATTCAAACATTGACCAGGAATGACTCGTTGAAAGGTTGACGGATCGAGGTTATTGCATACTTCAGTTTAGCTTATGGCCCATGCGCGGATGAAGCCAAACTATCGATACCCGCCCAATCAAGTGTAGCATGCCCGGTGATGTTCCTTTCATACTGATTGTGGTTGTCTCGGACTCGCCCGCTGCCACTGCGGCGTATTTGGGATCTTAAGCGTTGCTCTCCAGTCATCCTCAATCATTCCAAGGAGCCATTCAGCTGATGTCCAGCACAATCTCGACTACCAAACCTTCTCAACCTTTCTACTCAGCTCATCCCCTCAGGCTTGCACCCTGATTTCCATGACTCTCCATTCCAGACTCGTGCCAACGACCAGCTAACGAATCTCCCCACATAGATAAGATATAGCAATCCTTGAATCTGATCTAGGGCTGTGTCAGAGCATATCTTCATCTTCTACTGTCGTTTCTGGTATTGTAATCGTCCCACGACAAAATAATCTGCACTGCACAATTGCACTACACAGTTCCTCTTTGGATACTGAATCATATCTTGCAGCAGCTCAACACTTCTCACCAACAATGCCTGCCAATTCACTACAGTGACCGGGTAAACCCCTCGTTACAAACCCATGTGCCACGCTATTCCACCCCAAAGCATAGAACTGCCTCACCGCAGCAAATAACGGCAGCGACAGCAACAAGACAAGATTCGTGCGTATATGGGTGAAAAAGAAAAGGAAGACGATGTCTGTTTCATATTCGCAGCCCGTGCAATTACAGCAAGAAAATCGCGAAAAGGAGGCGAGCTGCTCAAGAACCTTCAAGAGCCACCTCGTCCTTCTCTCCGAAGCACATGGACAATAAACGGCTGGACCTAACCGAGCCCCGCAAAAAACACAACTGGTGCGTCTGATAACCAGCATATCGATTAGATCTCAAAATGTGTCACCGCCGGTGGCGAGATCCCGCAACTCCCAACGGCCTGGACCGATCGCTGGAACACACTCACATATACAATCAGATACTCAACAAATATGCTCCTTCGGAGCGGTCCGCGAATCCGAACGGACAATCCGAAAACACGCACTTAGACTAATTAGGGAGGTCACGGGAGTACCTCAACGAACCCAACCAAATAAAAATTTCTCGCGGAGACACGCTGACTACGAGATAGCAGCAAAGAAATGGCACGGGCTTCCGATGGGCCGGGGTCATGCACGCACACTCTCACCGGAGAATGGGGTCTGGATGGGGAGACGCACCATGACAGCATCTAGTCTCTAAGTCTACGAGTCCAGCCCCGGCCCAGCCCTGTAATTGCCAAAAAGCCGCAAAGTTGCCCTTGCAAGATGGACCAGCGGCCCAATCCATGATACCCCGCTTTTCATTGCGCAATTACTACTACGTAGATATGGGGTATGTCTAACTACACCTACAGTATACGATGGCTAGTTTAGCTCTATTGGAGTCAACGGATTGCGAGGGAGGCTCTCGATTGGTATGAGTCACCAGATACCTCAGCAATCGTTGCTTCCTTTTCTCTCTTCCCCCAGACAGGGTCCAAAAAGAATACAGCTGACCCCACCACCTCGGTCTAACCGGGCGGGTTGTCCGGAGAGATTGTTTCTGGGGAATTGCCTTCCAGATCGTTAGAGTATGCGTACTAGGGTAGGGATGACACGGAGAACTGACCCGGAGAACCTGACACTGACACGGAGAACCGGCGCCTTGTTATCTTCTCCTCAACGGACTCCGTTAGCCCAGGAAACTCCGAGTACAGTACCCAGCAGCTAGAAAAAATCTTCTGCCTCCGGTGATCATGATCAAGGATAGACGATGATCCGCTTCGCCCGAGCACCGTACACATTCTTGGCAAGTTGCAGGGGCGTGAGAATGTGCGGCGCACGGATTGGCCGGCGTGAGGGGGATTCCGTCGCCGATTGAAATGGGTCTGGAGACTGGAGTCGAACGTGGGCAGATTGATGGGGCTCAGCTTCACAGCAGCTACCTATGTCTTTCCGGCCGCGACCCTGTTCGAAGAAACATGCACGTTGCGGATGCTTGAGTTATCTGCGGCCCTGCCAATTCTCTTCAAGGGCTGACGCGCCAGGAAGTTCCGATTTACATACAGCTTGCCCGACAGCTGCGGTATAGTTCTCAGGCTAATTGCCAGTTAGTGTAGGCGGCGATAGGACTGGGATGGTTGGTGGTGGCTCGAGCTGGAGGGCGATCCGCGTGGTTGAGTGAGTGCGCTGCTTTTCTTCCCCGCTCTGGCAAAACCCCGCCCCCTCATTGGCCTGTCACTGCCGGGATCGGATCGCCTTGGAGGGGAGCATTTGCTCTCTATTGTACATGTAAATTAAAAATCTTTTAGTTCTTGATTTTTCTCTTTGCTCTCATGGGTGTCTATCGGCATTGATCGCCGCAGCGATACCTTTGTTGACGTTCTTATCGTCGTGCTCGACAGGTACACGTCCGGGACCCTATCTCATACTCAACAGGGGTGGTTCACCTGTTCGGAAATGCTTGCCTCTTCAGCGTACAGTGCGGAGTGTGTAGAACAACCACCATAGCATCAGCTCTCCAGCAAATGCCGTAATCCCTGGCTTCTCTCTTCCACTGCTCTCATAATGCCCTCATTTGACCATCATGGTGGACGAATCTGCTGAAGTTCGCCTTCCGACTACGCCTTGATTGCATCCCGAGTTACGTAAAACTAAACCCGATCAATGGCCAACTGCAGAACGTGCTGGTGGATGGATGTTTCTGGCGAATTCCTCCTTCCAACAAGCCCTGAACTACTACTGTCAGGGCTAGAAGATAATGGCGATCTCCTGAACTTGCCTGATCGGCCGATGCTGGCGGTCATCCCGGGGGGTTCAAGTAGTGTAGATACACAACCGGGCCAAAGAAGGCGGAATGAGGAAGGTAGATGGAGATGGAGATGGCCGACAGGAAGAAAGCCCTGACGCCATCTCCTACTACGACAAACATCAGTCAATCTTCACTGACTAGTCATACAGGAAGAGGAGAAGAGTACGACGACAACGACTGGAATAGGATATTTCATCCAGAGTTTTCAAGCCGCCTGACCTGGTCCAATTCTATGACTGATAGCCATTACTCGATATAAATCACCTCGGAAACCACATCGGATCAGACTCCCATCACGGGACGAGGATCTGTCTCCGTCATTTCTGCGAGAGTGGGAACATGCTCTTTCTTTTTCTCTGTCTGTGTCTGTGAGCCATTTGCAAAAGCGGTGGACTGACTGACTAGTCTGCGACTCCATTGTGTAGTGCGCGGTAAACCCCAGACGATCCCAATCCAGACCAGTCGGCTGTGTCTCCTAGGGTACATGGTGGATGCTGCAATTCTTGCTTGTTGGAACAGTTGGCTCCTCAGGTCCCCATCGTCGCAGACACACAGACCGCAGTTACTTATACAAGGGGCCCCTCCTCCCAGACCTTCGTTTCTTGTTGAACTATAGTATACCGACTGAGTTGAGGACCTTCTCCCTTTATTCCACGCATATCGTCGTTCTGGTGTGGTACCCGAAATAACAACCAACCTACCCCCCCTTTGTGCCTGAATTTAGCACGATCCTGCGTCATTGAAGGCGATCCCTCGTGCATACATACATATCGATTGTTTCTGGCCAGCAGGGCTGATTAGGGTCTCCTCTGGCTGTGGGTGCGAATCTCGGAACCAAGCACCGGACCTGATCCACGGGCTACTGCGGGCTTTTCAATTTTTTTTTTTTTACTCTTGCTGTTGTGGATATCAGTTTCGGCTTCAGTTCAGGTAGCACGGAAATTCCTTGTAAGTCTGGAATTTTGATTTTCCCTTGTCACCCTTTTGTTTTATTATTTTCGGTGTCGTGTTTTCGCCTGGTTATTATTACTTTATTTTTTTTCGGGGAGGGGAGGCTTTGCGTTATCGGTGCCCACCAGAGTGAGATCAATTCCCTCACTGGCGTCAGACCAGGTCCCGGGGAGGGTGTCCACAATCCACATTGCTTGCCCATGTTGGAGTATCCGGTGATTCTGATTATTCACATTTCCTTGTCCTGGTCAAGGGATATTCGTATTGTGTGCACTGAAGGGCCCGAAAACAGCGCATTCTCTTTTCCCATTTACTAACCAAAAACCCCCCTGCTCTTGGCGAGTAGTGTGTTGTATAGTAGTCTCAGCTGCGCCGATTTGGGGTTCAGGAGTTGGAGCATTATCAATTATCAACAATCCCGCCGCGCCATCTCCAACACTTTATTTTTTTTCCCCTTTATTTTTTCTTCTTCTGTGGCAGCGGAGTCTTTAGTACGCGGCGATTTCCTCGAATCTTCTGCCCGACGGATATCATCCATCCATCCCAGGAAGCAACTTCCCTTGAAGTAGTAGCTAAGCAGCTACAGTATCTTCAAGATCTTGCATCATCAACTTCTGCAATTGCGGCATTACTGATCAAAAAATCTGTCGCGACAAGACTAATAATAGTCCCCTGAGTTATATAACAAAATACGTTCCTCCTCATCATCGCATCGGAAGTTGTTCATCGATCTCCATATTTTCTCTTCTACCCCACCGTGCCGCCGTTTCTCCTGCCTCGTTCAACCACCGCTACTTGCTGCACTAGTCACGACCAACTTACGTTCCTGCGTGCGCTGTTGTGTGTTGTTGGGATACCACCTGACCTGGTCTCGGATTAAGGGAACTACATTTACTTACCTTGGGCTGCTCTCCGATCAAAATACTCTCACTTTTCCTTCCTCGTGTTCCTTTTTACCCCGCATCCTCTTTTCTTTCCTCCCGCAGCCGCTGGTGGCTTTTTCTTTCCCTCCCTCCTCCACATTTTTCCGACCTCTCCTCCTTCTTCTCCTTCTCCCCATGACACAACAAAAGACCATCGCTGTGGTAAACGCGACGGGCCGCCAAGCTGCGTCCTTAATCCGCGTTGCCTCGGCCGTGGGACACCATGTGCGCGCTCAGATTCATTCCCTCAAGGGTTTCGTCGCCGAGGAGCTGCAGGAGCTTCCGAATGTCACCTTATTCGAAGGCCCGCTGCTGGGCAACACTCGCCTGATGGATGCATTGTTCGAAGGCGCCAATCTTGCATTCATCAACACCACCTCACAATCGGGCGACGAGGTCGCAATCGGCCGCGACCTCGCCGACGCCGCCAAACGCGCCGGAACCATTCAACACTACGTCTACAGCAGTATGCCCGACCACTCCGTACACGGCCCCTGGCCTCCGGTGCCGCTTTGGGCCCCCAAATTCACCGTCGAGAACTACATCCGCCAGCTCGGCCTCCCTTCAACCTTCGTCTACGCCGGAATCTACAATAATAATTTCACGAGTCTGCCCTACCCTCTCTTCCAGATGGAGCTCATGCCGGATGGAAGCTTCGAGTGGCATGCGCCCTTTGATCCGGACATTCCGCTGCCCTGGCTGGACTCGGAGCATGATGTGGGACCCGCGTTGCTGCAGATTTTCAAGGATGGGCCGAAAAAGTGGAATGGGCATCGGTAGGTTTGATTTTTTTTTGTGTTGGAGGGGGTTGCGTACGTTGCTAACGACCGCAGTATCGCGCTCACATTCGAAACCCTCTCTCCAAATCAAGTCTGTGCGGCCTTTTCGCGTGCGCTCGGCCGTCCTTGTCGCTACGTGCGTGTTCCCAAGATCGAAGTCAAAGTCAACATCCCGCCGGGATATCGAGAACAGCTGGAGGCGATTGAGGTGGTGTTTGGACAGTGCGACGCGCCTTACTTCCCACAGCCCGAGTTTTCCCGTCCGGCCGCTGGTTCCCCTAAGGGACTGGGGCCTGCCAATGGCAAAGGCGCAGGCGCGGGTATGATGCAGGGTCCCGGAGGGGTGATTTCGCTTCGTGTGACCGACGAGGCCCGGCAGCTGTGGCAGGGGTGGCGCGATATGGAGGAATATGCGCGAGAGGTCTTCCCGGTGGAGGAAGAGGCCAACGGATTGGACTGGATGGTGTAGCGGTGGGAAGAAGAAGACTGTTCCAGTTGGATTCCGACGAGCACGTGCTCGCGGTTGTCGGTGAGTTTGGCTTGGGCCGTCACCTGATCGATGGCGCGATAGGCTCGCGATAAGGGCGAGGTTACACTCGATTTGAAAGCCTGCTCAAACCCGGGCTTTGACCGGTCGGAATTCCGCTCCATTTTAATCCCTCGCTCACGACAGGAGAGACGAGACGAGACGCTCACACCACTCTGCTCACCGAATTGCAGTCTTGCCTGTTGGCGCGCATTTTGCTTTGGCCTGTTTACTTTTTTTTTCTGCATGCATGCATCACCGGCGAACTGGCCTGGGTTTTTCTTATCAATGTCTCCAGGGAAAGAGGCATTCCAAAAAGAAGTGAGAAAGAAGAGAAGGTCTACACCTTAATGGGAAAGCAACAAACAAGAGGAAAGAGATTTGAGGTTATTACCGCTCAAACTCACCTCGGGAAAAAGTTTTTTTATCTTTGATTTCTTTTATAATGTTCTGGCTGAAACGCACGTCACGACTATGCAGGCATGATGATGGACATGTCGGGTTGATCGTGGATGTTCAGGATCAATCTGCACGCGCCAAAAGTTTCTTTTTTCTTTCACTCTCCATTCTTCTTCTTCTTTTTTTTTTGCACCTTCCATTCAATTTCTGGAATGGAATGGGTGTTCTTTCTTGTTTCTGTGCTTTTAGTTAATTTATTCCCCTCGGATGCTGCGTGCATCGGCGGCTACTGATTTATGCAATTCGATATTTTCAGCTTTGGTTTGAGTATTCGTATCTGTTTGGGACTAATGGGATGAGCGTGTAGATGCAAACATGATCTGGGTTCGATTCGACTCTCTGGGGCTACTATCGAATGTTCAAGCCCATGGCCAACAATTTCTGCCTTTGTCTCTTCTGCGAAGCTTCCAACTGACACAGTACTGCAGCTTTTGTAGAGATTATCTCTCTTGATTCCACTCCGTACGAAATATGAGCAATACTTTACCACAGAAACAGCTGGCAATCCTCCTCTTCGAAAGGCATTTCATTCTCATGAGGACTGATCCATGGATCTGCGAAATAACCAATCGAGAACCTTTTATGCCGAGGAATCGAAGTCCACACACAACCGATCATGTACAAAGACTACATCCAGACGGAGCGAAAGACAGGTACCTTTCAACATCCTTGGGACATCATTTACCAACCGATCCAGCGAGAGGGTATAGATGTCTATGAGTCTCTCAGCAGGAAATGAGCATTCTGTCCAGGTTCCAACACCAGATCCACTCAGAAGAATCGCTGAGCGATAGAGAGGTATTACCTACAATGCCAAGGCGCAGCTATCCGTATAACCCCAGTCGGAGAGCCATACAGAAGACTTTCGATGCAGCAGTACTCTGTAGTCAGTTTGAATCTCTCTGGTTGATCTTATAGGGAACTTGACTGGAGATACTCATACTATGCATGCACAAGGCTTATGCATGTGATGACGTCACCATCATTCTCACCATATACCCTTTGAATCTTAGAATATGAATGTATAGTCTATTTCACAGGCAGAACAGAGTAATCTCCTCAGGGATCATACCCAGCACTCAAGAACATACCACACAAACCTGTCTGCATAAGAACTCCTAGTGCTAACAACCAACATGCCAGTGGATGGTAATTTGTAAAAGCTGAGAGGTCCCACCCACCCCTGAACTAACCAAAGGAATCTATGGAACTGGCTAATTAACCCCATTAATGTCCCCATTACAGCACCGGGACCACCAATCCAATACCCCAACCCAATGAGAGGAATATCCTTAGTAAATTAACACTTGAACAGCAAACAAAGCGGCAAGGCTTGAATCAAAAGCTTACTCACATCTTAGCTAACGACCCCAAATTCCCCATAGAGTACCAATAAGCAACAGGAAACAAAACCAAGCGAAAAAATCTGCAAACAAGCTAGTCCAGCTCCGGAAGCTCAGCTCTCCCGCCCGGCGCTTTTGGTTAAGCTAAGGTATACTAGGTAGGCGGTCCATAGCCTGTACTGTGCCGCAAAGCTAGTTAGTTAACTACTTCCAGTAACTAAGGTAGTATTACTGAGCTATCAGTCAGATTGCAGTGCAAGTGCCCGGGGGCCGTTAGTTAGCCGTCGACTTAACTTTTTCATTCACTTTCCTCTCATTCTTGTTCTTACTCTCCTCGCCTCACTTCATTATCGATTCCTTCTTGGATTGATTATCGGGAATCTACACTATCTAGTCAAATTTATTTCATAAAGAACGCATACACACAAGACAATGTCCACTGAGCAACAAAACCAGTCGCTGATGGAGCGGATCCAGCGGCCGGAGATGAGCAAGGAGACGCAGAAGAAGATTGCGATGGTGGAGCAGGAGTTTATCCTGGCCGAGGTTGAGCAGTGTGAGTTACTACTTCTTCTCTTTTCTTTGCTTTGCTGTGGCTTTTTGGGCTGTGGGTGTGCGCACTCTGCGCTGGCGTGAAGCTACGGTGTTGCTACTGAGTGAGGCTTGCATTGCGCTTGGAGGTGGATTGGACTGGTTGCTTACGATGAATTTGATTGACGGTATGACTGATGTATACGATTTTAATACAGTGCGCCACTCCACACTCCTCTTCCGTCCCCTCTTCGAAAAGCGCAAGGAGCTCATCTCCACGCCCGACCTGGTCGACACCTTCTGGACGCGCGTGATGCTCAACGCGCCGGCCGAGATCGAGGAGCACATCACCATGGAGGACGCGACGATCCTGGCGTCCACGCTTAAGAACCTCAGCGTCGAGCGGTTCGAGGTCGACGACAAGGGCAACGGCGAGCCGCGCAGCTTCCGTCTGACCTTCGAGTTCCGCACCGGCGACGAGAACCCCTACTTCACCAATCAGACCTTGGTCAAGGACTTCTACTGGCGCAAGCAGGTCATCACCACTGCCAATGGCCACAAGCGCCACTGGGACGGCCTGGTCTCGGAGCCCGTCCGCATCAACTGGAAGGAGGGCCAGGATCCCACCAAGGGGTTGCTGGACGCGGCCTGTGATCTGGCCGATGCCGAGAAGAAGAAGGCCGCGGACACGGACCGGAAGGAGTTGCCCGAGTTTGAGGCGCTGATGCGCAAGCGCGATGAGGTTGAGGCCGCTGGCGATGAGGCCAAGGCTGAGGATGACGAGGACGAGGATGATGTTCCCGAGGATGCGCCCTTGAGCTTCTTCTCGTTCTTTGGCTACCGCGGGAGCGACGTCACCGCTGAGCAGTCGAAGGCGGCGACGAAGGAGGAGGAGGAGAAGTATGAGAAGCTGAGCAAGGGTGAGGACGTCGAGGAGAACGACGACGAGGACGACGAGGATGATGACCTCGAGGATGACTTCGAGTTCATCGAGATCTTCCCTGGTGGCGAGGAGCTGGCCATCGCCGTCGCCGAGGATCTCTGGCCCAACGCGATGAAGTACTTTGGTAAGTGATGTCCGATTACCTTGCGTTTCACATTCCACCTTGACTGACGGTGTCTAGTCACGGATGCTACCATCGAGGAAGGCGACTACTACAGCGATGTCGACGTGTCCGATGATGAGGACGAGGATGAACGTCCCCGCAAGAAGACTAAGGTCTAAATCGGCCTTTTCAACCCTTTCCTCAAAGCACAAGCAGCAGGATCAGGAGGAGTACTAGAACGAATATCAAGACGGCGATGGCGAAGGAGGACATTGTATCTATGGGCGACGATCTGATTAGTGATTTTTTCTTCATTTTGTTTTGTTTTGCGCAATCGGGGTTGGATAGAGCACCCTCCCCAACAAAAGTGAGAAATCGATTTTCCCTTACCTTCATTCTTCCGAATGATATGCTTCAACCTCGACATGCCGCTCTGTACCTTTCCACCAACGCGATCGGCCAACGTATCAACCTCATCAATCATGACCGCCTGCTCCTCCAACTCACGGCCCATATCATCCGCCTGCTGCCGTAGATTGCCCACTGTCCGAAACACGCCATCAAGCTGCTCATCCTGCTCATGCATCAGCTCCATCTGCCGCTGCTGCTCCATCGCCGCATAGTAATCATCACCACCCGACGGCGACAACAACCCGCCAGCATCCCCATCATCGAAATCCGCCGGATTCGGCAACCCATGCGTTGCGGCGGTTGTCGTTGTCGTCGCCACCGCCCGCTGCAACTCCTCCCGCATATTCTCCACCTCGGCGCCCACCTCCGTCACGAGACTCCGGCGCCGCTGCACCTCCTCCAGCTCCAATCCGAAGCGGTACGGATCCTGCTCGATCGCGCGCACGCTCTCCACGAGATCATCCAGGTCGGCTGTGAGATCTGTCAGCGTGGTCTCGAGTTCTGATCGCGCTTGCTGTAGCTCTGGGTTGCTGGGCGATTTGGCCAGTGACCGGATGCGCAGGTATGAGGCGAATAGGGGCCGTGTGCTTTGGAGCGTGGAAAGAACCTCTCTGTTTTTTGGGGGGGTTGTATGTTAGTTTGCTTCCGTATGTTGTCTGTCGGGTGGATTGGACTGGATTAAGGGACTGGACTGGGCATGGGCGGAGCTTACGCTTGGACTTGGAGGAAGGGGTCTGTGTAATCCATTGTTGCGGTTGTATATAGTTATTTGGGGTGAGGAGGGTAGAGTGTTGTATGAAGTGCGTAGGTAGAATGCGAGATTCGAGAGGAGACGGATAGATAGGTTGTAGGGTAGGTAGGTAGGGACTTGGTTGTCGGTCGTCGGGGATGCCGTTGTTGATACGGACGGGCGATGGTGGCAGGATTGCTGCATGGGGTAGGGCGGTCGGGAAGGCGGTGGTATATTTTTGGGGTCAGGCTTGTGCTGCATCGGCGGTGCCCCCGGTTTATGCGGGGTGCTCTTGGTCCAGCTCAGGCTGTAGAAGTTGGTATATACTGATCTCGTTCTCACTTTCGCTTTTGATCTTACTTCCAGTAAGCCCCTCTGTATATGCTCACTTGTCGTGTGGTTCCTACGTCTTCTGAAGACATCAGGGGGCGTATTACAGTTGTTTCCATCGACTTACAGTAGTACATTGATTGTGCAGTACAGTGCCTACACGGCCGGATATTTGTCTAGTTTATCCTTTTCGACATACATCCTTTTCTGCGATGCTTCTGGCTGTCTCCTCGCTAGAACTCGTGAAACTCCCGAGCGTTTACTTTGTTATCTCCGGTCCACTGGACAACCTTACTTGCTCTTGGAAAGAATGCTAGTATATCTGGCACGAACAGCCTAATCAACCTTCGCGAATCATACAAACAAAGCAACCACCTCTCGCGCACAATGACAAGCCATGGCTTCTGGGTTAAATGCACCGTAATGTTGCATTACCTCTTTGACACCAAGTCCACAACCCCGGCATAATCAACGAGGTCAAAGGCAGGGGCGGCGCAAGTGCTTGCTCCGCGGTGGGCTCAGTGGAAGTTGGATCTTCCACCGACGTCTAGTCCATGAAGAAACAGATGTGGCTGCATTACTCAGCCAGAGCTGCCTGCTGTAGCCATAATTCCCACATCCTCTATCGTATCCACCCTGAGGAGACATATACTAGGTATCTGCATCCATCGCCTTAGTATGTGGAATAGCAACCTTCGATCAAGCTCTACCAGCCCAGCAAAGACATGCTTTCGACTCGCAGGCAGATATATGCAAAGGTTGGCTTGGTGATGCCTATCCTCCCCTCCTCAAGCCAGATTTGACAAAGACAATCAAGAAGCTGTAGATCCAGCTTTGGTTCATGTGCTATATGACATGTCCAAGATTTCAGGGCCGCAGAGCTCCGGCTGAGTTGTTTGATCGGCCGTAATCGGAGTCTACGGAAATCCGAGACAGAGCATTACATGCGATACAGGACCGGCGATTGATAGGCATCTTTCTTCATTTGCTTATAGCTATCCTGTTATTCCAATCACGTCCTCGAAATTGATGATAACTTAGAAGCCGCTTGAATTTCGTTCCACGGGAGAGCCAAACAAACACTGTAACAATTCAAGCATCAACCACAATTCTAGAACAAGTCCAACACACTCGGACAATTGACACCATCAACGTAACCAACCAACCAATCAAAGCCACTAAGAGCATAGCGCGAGAACGGTCTCCCCCATAAGCCGTCAGCCTTCCCCTGACCGTGATGGACAGGTGATCGCCTCCGAGCCGGGAGAATACAAGCCTGCCATTCTCTCCATCATCGACGCCAACGATCGCGCTCGGTGCGAACAGCAAAGCTTCCCCTACGTTGAGGTGCACGATCTTCTCGAAAAGAGTAGCCGGTCTTGTACGATCTTTTTCAGTCTGGTCAGGCATGATCTTGTCTTTGACACAATCCGTAGCAGCAGCTAGGTGTTCTTTCAGAGTACGCATCCACTCCGGGGAGCTGAAGCGATGAACGATAGTCACTGAACAGAGGTTCAATAGCGCTGTTGAGACGGTTGGCTCCTGGGTCGAAATGATGGCTCGGACTGCGAGGTGGCGCTGGAGCCGAACTGCGGACAGGATCGTGTCTGTGAACACTGTCGCCTCTGGAGAGGAGTTCATATACTGTTTTTTCCACCCCCGTTAGGATTTAGGTTCCATGAAGAAATTATAGGGGCGTATTTTCCTACCTTATGCGCCTCATCCAGAGCAAAAACTCGACCCACGTCAGAATCCTGCTGAAGGAAGATCCCCAGGCAGATGTTGAAGAGCGAACAGGCGGTCTCCGGAGAGATACAGGGACACGAGAGGTCGACGATGGTAAGTTGGCCGGGCTAAACGACTGTATCAGATTCAACCGAACAATGCAAGTAGTAGGGGGATACAAACCACTGGCTTCCACTCGGTGCCTGCATCCGAGGGTGACTTCTTCGTCCGTGCAAGACCAACAGTCTGAGCACTCGGCATAAAGCTCTCGAGCGTCTCCAAGCGTTGATTCAGAGGGCCCATTTGAGCGGGCGTCAGCCCCGAGTTGACCACGCGCGCCTTGAAATACTTGTAGTTAAAACCCCCGCCACGGACTTGCTGGGTAATTCGCATCTCGCGCAGGATCCGCTTGACAGTCTCCATATACAGCGGGACATCTTCCTGGCCCACAGCCATCAAATCCATCATCCGTTTGGTGTTCAGGTGTCTCTGGTCCACCTGCAGCGGCTCCACCGACACGTCCAATTGTGCGTACGTCTCCTTCATCACCACTCCGAGTTAGCCATCATAAATAACCCTTACTAAAAGCACCCTCTGCGCACCCTCAATACATATAATAGAAGAGAGGCGTCCCGGGGAAGAACCCCCGGACCCCCTTTTCTTTCAGCTCCCTGGGCACCTCATTCCTATACCCAGAGATAAGAGAGTAGCCGGGGGAGAACCCCCGGACCCCCCTTTTCTTTCAGCTCCTTGGGCACCTCAACCCTACATCCAATACAAAAGACCAAAGAAAGAAAACATAACTCACCAAGATACTCCCCAAATTCGTCGGCGCGCAAAGCACCCGCACACTCACCGCAGGATGCGACGCCAGAAACGCTGCCTCGCACGGCGCGCCCTTTGTATCCGAGATGAAGGTATCGTAGTGGAAGACCACAGCCGTGAGCGGCTTCGCGAGCCGGCCCAGCGGCAATGGGATCAGGCACGCCTCCAGCATGCAGGACAGGGTGTGGCTTTTCTTTTCCCGGAGCCCTGGGCGCCGCAGATGAAGGTGCTGGAGGGTGCGGTGACGTTGAAGAATAGCCGCGGATCTTGGTCGGTGGGTTCCAGCGCCAGTTCTTGGTTTGTCGAGGTGTTGGGTTCGGGGCTTGACTTTGCGAGGAGGCTGATCTGGAGAGCACTCGCGTCGCTGGGGGCGGCGGATTCGAGGTGCTGCAGGGCTGAGCTCGCGATTATGGGGGCTAGGGAGGTGGTGTCTTTGTGGTGCTGGGCTGGGCTCAGGTTTAGGAGCTGCATGTGGTGGTTCAGGACTTCCTTTGAGAAGAGAGAGGATATTGATGGGAGGGGGGTCGGTGGGCACATTTTGGGCTGTGTTGGGATGGAGAGGGGTGGGTGGTGGTGTGTTCGGATTGGGAAGTTAGGGAGATAGGTCAGGTTGGAGGAAGAGACTGGAGATGTGGGATTATGGAGAGGATGTACAAGGTTTTCCTTTTGGGTATGTTGAAGAAATGCAGCAGTGAGTGAATGTATCTATGTACTTTATAGGGTCACCTGACTCAACGAAAGCTTCTTCTTCTTCTTCTTCTTCTTCTTCTTCTTCTTCTTCTTCTTCTTCTTCTTCTTCTTCTTCTTCTCTATTCGAGGTATGTACTATACCCAGTGACGCCCAGCAAGCTGCTCCAAGTGTTTGAGATCCAGCCACCCAAACCTCGAAGTCACCCCGGATCGTTTGGCAATCATGTTCTCATCAAGGCTCATATCAGAGTGACTCCGTAGCTGCCTAAAGGCTTTGCTTTGGGTATATCGGACAGGATATCAACAAGCATGCTAAGAATCTAGCACGCCACCCGGGCCTTTCGACTCAGGGCATTAATCTATCAATATTGAAGTCTCTAGTTGAGCCTAGGCAAGACATGGGACTACACTCTGAGCAGCAACTCCTCCAAGAGCTCTTCCTTCGGTATGCTTTCAGAATTAATGGTTCTTGCCCGGCAAATTACAGTGGTTTCCTTGAGTATCCTGATATATGCCATCAAGAATTCTTTCACGGATGCATATTCTCTACGCTTTCACCAGAAGTTGTCAGCTGCATGAGAACCTCCGTCTGATAACAATGATATACCCATATCGTACTCACCTTGTCCACTGGACAAGTTCATTGTCTGCGATGATGGGATGAGTTGCTCGCAGACGTATAATAAGACGCAAGAAATGCCCTACCTCAGCAATCACCAACGACATGGCCTCTTCTCCAATCGCATTGGATACATTCTCGACCGTAGAGATATGACGGACCCTCTATCTGATGCTATTGGAGACGCAATCGACCGCAGAGACATTCTCGACAGTGAAGGCATACTTGAACATGGAGACCATTGCGATCATGGAGACTCTCTCGCCCATGGAGACCCTGAAGACCCTCCCAACCGCAAAGCCAACTGACGGCAAGCTCTCCAGCCCTGTGCCAGGGCCGGGAACCTGCACAAGGTTAGAGGACCTGCCGATGGATGTCTTCCTACTGTACATCGTAACCCAACTCCACCGACGCGACCTCCGCAACCTGCGGTTGGCCGCGCCGGACCTAGTGCACACACTGGGGGCGGTGCTGCAGCGACGGTGCCTGGGGTGGGCGATGCCCAGCGCGGCAACCTACGAGCGGTGCATGGAGCGAAGCGAGAACGGCCACCTGCAGGCAATCCGCTTGCCGGAGCCGCTCGAAGTTTCGTTTATGCGAAACTGGGTGTTTTACCACTCGGACTTGACCCACCAGCCGTTCGCGCTGGCGATCCTGGAGGGCCGGTGCGGCGTGGTGCGGAACGTCCTGGACGCGGGACTTAATCCGCACTCGCTGTACGACCTCTACGGCACGCCGTTCTGGTTCCTGGTAATCAGGAACAGGACCGTGAAGATGCTCGAGCTGTTCCTCGCCTACCCGGGGATCGACGTCAACCAGCAGACCAGCTGGCATACCCTCGTCCTCGACGACCTGCCGGCCGGGAGGTGGCACGGTTGCCAGAGGCAATATCCTCAGCTGTGGTTTGACAAGCACACCATCCTCCGGGACGAACCTGAGGAAATTCAAGAGGATACGGTGAAGATCATGGAGATGCTGCTGGCCCGCGGCGCCCGATTCAATACCCTGGACTTCCTCCGGTTCATGGTCTGCCGTCCCCGCGGGCTAGAACTCCTCCGCCAGGCTATCAGGAATGCCAACTATGTCGACGATGGCTCGGGGAAGCTCCTCATGCACCTCGCCTACGCGCTGCGCTTCCTTTCGCAGACTGTCGTAGACGTGCTGCTTCAGGAGCTTCCCGACGCGCGCACCAGGAAGGTCGGTTGTCTCGTCAGAGACGCTCTGGAGCGACGGGGTCATTTTCGCAGGTGGGGACGCCCCTCCTGGCGGATGATCGCCCACATGATCGAGGAGGGCTTCCCGTTGGGCTCCCTGGCCGGCCTGCCAAACGCCGAGTTTGTCGAGCTGGCTATCGTCCTCGACAAACTGACCCCCAATCCCAGATGGCACGGCTCCGACGAGCTGCCGGCCAGGGCTCGCCAGCGGTGGTCGCGTCTCGCAGAGCTGCTTCTCGCGCGTCCTGAGCTGCAGCAGGCCGGCTTCCAGCAATGGCGAGACCCAGTCACCATGCTCAAAGACCCGCTCCGCTCCGCCGTCGTCTCCCGAGACTGGCTCCGCGTCAACACTTTGCTCAGGCAGAATACCGGTCAGTGGCAGCGCATGAAAGGCTACTAAAACCCCCACACCCACCCACTTTCCTACAATACATAAATGTATAACAGAATAAAAGCGTCCCGGGGGAAAACCCCCGGACCCCCCTTTTCTTTCAACTTCCTGGAAACCTCAATCCTTGCACAAGAGATAGAGAGTATCCGGGGGAGAACCCCCGAACCCCCCGTCCTTCCAGCTCCCTGGAAACCTCAATCTTATGCAAACTACAAAATCGATATAATAAGAGGATCAAAAGTATTCAATCAATTGAAATAGATATTATATTCATAACTCATGACATGGATCTAACTCAGTGCGAAGCACTAAGCTAAGCCTTCCGCTGGATATCAACCTCGGCCCCGCGCTGCCTCGCCTTCCCCTCATCATGCACGTCGCGCCACGCGGCCTCCTTGCTCTCATCCCCCGTCGCAGCAGCAGCGACCTTGCCGACGCCGCCCTCGACGCGGCCCTTGACGCCCTGGCCCCAGTCCTGCAGCTGGCCCTCGGCCTCCTGCTGCTTGCCGGCCGCGTTCTGCTCCTGGCCCGCGCGCCGCAGCGACTCGTTGCCCACCAGGTTGCCCAGCGACTCCTTGGCCGCGCCCAGTGTCTGGTCCCAGCTGCCGTCCGTGCGCTTGGGGTGGTCGGCGGCCGTCGCGCCGGTCGCGGGGTCGGCCGTCACCGGGCCCAGCTTGGCTGCTGTGTGGCTTGCTTCGTTTTCGGCTTTGCCGGTCTGTTCGGTTTGGTGGCCTTGGCTCTATATAAGGTATCCGTTAATATCGGGTGGGTCATTATTCTGGGTAGAGGATTGAGGTGGCCAGGGGGCTGAAAGGAAGGGGGGTCCGGGGGTTCTCCCCCGGAACGTCTTGTTGTGTGTATTTTGTGTTGTGTATGGGGGTGAGTTGGGGGGGGGAGAGGGGGAGAGAGAGCGTACCTTGGTGGAGGCGTCACCGGTCAGGGAGCCGACGGCGCGCTGGGCCATGCCCATGCCCTGGTCGAGGTAGGACTTGAGGGTGGAGGAGTTCTCGGTGTTAGACATTGTGAGTGGTGTTTGTTTGGTAGAAGTTTGGGTATAAGGTTGTGTGATTGTAGTTGTGGTTTGCGGATTGTGGAAGTAGAAGCAGTAGTAGAAGTCTGATTGTTTGTGCTGATGATACAGACCAAAGTGGTGGTGGTGATGGTGTTTTTATAATGACTTCGTCTGGGGTAAAAAGTGCCAATGACGTCAGTCTCCCTCCATCGACGTCATCTCCGCTCCCGCTCGTTTGCGCCTCCCCGGTCCAGGGCCAGGAACAATGGACCTGACAATGACGTGTTTGAGGCTTGATGCTTTCATTCTGGGCTCTTGGTTCGCGATCTATGTACAACGACACGATGCCAATTTGTGGCCCGTGGGTCCGCTCGGAAAAATGATTTGTAACGCTTGCAAGAATGCTGGGCTAATACAACTAGACAAGAAAACTACCAGTGACAGATGCCCCCCTCGCTATCGTCCGCCGCCCACGTCCCCGACAGCCCGACCACCTGGAGATGGCCGTCGTGGTTCTCGCCCACCTTGCTCAGAGCCGCGAAGCTGGACTCCGACGGGCCGTTGCTGAGCAGGCGGCGCGCCCACGCGTCAATGGCGGGCTCGCCCGTCTCGTCGCGCGCTTGTTTCAGGAACGGGATGAGCGCCGTGCCCCCCGTGCCGCGCAGCTTCTTGGGGTCCGTCTTGTCGCCGGAGCGCGCGGCGGTGGCCAGGTTCATCGGGGCTGCCATGTGTTGGTGGTGGTGCCGCTTGGGGCTGATGGCGCGCGAGTAATTCCGGGCCGGCCGTGCGTCGCGCGACTGGATGATGATGTATCGCGACACGATCTGGATGTGCTTGTCGCGCATCACGCGCAGCATCGACAGACAGGCGTCGTACGCGATGCACAGCGCCTTGTCCGATCGGCGCGCTTCCACATACTCGCGGATGTTGGCCACCGCGCTCACGTGTTCCAGGAAGCGGCGGTGGGCGGCGGGCATGTAGGAGCGCATCTCCTGGATGAAGCCGTGGCGCGGCGCCCCGGCCACCCCATCCTGCTCCTTCGTGGGCGGTGTACCACCAGGCCGCATCTCGCCCGTGGGACGGTGCTCGATGCCCAACGCGATGTCGAAGAACTGGATCAGCGAGCTCTGCGCGTTGCTGCCCCCGCCGTACTGCCGATACTCTGGCTCGCCACGGCCTGTGTCGTACAGCAGCCCATGGGGGAGGCCGGCGTCCGCCATGTTCTTGCTGCCAGCCAGGTATGGCCGAATGCGCTGGTAGAACACGTACGGGTCGCAATGCTCATACATGCGCTCCAGCAGGGCCCCGACCTCGTCGATCACCTCTGCCAGCTGCTGCAGACACTCGGTGACGACGAGGCTGTTGCCCGCCCGCGCGGCGGCGATGGCCTGCAGAACCAGCGGGATCGACGGCGCCCCCCGAGCCTCGATGGCCACCGACACCAAGTAGAACCACTTCTCGTCGTAGGAGCCCGTGAAGGTGTTGATGCTGTCCAGGTTACTCAGGTCATCCACCGGTTCGTCGGGGAAGATCGGCTTGTAATTCCACAGGCACACGCCCGCATACGTCGCCACGGGAGGCAAACCCAGGTGATCACACACGTCGAACAGCGGCACTGTCAATTGAGGAGGGATTTTCTGGGACCAACCCATCGTCAGCTCAGCCTGTCATCATTCGTGGGGGTTTCACCGTGTTACCAACCTCGGCGGGCCTGCTTCCACCCCAGACATAGCCATGTAGCATAAACACCAGTACCACGTAGGCCCTCCGCCACTCGCTCTCGCACTGCAGGTATGAAACGGACAGCATGGGCATTTGATCCACCGCCTCCCGCATCCGTCGGCTGATCAACAGGGCCGGGATATTGGTCGCGATCCACTCCCACCGAGCATAGTACGGATCGGGGAGAACGTCAATGGGGAGCTCGGAGGGGAGGAACCCATGGTCCGGCGAAATGCCATAGTCTGCCAGAGCAGGAATCGGAGGTAGCATGGTGGTTGTTAGATGGGAGGCAAAGGTGATGATGATGATGATGATGATGCAGATGCAGATGCGCCAAGGAGAGCACCCCCTCGAAAAAGATCCAGAGAGAGATCAGAAAGACTACAGGAACCAGCAGAGCGGGTAATTTTAATCAAAGCTGTTGCTCACGTGCAATACCTCGTCTGGTGCAGGAGGCCGTCACGTAGAGCTGGCAGTCGTGTATCTGGAATCAGGTGTACGAAAGGAGAAGCAGCTCCGAGATGGCTGCGCGAGTGACGGCGACAGTGCTCGCAGGGCGAAGCTCGTGCGACAACCGATTTGGTCGCGCCCAGGCCGGATTCGAATCGATCAGGGATCAACTGCGGAGATCCAGAATCCCTGGGATTGGAATGCGTTGTTTGAGGGGGGGGGGGGGGGCAAGGAAGTGGTGAGGCAAAAAGAAGAAAACAAGACACTGTCTATTTTACCCGCGACACCTGTAGGAAGAAGAAAAAGACTCGACCAGAGAACAAGGGAAGTGTCATGGAAGAAGGTTTGGAGCTCGGAGTTTCTTAAGATATAAGCCTCGCTTGGTTGTCACGGAAGGTCACGGAGATGTGTGTAGGAAGAGAGGGACAGAGACCAGGAATAACAAGAGGTGTCAGTCAGTTCAGTTCCACTCAGCAAGACCGAGAATGGCAATGTTCCGGGAAGTTTAAATTGCTCAAAAGACTGTGATTGCTTTCCAAAGAGCGAGGAACCGGGGCAAGAGAGGAAATTAATCAGCGTGAAAATCCGGACAAAGACCGGCGATGGGATCATTTCCAGCGGGATTCAAGCCGTTCAAGCCGTGCGGACACGAGACAGGGGTAGTCATCATGTCCATCCTTCTCGTTTTGAGCGCCAGGTGAGCATTGGGGAAGGGAAAAGTCAACTAATCCGTGGATGGACGAGACGGCGAGAGTGAAGTGGGCCGGACCAGAAAGGACGGCTACGACTTATAGAGAGGGAGAGGGAGAATTGCCTCTGATAGATATGGTAGTGAGTGAATAGTTAATAGCACTGAGACGGGGGTGGCGAGAGAATGGTGAACGGGTATCAAGTGCATTGAATGGTTGAAAAGATGGGTCCTGACCAGCAAGATATCGAAGTTGAGCATGGGGAAGGAGATATAGTTCCCATGGGATAGCGGTTGAAGCATGGAGCCTGTATACAAGACCAACGGTGGCGTTGGGTGTGAGCGAAAGGGGTGTCCACCGGGTTTCAACTAGACTGAGTGCTAGAGAATGAACCGGAGAGTAGGAAAGAGGGGAGAGAGTGCGAGATCGGGCAATTAAGCGAGCCTTGGGTCCTGTTCGCTTCTACCCACGCCACCCCATTCCGGTTTGCGGTGAGGGGACTTGCTCCGTGTGGAGGCAACAAAGGTAGATGCTAGACTACATACTATACTTCGACTTCCGATCTCGGTTGCCTTCGTAGTTAGTAGCTATCAGAATCTGCTGCTGTCTGGTTATATAGAAATTAATCGTAATTTTAACCATTGAATCTCCTATCTTGCACTACATAGTGCTTCCCCGCTGCAATCTGCCCACGTGCCTCCTCTGAGCCGCATACTGCCACTACTTCAATAGAGGTCATACTTCTGAGCTCTTGCTTGCAAGTCAACTATCTATGTAATAGCACTGCACTTTACTGCGAATTACTAACGAGTCTCTACCGTCACTGACTGACGCAGCCGTGGCAGCTCTACCCCTACTAAACTACACTCACACAATCAACATCAATCAGTCATGAAGATCCATTCTTTATACACATTCACCCAGTCCCTCGTCCCAGGCCGATAATGTTACACGCTATCCGAACGCCGTACCACCGCTGATATCGTGGATAAGAAGCAAACAATCCCAAATGAACCATAAGTGAAAGAAGGAAACATTTTTAGTTTAGTGCTGGCTCCACTCAATGGAGCTCAGGTCAATACCCTCCTGCACCATCTCCCACAACGGGCTCAGCTCACGAAGGAAGGTGACCCGGTCCTGCACCGCCTTCAGCACGTAGTCAATCTCGCTGTCCGTCGTGAAACGGCCGATACCAAAGCGAATACTGCTGTGCGCGCTCTCGTCGCTGCTACCCAGGGCCCGCAGAACGTAGCTGGGCTCCAACGAAGCAGAGGTACAGGCACTACCGGACGAAAGGGCAATGTCCTTCAACGCCATCAGGAGGGACTCGCCCTCAATGTAGGCAAACGAGATGTTGACACAGCCGGGGTAGTGGCGGGTGGCATCTCCGTTGAGAGCGGTGTGTTCCATGCCAAGAAGGGCGTCGCTCAGACGCTTCGAGAGTCGGGAGATGTGCTTGGAGTCGTACTAGAGGCAAATTGGTTAGCAGTCGCTTCTCGCGTACGGGTAGGTCGGCACCAATCAGAAACCACTCGGCTCATCACCCCTGCTATGTACATCATAGAGCCACGGGAACATGCAAACGCATGTAGCTACCCCCGTGATCACTCAGATGGTGATACAATTTAAGCGTATAATCATAGCCAACACGCCGGAGAAAATGCTTGACCATCAACAGACTCGGGGAAAGAACGTACCTCCATATCCTGTGCAGCAATGCGGCAAGCTTCACCAAAACCGACGGTCAAGTGGGGAGCCAGGGTGCCACTGCGCAAACCTCTCTCCTGGCCACCACCAGAGATAAGAGGTTCGAGACGGACCCTGGGTCGGCGGCGAACGTAGCACGCGCCGATACCCTTGGGTCCGTAGATCTTGTGGCTAGAAATGGACATCAGGTCAATGTTGAGCTTGTTCACGTCCATGGGGATCTTGCCAACCGCCTGGGCGGCATCGGTGTGGAAGAAGATCTTCTTCGAGCGGCAAAGCTTGCCGATCTCCTCCAATGGCTGGATGACACCGATTTCATTGTTGACGGCCATGATACTGACCAGGGCAGTGTCCGGGCGAATAGCGGCTTCGAGATCCTCCATGCGGATCAGGCCGTTGTTCTGCACGGGCAAGTAGGTGACATCGAATCCCTCATCCTGGAGGTGGCGACAGCTATCCAGGACACACTTGTGTTCGGTCTGGGTGGTGATGATGTGCTTCTTCTTGCCGGAGCGACCAAAGAATCGAGCGACACCCTTGATGCTCATGTTGTTACTCTCCGTGGCACCGCTGGTGAAGATGATTTCCTTGGAGTCGGCTCCGATGAGCTTGGCGACGTGCTCACGCGCTTGCTCGACAGCTTTCTCCGATTCCCACCCGTAGGCGTGCGTTCTGGAGTGGGGGTTGCCGTAGATGCCGGTCAAGTAGGGGAGCATCGCGTCGAGAACACGGGGATCGGTCGGCGTGGTCGCCTGCATATCGAGATAGACGGGTCGCGTTCCTTGATCCATAATCGTGGCTTGCTTGAGGATGCCCGCAGTCGGGCTCATCGAGACATCTCCGGAGACGCCCGAGCTAGGGAGCTCTACCTTTCCGGGCTGAACGCCGGTCTGGTTGACGAAGGCCTTCTGCTCCTGCTTGATGGCGGTATCAATCGTGACCTGGGCGTTGCCAGCCTTGGTCTCGGTGACATAGGACCTTCTGGTAGCAATGCCACCGGTGGCGAGCGCCCGTCGGGGCAGGAAGGAGTTCAGGGAGGCATGCTGAAAGCGACGCGCGTAGGCGCGCGATGCCTGTCTCAAGGCATTCGGGGTCATACTGGACATATTGAGGCTAACTCTGCGACTGTACCATGAAAGTGTTCGATGGACAGTGAGATGAAATAGAGACAGAATGACAGCAGCAGAGGAGGGGATGAGTTCGCTGAGGGAGAAAAAGTTTGGATCCGGTTATATCATTGCCGAGCCCGCTAGCCCCGATCGGATTTGTCAGATACTCCGGACATTTCCCGTTTGGGCGGCGGTCTCGGTGTTCTGCTTCGATGGGCCAGCCGGCAGCCATGGGGACGGAGGATTGCGAGTTCGGAGAAAAGATGACGGGCTACAGGGAGTCAGGGACAGTACTCTACGCAGGGCTGGTGGAGTAGAGAGGGGTTCGAGTGCATATTACATCGCGGAGGCTGATCGGGGATTGTCCGATTGTTCGCTACGGGGCAACAAGAGCCGCCATCCCAGTGCTTTATGCACATTGCGCAGTCTGCGGGATATTAGGTTGTATGGGCCTGAGGCAGAGCACGAGACATTCTTTTCGTGGGAGGGATTCGCGGGAATGACAGCAACTCGATCATGCGTCGTTCACCCCGGATTCATCAGGCCTTCCCCAGGCAATGCAGCAGCCACATCGGAGAAACGGGCAGAAGCTGAGGGAATGGAAGCATAAGAGCTAAAGAGTTATGCAACTCAATACTCTGGTGCCTAATGACATCCATGGGCTGAAGTAGTGTCCGAGACCCGGATTTGCGTTCGGCCCTACGCTTCGATCTCGTCGCCACAGCTGAGATCGACTTACTCATCCCCCGGCTTGCGACTGACCGAGTTATTGCTGTCGCCTTGAAAGTGAGACGAGTCTTCGCGCGTGGAAGGTTGATATAAGCCTGCAGGACTTTGCTGCTCCTGCTTGCACTTATCTATCCCTTAGACCTCGTCACATTCCTCATGCTTCGAAAGACGCAGGCTTCAGCCACAGTTATGTCATAGGGACTCAGCCACGGTGCCCAGCCCGACGAACTGCAGTCTAACCGTCACCGGCTCTTCTGAGCAGAGGCACCACCCAATTACCTACTTGGTTCTCTACTAGTGACGGTGCTGAACAAAAGGAACTCTTTCCCCCCCACTCCACCTTTTCCCCCCTTCCACCCACTCTCTCTACTCTGTACTCCTGACGACTCTCCGACCGTGTCATTCCCCTGGTTTACCACCTCAGTCCGGTACTAAACGACCCTCTCCCTCCAAATCTCTCCAAACCGGCTCCTTCCGCGGGGTTTGCGCTCCCTGCGGCGAATCAGAGATGAGTTTGAAAGGCTTTCAGAAGAGCATTGTCCGCGCACCACAACAATTCAAGGCCAAGTTCAACATTGGCGAGCACACCAAGGACCCTGTCTACTTGGATGCGGAGCGCAGATTCCAGGAGCTCGAGAAGGAAACCAAGAAGCTCCACGATGAGTCGAAAAAATATTTTGACGCCATCAATGGTATGACCGCCGGATGCTCAATTTGCTCCCTCGCTCCCGCACCCCTCCACCTCTCCGCTTGCTGACCGACTTGGCAGGCATGTTGAACCATCAAATCGGCTTCTCGAAAGCGATGACCGAGTTATACAAGCCCATTTCCGGCCGTGCGTCAGACCCCAGTTCGTACACGATCGAAGGCAACCCGGAGGGAATCAGGGCGTGCGAGGAATACGAGGCCATCGTGCGGGATCTCCAGGAATCCCTCGTCCCCGAGCTGGAAATGATCGAGACCCGCGTCATCAGCCCGGCAGAGCAATTGCTGGAGGTGATCAAGGTCATTCGCAAGGTGGCTGTGAAGCGGGACCACAAGAAGCTTGACTACGATCGGCATAACAACTCGCTCAAGAAGCTGCAGGACAAGAAGGACAAGTCGCTCAAGGACGAGAAGGCGCTGTACAAGGCCGAGAACGACGTGGAGCAGGCCACGCAGGAATACAACTACTACAACGACTTGCTCAAGGATGAGCTGCCCAAGCTTTTCGCACTCGAGGCCGAGTTCATCCGGCCGCTCTTCCAGTCCTTCTACTATATGCAACTGAACGTCTTCTATACCCTCCACGAACGGATGCAGGGCATCAACATCGGCTACTTCAACCTGAATCTGGACATCGAGGAGGCGTTCGAGGCGAAGCGCGGCGACGTCAAGGAGCAAGCGGAGGCCCTCACGATCGTGCACTTCAAGGCCACGGGAGGACGCCGGCCAGGATCGAAATTCGGGCCCAAGGACAAGCTGGCTCAAGAGAACAAGGGCGGCTATCCGTCGCGCAATAAGGACCCCGATGTCGTCGAGAACCCCCCGCCCCCGTATTCTGCCGACTCCAGCAGCTACATGGCCGCGGCCAAGAGCAAGCCCGCCCCGCCGCCACCCAAACCCAAGCCGGCGCGGTTCAACGCACCCGTCGAGACCGTCACTGCGCTATACGATTACGAGGCGCAAGCGCACGGGGACCTCAGCTTTTCTGCAGGCGAGGTCATCGAGATCATCCACCGTACCGAAAACCAGAACGAATGGTGGACCGGACGTGTCAGCGGAAGAGAGGGCCAGTTCCCAGGTAAGACTCCGTCACCCGATAAATCTTAAATCCGCCTCGCAGCAGCCACTAATTCTGTCCCAAGCAAACTACGTCCAACTCAACTAGCATCATTCTATAATACTTTTGCTCACCATTGCATTGCCAATGCTTTCTTTTCCTTGCTTGCTTGCCTTTGGACTACTATCTGGAGTTGTGGGAGCCACCACCACTGTGCATCACTTCGATGCCGTGTCGGTCGTTTTTTAAAGCTTTTTGCCGTCCCTATTTTATCATGGCTTATCTTTGCTATAGAGCATTTTTGTGTGCATGATAATGACCCGTTCGCTGTATATACTTGAATCTCACGATCCGATCGATCGACTTCTGCTACTCTTCCTCTGGCGATTGGGCCAACTTCCTCGTCGTCTTCACTAGGTGAAACTCGTATTAACGGGATATCGTAAGACCATGTAGTCAGCGGGTGCATCCGGGGGAGAACCCCCGGACCCCCCTTTCTTTCAACTTCCTGGCCACCTCGATCCGAACCCAGAGACAAGAAAGCGGACTAGTCCACCGTCCCAGGCCACTGGGTACATGTAATCGGAACATGCGATATCAGCCTACCTCTACCTCGTATCCATTCTATGTGGGATGGACGAAGATGGAATGTTCGTCAATCGGAGAGTTGAGTCAGAAATCGATAAATGGGTGCTGATATATCTCCGCGGTGTAGAGCGTACTCAGCTGACCCTTTCCTTCCCTATCTTAGAGATTAACCTGTATGGAAAAACATACTACCTATTTACCTGGCCCGTATGTATCAGACTTGCTGTTCTTTCCTGCAGTACATCCCCATGCTAACTGAAGGGGACCATACCCTATCAGCTACAGCAAAAATCGACTGCTCCCCTTCTCCCCTTCCGTAGTTATTCTAGGTGATAGATAGATAACTTCCCGAAGCCTCCGGTTATCTATGGCTAGCAGCGCCAGCCGAAAACAGCAAAAAGTTATGACAAGAGTGGGATTCGAACCCACGCCAACTTACGTTGATCAGGAAGCTTGTGAAGCTGGGTGTTAAGGTAACCTTAACCTGACGCCTTAGACCAACTCGGCCATCTTGCCTTGATGGAAGACTGACTCTTATCTTGCGTTAACATTCCTGCAATGAAAAGCAGTGGTGATGGGTTGGGTATAGCTTGGATTTATGGGGTTGGTAGGGATGTTTACGGAGTAGTCTTGAGAGTCTCTGGAATTCGAAATTTCACCTTTGGGCTTTGGAATTGTCGTTTGTACGAGGGCTTGCGTGTTGTGTTAGTCTTATCCAGGGGAGGTCCCCTTGTATATTTTGCTCTATAGATAGACAAACTCATGTCTGATAACATATCTTAACAACCACAACCCAACAACACAACAGACCATGTATAAACACAACACAAAAACCCAGTTCAACATCCCAAAAACTATCATCTACCTTACATACTCAGGCACAGCAACCAACCCCAACCCTCCCAGAACAGTCGTGCCATTGCGCACCAGCACCCCACGCAGGGTATTCTCGACGAGCTTCCCGAGCGGCACCTGGGCTGTCATCGTCAGGTTCCGCATCACGTCCGTGTAGTAGGGCACGCGCACGCCGTCGTATACGACGTCCGTGCCGACGGTCGTGAGATCCAAGTACCCGCTCTTTATGGCCTCGCGCTGGTCGCGCAGCACGGTGCCCAGGTTTGCCAGCAGCTTGCGCAGGTCGAAGTGCCCGCGCACCGGGGTCGAGTGGTTCCCTGGCTTGAGGGTTAGGTTTGAGAGGGTGACGTTGCCCAGGAGGGTGGTGTTGCTATAGAGGTTTAAAGTTGTTGTTCCCTGTTTTTACTTCAGTCAGTATGGTATATAGGTTGAGGTTGGTGGTACCTTATTCTGAGGATTGAGGTGTCTGTGCCCAGGAAGTTGAAGGAAGGGGTTTCCTGGATATCTTTTTCTGGGATAGGATTGGGGTGCCCAGGAGGCTGAAAGGAAGGGGGGTCCGGGGGTTCTCCCCCGGATATCGTACTTTGGGTATAGTATTGGGGGGAGGGGGGCTGGGACGTACGATTTCTAGAGTCATAGCGGAGGGATTAGGAAGGGTGGCGTTGGCGAGGAGGTTGGTTCCGTCGTTGAGAGCGGGGAGAAGGAGCTTAGGGTCTGTAATAGAGAAGCCTTCGAAGGAGTTGAGGGCTTTGCTTTGGCATTAGCTTTTGGGGAGAGTTGGATGCTCCAGGGGAGGTAGGCATACTGGTCTGGTGGATGTCCTTGTCCATGGTGACACGGGCCTTCAACTTGCCGATATACGCGGTGGTTGAGCCTTTGACCGACAACGGGGCATGGGGCTCGAAGACAACGCTGCGCACGTACTCGGTCCATTCCGTCACATTCAGCGGGGTGAAGGTGCTGTTTGTCGCCAGGGTGGTGTTGCCGTAGATCCTGGCGCCCGGGAGGTAGGCGTGCGCCCAGGTGTTGTTTGCCGGCCGTTCGCGGTTGAACAGACTCATAGTGATGGGTTCGATGCGCACGGGGATCTTGAGAGGGAGGTCGAGTGCCGAGTCGATCCGCAGCATAATTGAATCTGGTCGTGGCTGCAGCACGTCTGCGTGGACGAGCACAAGGGTCGAGCCGTCGACCACTCGCTGCGCGATTGCTGGGAGAATGACCAGGAAACTTTTGCTTGTTAGTCGTTGCGTTCTGATGATGACGGGATGGGATCGTATATACAAGATCGGAAGAAAGATGGCTAGGAAGATGACGCCTCCAAGAGCATAGCAGCACCAGAACCTGCCCCAGTGGCGGCGGAACCGTTGAGCGCGCGTCCCCATGCCGGCCTCGAGCGAGGTGCTCTTGCTCTTCTCAATGAGCCCAACATCGTCGCCCTCCAATGGCAGAGGCCCGCGCTGCGTGCCCAGGGCATACTTGGCATCTTTGGATTTGGAATTCGATGGATTGTCGGCCATGGCCAGGGCTGTGGTGTGACTGTAGGCGAAGGAGAAGCCTCTATTCTGGTCCTTGCTCCGCGGCGCGGTATGTACACTAAGTACCAAGGCCGTGGAGAGGCAACCGTGAACGTTGCACAGGGCGTCCATTGCTGCAATAAAGTCAAGGAACGCCTACCATCATTACACGAACCCTGACCCTGTCGATCAGCCGGAGATATTGTGGGACCAGCGATGGCGGCGGAGTTTGGTTCAATTGCGGGTCGAAGGAGGGCGATCAGCCCTACATTTGGGAGAACGGATTAGGGCAACGCTCACTTTTGCGACGAAACGAGATCGACTAGGTGGCAGCTTTGGGGAGTTCATCATAGACAACACATCATCAGACAAGCATTTTCTTTCTCAAATTGACAAACGTCCAGCGAACCACCGGTTTCACCCACCGCGCTACTCCTGCACGCTATACTCAATCAACATCGCACTGAGTGCAAGTCATAGCGCATAACCCTCAATCCATATCAAGCATGTATCGCGTCTTTCCCGAGCACACATCCCTCCCACCTAGTCCCCCTCCCCCTCACAGACCCAGCACAGCGACAACCATCATGAGCGAGAAGACTATCACCGAGCACATCTCCGCTGTCCCTTCCGCCGCCAGCAGCAGCAGCAGCACGACAACGACAACAACCATCACAAACATAACCAACATAACGACCCACATTTACAGCCTCTCCAAGCTGGATATCCTACCCCAGATCCTCAGCGAAGGGATCCTCCTCGCAGGCTCGGGCGCCGCCCTCCTCCTACAAGCGGCCTACCCAGGCATCAAATCCACCTTCCCCGAGACCTCCAGCAGCGACAGCACTACAACCCTAACACACAACCTAACAACAACCCTCGAAACAACTCTCACGCATATCTCAATCCTCATATGCGGCAGCCCCCACGCAAAACAAACTCTCCTCACCAACCTACACCCCCCCCACCCCGCGTCCACATCACCACCAGCCAAACAAACAAACCCCAACCCCAAACTCTGGCTCCCCGCAACCATCTACACAACAGCAACAGACCTCTACCAACGCATCTACGGGTCCCTCAGCCCTAGCAGCGCAGACAGCGCCTACACGGAGTTCGGTACGGTGCTACACGTCCTCAACCATTCAGCGAAAGACCAGTGGCCCGCTTCTCGGCTGGAATTCTGGAGGTACTGGGATAAGCAGGTTGAGCGGCTGGCGGTGACGGGGGAGGCGCATCGTGTCGCGCGGGAGGTGTTGTACCCGCCGCACCAGCAGCAGGGGCAGTCGGCGCTGTTGCAGGGGGGAAGGGTGATGAGGGTTGTGATACGGGCCGTGACGGTTGAGATGCTCCCGCCTGGTGTGCGGGAGGTGTACGGGTTGAAGTCGACAGGAAGGACGAGGGCGTTGTATCGCGGGGTTGTGCGGTGTGTGGGCGGTGCGGTTTATCCTGCTATGCCGGGGTGGGTGCGCGGGTATCCTTTGCGGAGGGTTTTGGGGAGGAATTCGGGGGGGTGGGGGGTGGATGCTTAATGGGGGTGGGATAAGTCGGGATGGTTTCGTGGTTAGGAGTATGGTGTAATAATTGGATTTGGTGTTTGGAGTGTGGTTAATTCTTGCTTGTTCATTGGTAGTCTGTTTGGGTATATTGATTCTTCCCGTGGAGTAGCTCCAGTGTGAAACACGTTTATGATGCGAATATGGACAAGAACATATACCTAATCTCGTCTAATATGTCTCCCGCTCTACTGTGCAACACATCTGCTTGATACCAACACCCCGGTTTATTCCTAAGATAGTCCAGCTACCTATTCCTATCCCAATTCCTATTCCCATTCCCATCCCAACCAAAACCATCACGAGCTCCCAATCAAAGCATTCATAATCTTCCCCACATCAGAAATCAACTAGAGATTACACCACAATTAGCCTCATCCATCCATCTCACACCAAACACGCAAGACTCACCGGATTCGCCATGTCAATCAACTGCGTCGTCTCATTCACAAACCCAGGCGTCAACAGCCTGTCCGCATTATCAATAAGCCGCTGCAACTTATCGATATTCGCGCTCGACAGCAACTTCTGCAGGTTCTGCGGCGTGTCACCCCCGAGCAGCACCGCGCCGCCGCTGACAATCGTCTGCAGCTTGTCGACCGTGTCCTGGCTGAGGAGCTCGGTGGCGCCCTGAAAGATCGTCGGTAGTTCAGACAGTAAGCCGCTGGATTCCGGCGCGCGCGGGGCCACGGAATTGCTGGGTGGGTTGGTTGTCGTCGTGGTGGTTGCTGCGAGCGCCAAAGGGGTGAAGAGGAGGGCTAGGAGGTAGGTTTTTAGAGGCATGGATGTGCGGTCGGAGGGGATTCTGGGTTTGCTGCGTGTGGTCTTTTTGGGCATTGTGGTGGGTTGTTTGAGGACTCAGTCTATGGAGGGAGGGAGGAGGATAGGAGGGAGGTGGCTGTTGTAGGTGGAATGGTTTTATAGATTGTAAATCTTGGTGTGCTCTGTCTTTTTTGGTGGCGGGATGGTGGTCTCTTGGTTTGAGGAGTAGTATCGGAAACCTTATTGCGGGTATACTACTGATCGGTCGAAACATGTCCGTTTCATATCTAAACCTGGTTTGTCTGGGAACCCATTCCGAGGCTGAGTTGCGTCCATGTGAATTGGCCTCCTGCTGAGGAGCGTTAGACGGTTGTGGCTCTAGGACGATTCATCCGCGCTCATTCTCCACATCTTAGGGCTGTCGACCAGGTCGATCACTCAGGGACTACTGACATGGCTTGATTCCGGAGGGCCCAGGGTGCTCCAGGATTGGGATAACTTATGATTCTAGGGTACAAATTAAGACGACCAGTCATTGCATCACAACTTAACAAGGGCATCCTGACGCAGAATATGTTTCGAGCCTCGGAGGATGGCTGAATCAGGTAGTTCGTGGCTCGACAGGGAGTACTTGCAGGCGAGAATTGTGACTGGTAAAGAAGTGGAAAACCCGTTTTTGAGTCGTGGATTTGACATTGGTGGGAGTGTTTCAGGTTAAAGATAATATGAGGATTTGCTGGTCTGAGTTTAGTGGATCGGCGCTCGGGGCGAAGTTTAATTAAATTAAGGTATGGCAGCTTACCTACCTGTGTTGGAGATGCTCTTCGCCGACTTTTTGAGCCCAGCGAGCTCTGTACTACTCTATACAGGGGTCTCCTACAGATTCCAAGAAACATGTTTAATTTGTAGACATCGGAATAGGTTGTGTCCTGGAGGCTAGGATAGTTCTTATATATATTACCTAACAGTGACTACATGTGGCAAGCGAGTCAACTGGATTATCGCAGCTTCGATCATAACTGTGTTCAGCAATTCTAGAAACAAGGTCAAGACTGACCAGTTCCACTTAACAATACACCCAATAGAGACTAAATACTTGGTCCCCATCTATCCTGACGGACCCCACGAACTGTGGTTCCTGATCGGAATCTACTACCGCAGGTTCTATTATCAGATTGCGATCATTACATCATTACTCCCAGACCGTAGTCTACTTCATGCTCCATCTACTATTTTCGAGCATGGCAGCCATACCTTTGAACCACACCATAAACCCGCCCTATATCCTACCTCGCTGATAAACAACACGCTTAAAAATAAACTTTTCATGCACAACGGTTCCCTACCGAGACCAAGCAAGCTCAAACATCTCCTCCACTCAGACAATCCATAACTCAAAATTCAACACAGAATATCTAGAACATAATGGCACTCCCTCCCCGATATGAACGAAAACCACCCACCACTCCAAACCAACAAACCAAATCTACACCCCCGTCCAGAATGAAACTCCCAACCCTAAGCCCAATCCTCCTCCTCGCAGCACCAGCCTCCAGCACCCCAGACCAACATCAACAGCCCCATTGCTGTACGTGCCCTACGCCCTCCCTCTCCCTCCTCTCCCAATTTCCATCCCTATCTAAAAACCCAAGATATTAACCACATAACCCAGACCCCCCACAGAAACAGACCCAATCCCCAACACCACAAACGACAACCCAAACCTGAATCTCAACCTAAACCTCAATCTAAACCTCAGGCGCTCCCTCGCAACCATCTCCCCGCCACCACACTCAATCATCACGCAGATCCCGTCCACCGCCCTGGCGGAGCTGTTCATCCCTGCGCGCCGCAGCGCCCTAGCTAGTGATTCCAGGAGAGGGATCACGCCGGCGTGGTATACTGCTTTGCCGACGGATGCGAAGCGGTATATTTCTTATGTTAAGGAGGAGGTTTCGAGGGAGGGGGTTGGGCTTGGGGGGCTCAGGGGGTTGAAGGAGATTGAACCTGAGGAGAAGAGCTCAACTGAGGAGGAGAGGAAGACGAGTGGGGGTGGGGTTGGGGAGAGGGGGAGGGTTGAGGAGTCGGTTGGGTTGATGGTTGCTTTATTGGTTGGGTTGGGGGTTTGGGGGGGTTGGCTTTGAGGGTGGGATTGTGGTTAAGGTGGTGTTGATTGTTGATTGTTGATGTGAGAGATTGAGGATGGTTTTGGGATTGGTGCTTGGGATGGCTTTCAGCTGTAGTCTGACGTTCATGATATTGAGGTGCTGCTGGTAGCAACTCAGGAATGTCCGTCGGGTTTGTGTCTTTGTCATTTCGGTTGAATGGAGTCTGAATCAAGCTTTGCGAAGGTGGTTTATGCTAGTGTGACTCTTTGGGAAGAGGCATGATATCATCCTAGCTTTGTATTGCATGTTGCTTCTCTCTTGCATTGGTTCCTCATTGCAGTGGGGTGGCGTTGTGATAAGTCCTGGTCTTGCTGTTGGTGCTTTTGAGGAAAGAGCTCAGTCTGTACTGACTTACTTGGTTTCCTGATGAGCTTGCTTGACTAATTGCAACGTGATGAGTAATATCGGTGTAATTACATCCTATATTGTATGTGTATGCGTTCAATCGTCTGCAACATATTGATTAGGTAGTATATCAGGCAAACCAGTCCAAAAATTATGAAGGTTCCTAAGGCAAAGTCGTCCACACCACCATAGGTTCAAGTATTCTTGATGCTTGGATCTAAACTTGGCGCAAGAATGCGCACTACCAAGCCCAAACTTGAAGCCTCCTCGACAGATATTATCAGGTATCCATTCTCAAAAGCACAAGAGACGAGGTGACTTAGTGGAGGAAACCCACAAAGGCCTTTTCGCTTTCAACGATCAAGTCAATGCAGGTGCGAAAGATACCGACAAAGCAGACAAACTGCATGGACTGCTGAAGTATAAGAAGCTGGTCAAGAGCTCCCTAATTAACACAGACACCGGCTTCTTGCAGGCAGGCGCTTCAATATCGACCATAGACGTACCTTCTGACGTACCTCTCGGGCCCTGAGACGTTCTGCTCCTGGCTCCGACGCCATGAATCGCGGTCTCTTCTTCCCCCTCGACTTCAACAGCTTCCACACAATCCCGAAGCCACCAATACCGTACGTGGAAGGGTATGAATTCTCAGTTGTTGAGCACTTCCCGGTCAAACCCAAGAGAAGCCCGGACGTGGATTTCACGACAACCGAGTATGAGCGACGCACCACACAGGAACTCGTCCACCGGTGCGTCCGCAGAAGCCCGAAGAAGGGCACGATGGGCACCCGAGAGCTCGGACTGAAGGTCTTTCTGCCGCTCCGGATCGGCGACAACGAGATGTCGCAGGTGGCTCTCGTCGAAGTCACGTCCGGCCACCTGGCGGGCATGCGGGTCGTGGCCAAGCTCTACGATCCGCTGTACTACGACCACGCGACTCTCCGATGGAATCCGTTCAGCTACGTCGAGGCGGACTACGCGCGGGAGGTGGCCGCGTATCGACATCTGCACGAGGACAACCTGGGCGAGTATATCCCGCAGCTCTACGGCTCGTACTCGACGAGTATCGTGCATCCGGGGGTCGGCACGCGCGCCGTGCGCCTGATTCTCGTGGAGTATATCCACGGCACAAGCATGTACCATCTCGCACCCAACGACTTCCCGGAGGAAGTGCACCGGCACATAATGTACCAGATCGTGAAGGCGGAGTCGCAGTTCTACGCCGTCGACGTGCGCCACGGGGACCTCTACCAGCGCAACGTCATCATCAGCGGCGAGGCCAGACACGACCCCAACAACCGCCCGCGCGTCACCATCATCGACTTCGGCCGCGCCAATATCGGCCGCGCCATCCCCCGCTTGCTCAATTGGTCGCTGGAACCCCGCCTCCTGCCCGGTGTCTATGTCAGCCCTATCCTCCGTTGGCATCGCGGCATCACACCCAAGCCGAACGACTTCGCCATGTGGTGCATGTGGGCCTGGAACGAGTGGCTCTGCCACGAGTTCCGCGACGATATTCCTGCTATCACCCCGGAAATGGAGCGCTGGGTTCCGGATGATGTGCGCGGTAACCCGTTCTTCATTGAGCTCTTCGGACCTGAGTGATGTGAAGCTTGCTTTTCCATAGGTCGCTTGTCCGCATCTTGTGTTGGTGCTGACACGATCTCAGGTATAGTATTGAATACGAAAAAGCTGTGGATATCATAGTTCCTCACCATTGAGTACTATGCTCTATCCTTTCATATACATTTATCTAGCCGTTCTTTGACCTTCTCATATCTCGGTAGTCACCATTATCAGCGTATCGCTTCCGTTCATGCCTTCCAGGTGCGCTTGCCCATTCCTTCCTGTACGCCACTTGCGGTAGAAAGAAACAAAGAAAAGACAAAGAGCACCTCCCCATTGAAGGAGATAACGCAGGTAACTAGAATAACAAAACTAAGTAGAGTAAAAGTAAGTAAGTCAACAAGGCAAGTTATCCGCCAGAGCGGATCCGAAGAAAGCAAAAAGAGATGGTCCCAGAGGGGGTCGAACCCTCGACTTTAACGTTATTAGCGTTACGCTCTAACCAACTGAGCTATGGGACCAGTTGATATGATGTGCTCATACTTACATAAATATAAGCTAATCCAAACCATGAAGACTTCGATGTTACTGTTCACCAGCTTCCCGACTGATCCCGGCATATATGCCGCGGACTATACCGGCACGCAAGCTCTATATCGGACTACCCACCACCAATCCCGCGGACTGCGGCATTTCCCAAGCCAAACCCCCCTCCGACTTACGCATCACACAATAAAGTGTCCCCGCGGCGATGCGGATCATTGTCTGCACGTGGGAGGATAACGCATTGTGTTCAGTGGCAGGTGGTGGGAGAGCGATCCGTTTGGATGAACAAAGGTCCGACGCAAGGGTCCAGTGCACCTGCTGCTGGTCCGGAATCCCAAGAGGATCGCGTGCGACGACCTAGTTTTCCAAAGAGACCAATGCAATTGGAGTGCAGCTACTAGGACCAATCCTGACGTTGGTTAGGCGGACCGCAGCGTGACCAGCTACCACAGAAGGTGGTGCTTCGAAGCACAGCAACCACCCCGCACTGCAGGGATTGAGAAGTCTGATTGCTTAACTCTTCCGGCGGATATTCTATTGGACTACGCGTCAAGAGTGAAGTGGACAGCTGCAAGGCTGATTGCCTGACGACATTCATCCGTTTCCGGGGGAGGGGAGGAGGGGGAGCAGAGTCTAGCCTCGAGGAAAAGGTGTGTTGGGAGAGGAGAGAAGCACGAAAAAGAGGGGGCCAAGATAAGTGCTTACGTCCTGTACCCTGGAAGGATGCAGAAGCCGTCGGTTGGCCTCATATACTTTTGGCAGCCCCTTCCTCCACCTGGCGTTCTTCGGCATGGTCTGGTACCTTTTTCAGGCCCTCCGATGCCTGTCGGCCGCGTTACGAGCGGGGTTGGTGCCTGCCCCTAGTTATCACCCGGGTATACTATTGCTGAGGGATCTGATCCCCGATGGTCGCCGTTATTGGGTGAGAGCTTAACGCTTTGGGCTCTGTTGGAGGAGTTAATCGAAGGATCAGGAGCAAGGATGATCGTGGGCGCAATGGGCGGGATGACCCTGCGGTAGGGTGGAGGATCTCAACTCCGTCGTCATCCGATCAGGCTGACTGCCTGTCGGAGTATGAGCAGCAGTAGCAGGATGACGGACGATAGGGCTCATGCGTACATACGTACCCGACAATAACCTTAATGCCTGGTTGGCAATGAATCGGTGAGTGTATCTGAATGGAGCTCACCCAGTAGTGCATTCTGCTTCAATCGGATTCCCAGTCAGCCTCGTTCATCGTCATCATCATCCCCGTCATTGTTGACTGCCTGCGGTTTCTGCCTGAGGCACTCAACACCACCACGAGCCTCATCCCGATTGAGCCGCGTGCGCGCTTCCTTGCCTTCCTTTGTCTTGCTTCTTTCTTCCATTTCATTCCCACTCAAATGAGCGACATCACCGCCGGAGTGGAGACTATGAGGCTCAACTGGACCGTCCGACAGTCCGGGACCTCTCGTTTGGAGTTTCCTGTCGGTTGTTGAATCCTGATCAGACTCAGAGCCCTTCTCCCTCCCCCCCTGGCGTAATCCCGTCGATAGTGGCTCCGGGTTAATGGCTTGGCTTGCTTCTCTTCTAGGCTCACCAGATTGTTCAAGATACGATTCCATAGCTAGCTCCCCTAGCTAGCTAGCTAGTTGAGCCTCCAGTCCCTGGACGATGCGACCAGTCTCACGAGGGCAAGGACGAATGGCACAAGCTACTATTATTAGCGCCGATCGTCGCGAGGAAAAGCGAGGTCGTACTGCTGACTGACTGAAACGCAAGAGACGCAGCCTTGTCCAGGTTTGTCCCCTTGACAATCAACCTAAGATACACTGGCTGTCATAACAGATACACTGCATGTTTTCTTTTCTTTTCTTTTCTTTTTTTTTTTTTCATTTGGCTTACTGATCTGACCGCCTCCCGACCCCCTCCTTGAAGGTTCGAATGTTCTGAGTGGGACGGACGGTCGATCATGTTATTGTCGCATTCTTGTTTGGAGACTGTCGTACTGTCTGTGTTCGTGGAGATTAGCTGCCACACCCTTCTTCCTTCGTACGATAGCCGGCAGCTGCAACTGCTGCTTGTTCTCTCCTCTTCCACTTCTGTCAGTCATTCGGACACTCGGTCCCTCGGTGACTTTTTAGTCTTTTCCCCCCCCTCGGGGCGGGTCTCGGACAGGCTTGAAAAGGGAAGAGGTAAGGTAGACTCAATTCACCTAGTAAGTACTCCGTAGTTAGGGGAGTAATCAATCATGCCCACTCGACATTTTTTCGCCCCCTCTTATTACTGGTTTGCTCGTTCTGCCCGGTTCATTTCCCCCAAGAGGAGGATGAGAATGAGACGGAAAACCAGCCACAGAGCCTCATCGAAATTCAAACCTAAAGTACAAGTTCACTCCCATGACGGCTGATCTGCTGCCCCTTCACTCGGCCCATGCGTTGCGTTTTCCCTTGGTCTCTTTTTGCGTGGTCGTCTGTCATGCATGGCCTTGGTGGAGATTCTTCAGCTGGATTAGATTGTTATTTTTCTTGGTCCCTCGCCACTTGCTGCTGCTAGATCTTCGACCTTCAATTGAAAACATGGGATTGGATCTAGATTGAACTTCTCCTACTTTTCCCGATCGTGTATTCAAGCAAAAGATCGCCACCAGTCCAAGACATACTTCGTGATTGACCCGAAGTCGCCAAACATATTACCGTTTGTGGTTTGGCTGAATTGGGCATCCGAGGGTTTCTCAACTTACTTACTTCACTTGCTTTCCTTAACCCGGGCTACTTACCGTAACTACGGCTGCCATTTCATTCATACTTCACCTCACCCATCAGACCGCCTTTTATCTTCTTTCCTCCATCGCTGCTTCAACAGTTGTCCTCTTGAGCAGCGCCAATCGTCCCTCTTCTAGTGTCGGCGTTTATTCGTTTTCATCCCTGATGGTATCGGTTTAGAGCTGCAGCTTTCCTTTCGTTGTTCTTTCCCTCCCCTTCGCCTCACATGGTTGACAGACCGAGATGAACGCCACCGATAGACCATCCAGGAATTTGGACTGCATCCCATACGATGTGTTCTATCAGATCGCTTCCAGACTGGGCTCGCAAGACCTGGTTCAGCTGGGCCGGGTCAACGGGGCCTTGAACCGTCTGGTGCAGGACGAGAACATAGCACGGAAAGCCATCGAGGTATTTCTGCTGAATCTAAATGAACTGAGACGTCATCGCTGACCACCCTAGAATGAACTGCGCCATACGACAGAAGGCCAGGAAGCCATTGCAGCCCGCAGAGGGTATCGCAGAGCGCTGGGGCGCGTGTTCGACATCCGCGAGGCCTTCGCGACAGCGCAGCCCTATTCAGCTTCTCTTCTTGCCTACGGCAGCTCCTTTCTCTACAGCGGCGGGGCTCTGACCTACATCTATGGCGAGGAGATCCGCATCCTGAACGTGCATGAGGCGAGTCGCACCGAACAAGTGCTCAACCTCCACAGAGTGCTGGCGCGGATCATTCCGGCCTGCGATCCAGACGAAGATACGATTCACATCCGGCTCATGCAGTACCACGACTGGAATCTGGCCTTCACGGTGGAGCTCGAGGACCTGTCCGAGACCTGGTTGGTGGTCGTGGACATGCGGCGCGATTTGGACTGCCAGAAGATGGGCCGCTTGCGGTTCAAAACCCGGTTGCTGGACACCCGCCGGCTCTTCGTCCGACTCAACACCCGCTACGTCTACTGGGGCACGCACAGCATGCTCAGCGTCGACGGCCACCTGCAATGGGTCATCGAATGCGCCGACCTGCAGACGGGTCGCCACACGACGCGGGTCCCGCTGGTCCTCGACAACTTCTCCGGACACGACATCGCGCAGACCGTGTGCTTCGGCGTCTACGACGACCACCTGTACGCGGTCTCGACGATGATCGGTCACGAGGCGGAAGAGATCGACTGGACCTCCTACTACGTGTGGCTGTGCGTGTCGCCGACGGAGGACACGAAACAGAGCACGATCAACTTCAAGTGGCGGCGCCAGCACCGCGAAGGGCCCGTCAACGACACCTGGTCGGATCTGTCGCTGCGCGTGGACGAAGCCACCAAGCAGCTGTTGATCCTGGAGTGTCGGCGCGAATGGATCAACAGCGGCAGCGAGAACATCCGCACGTATTACATGCAGGCGCTCCCGTCGCCCGCCGAGATCGAACAGAGTAAGCAGGAGCGCTTCGCCGGCTTACTGCGGCGCACAGCAGCCCGCAACGCACCACCCCCGCCCGCCATGCTCCCCGATGAGCCCCTGACACGCACCCTGGACTCGAGCAACAAGCCCCGCTACGAACCGCCCCAGAAACGCATCCGCCGCCACTATCACCAGGAATACCCGCAAGGAACCGACCTCGCCAAGCGCCGCGACTTCATCCTCGCCCGCACCAAATACCGCACCTACAACCTCTCCAGCTCGACCTTCGTGGACTTGGTCACCGACTCCACCGGACCTGGCGGCAGCACATCCACGCCCAGCCGCATCCCCACCGACCAACTCCGCCTCCGACTGACCTCGCGCAAGCGCAAATCCCCCATCGACACGGCAGGCGACGAGGTCGCACCAGGCTTCCTGTACCCACCGGAGCTGAACGACGATCAAGACCCATCCAGCAGACAACCGATCGACCACAGCGAAGAACGCTTCGAGTCGCTGGGCGTGCACATGTGGCCGCCGGACAACGCGCCGCCGGCGCTGACGCAGCTCCTCTCGCCGACCAAGCGCATCGCCTCCTCGGTCGTGCGCGCCGCCGCCGACGAGCGCTCGCTGGTGTACTCGGTCGATGCGCCGGACTCGGCTGACGGCGACCAGGCCATCCTGTTGATTAACTTCGATCCCCTGCTGCGGCTGCCTGGCCTGCTGCGATTGGACATGACGGACGGGAGCGTGCGAGCCATGTCGCCGCCGTCGTCGCGGCCAGCTGAGCTGGTGGCTCATTCAGCTGGGAAGGGGCAGCGAGTGCGGGTGGGCGACGTCGCGCAGATGGAGTCAACTAGGCATACGAGTTTTGGAGCCAAGCGGACGAAGACGACGGCGGCGATGACGGGGAAGGGGGCACGGGGGTCGACGGTGCCATCGGTCCGGGAGGAGGGGGCGCTGTATTTGCGGCTGGGGAGGGGGTTTTGGTTACGGTAGGAGGTGCAGTTGCAGTTGTAGGTTGCAGGTTGCAGGTTGCCTCCTGGTGGTGGAGTGTTTGGTGGTGGAGGGCTTTGCGGGCAAACGACTCGGTTCTACGGAATTGAGTGGATATGCATATACTAAGGAGGTGAATGGGGATGGAGACAGGGGGAAAGACAGACAGCCAAACACTGCCCACTTTGACTTGCATGACTACGCCAGCCAGCCTGCACTGCCTCGACATGCCGTGTGGCTGTGCACCGCAGCTGAACTAACCCGTTGTGGTTGTTCTTCAGCGTGGCTTCAACGCTCGACCTGAAGGGTGAAGCAAACTATAGATGATCAAAAAATAGTTCTAATACCATAAGTGATCACATCTACCGAACCCCCAGGCTTTACTTTCACCAGTCCCAGAAGTCTATGTACTCCGTAAAGTATGGTACAATGTACTAAGTAAGTAAGATACTTATCCGATCTGACTGGGCTGTTATCATTCTTGGCAGTCAGACATCAGTTAGTCAAAGCTAAAGTCAAAAATGTAAGTAAGCTTACGCGATCATTCACTATCGACATTGTCTTCGCTACAGTATGGCAATGATGACCAGTCAGTGGCGTGATTAGTGTCGATCCGGCTGGTTTTCCTATCTCGGTGCTTATGCTTGTGGACTGTAGGGCCTGTTCTGGGCTCGCTTTGTAGGGTGTTTTGAGCTTGCTTTGTAACTTGTTCTGGGTTTGCTTATGTATACCTGTCCTGATATAACATATTCATAGCTGAGTCTCTTTTTTGTGTGCTTTGGTTACTGATTGGTCGAGTTCTTGCTTAGGTGTGCGGTATTGGGATACTATAGCGGACAGAGCCGCGGGTAGATGAGAGGATGTGAGTCAGAGTATGGTGAGGTGAACGTCGACTTACTCAGGATAGACTCGGCTCTTCTCTTCTAGTCTTCTATCACTCTTAGCTGCCTTGTTCTGGTTCTTTAGCTTGCTATTACTTCCTAGCTTCTGTACTTCGGGCGAGTGCCAGTGCCAGCTCAAACTTCCTTTCTCTCTATTATGTGGTTCTTCTAAGCTATAGCTTGCTTATAGATATAACCCCGCTGGAATCAGAAGTAGATATTACCTTACGCAGCTTGGGCTCGGGTGAGTGAGTGGGTGAGTGGTGATCAGGCTGGGTAGCCCACGCGAGGACCCAATGTGTTGATGAGTAGCTCGCCAGCCAGCCAGCCATTATCGCTACATCTTTACCTGGTTAGATCAAGTCTCTTTCTAACCGGTCAGATCAGGTGCTCGCTCTACCTAACGGTAGTCAATCATATGCCGAATACGACCTCCACTGTCCTCTAGCTCACCGTTCATATACGGGAGAGGAAGGATCAAGCGGAGACACCCATACTTCTACTTCAGGCCTGGTGTGCTTACACTATGTCAGTCATTCACCCAGTCAGTCGTTAATCAGGCATACAGCACAGAACCATGCGCATCCCACTAACTATCCCCTAGTCGTCCACTCAGCAGAATCCAGCTAACTACCCATCTAGTCTAGCCTATCCACCCTGTCTGTCTGACTGCCCAGTCTAGATACACCTGGGGGTTCATCAAGAGCCGCACTCGTATCTCTCCGTTATCACGGATGGAGTTGATTACAGTCAATTATATGACAGTGGAGTATGAGTTACCCATCGCATCGAATCAGGCTTGCAGCATGATTGCGATTACGATTACGAAAGACGAAGGATGCCGTTCGGTTCCCATTGGACTGCTTTGCGATATTCCTCATTCTGAGGATCCGGATACGGGGTATGTCTTGGATTGATTAGAAGTGGTTGGGTCTGTGGGGCCTACAGTCTTTCGCTTTTGGGTGGGTGGGGTCCTTAGGATTGAGCTCGCTCGTTTGGGTGGATTGCGGGTGTTGTGGATGAGGTGAGGTGAGTTGTGTTTGTCTTTTCGTATGGGGTGCTTTGGCGGGGGCCGGTTCGAGTTCGCTTTTGCGAGCTGGGTGAGTGAGGGTTATGGTGTAGGTTGCTCTGGCGCTTAGGAAAGCTTGAGTTTGGAGTGCATGCACTGATGGACTGAATGAAAGTAGGGGTTGGTGGATGCTGGGTGAGTCTTATGTGCCAGGATGAGATTACATCTATCTATCGTACGGGGTCTATGCTATCACCCATCTACCACCCAACTTGAATTAACCACAGTCTATACACCCCCCTCTGCGCTGCCTCTACCCCCGCAGCAGCACCACCAACTGCACCAGCCTGAGACATCTCCAGATTCCTCACCTCCTCCCAAATCCCCGCAAACGTCCAATTAAACCGGAGAAACCGATGAATCTCCGCGGCTGACCGCCGCCCCTTCGCCTGGACATTATTCACCTGGATCTTCGAGGCGCGCGGCCGCCGCACCCGATCAAAGTCGCGGAGCAGCGCCGGCACCGCACCAGACGTGACATGGTCCCCAAAGCACACGCGGAGGGGTTCCGCGTCCTCGATAGCTTGCGTGCCGCCCTGTCCCTGATGCGGCGGCATGGCGTGCGCGGCGTCGCCGATGAGCACGGTGCGGCCATTGATGTAGCTGGGGAGAGGCGGGGTGCGGTGGACGTTCCAGACGCGAGGGCTGTGTGCTGCGCTGGGAGGGGTTAGCTGCTATCTTCCTTTCAGAACAGGGTGGAACTATCTTGATATAGAGGCGGGGGAGGGGGGATACTGTCAAGTTGAGAGGCAAACAAACTGTAAATATACCACCACCCAAGCAGGAAAATCCTCGAAATGCGCGACCAGCTCCTCCGTCGCCGCGGGCGCACACCACGACTCCCCGCCCTCGCTGGGCATGATTTTCGCTCTCGTCGACGCCTACAGCATCCTATCCGGCGCGATGGCGGCGAAGTTAAGCATCTCGTGGTCCCGGCACGGGTAGATCACAACCCGGCGCTTCGTGGCGTCGAAGGCAAGACGGTCGTGATGCAGCCTGGTTGCGTGCGGTCGAGCTTGTCGGGTATGTGGCCCAGCGCGGCGTGGACTTGGGCGCGCGTCAGCGTGAATCGGAAGACGGAGCTGCCGGCGGGGATGGGGGTGCTGTTGGGCGTGCAGGGTAGGACGGATTCGCGGAGCGTGGATTTGATCCCGTCTGCTGCTGCTCGTTGTCGGTTTACTGCTTCTTCGTGTGTATGCTATACTACACGGTTGTGATCAAGCGTGCTATGTGGGGAAATAAGTGCAGTACATACCAACCACTAAATCCGCCCTCACCACGTCCCCCCTAGCTAAGCGCACCTCCCCAGCTTCAACGTCCACGCCCACGGCCTTCGCCCCGAACCGGACCTTCGTTGGAACGCCCTCGACCCCCAGCTCCGCGGACGGCGCTGTCGCGAGCCGCAGCGGCTCGTTGTGCAGATCCGACCGGTGAAAGAATAGCCAGTCGGCTCCGAACTCGCGCTCGTAGTCAATGACGGTGTCCGTGGTGATTGCGCCGGCCTTGTTGTAGGTTAGGGTGCGTGCGCGCCGCCGGTCGAAGCCCACGCTGTCTAGGATCACGATGCCGTTGGGTCCGATGTTGATTGCTGCGCCGGTTTCGACGGCGTGCGAGTGTCGTTCGTAGATCGTGACGTTGTGTTGTGGGCGCAGGATGCGCGCGGCTAGGAGGCCCGAGATGCCGCTGCCGATGATGGCGATGTTTAGGGGGGTTGTCTTGAGATTGTTGGGGCTGTTGGTTGGGGGCATCTTGGTGGCTTGATGGTAAAGTAACGAAGAGAGAGAGAGGGCGAGGGAGAGCGGTGCTGGGTAGTTATCTGGTTGGTGATGCCCTTTGCGTGAAGCCCACTGTTCTTAATGCAAGGTGGTGGTGGCTAGGTTTGTGGTGATTGGATCTAGTTGTATTCAAGCGTTTTGTCGTCATTTTCGTGTTAGAGGCTATGGTTCTGACAGGATATAGGAGCAGTGCTGTTGCGTGGTTCTTGCTGTGAATTTGAAGATTGATCACTGGCAAGTAACTGCAGAAGAACGATGGGTTGGAACATATCAGGAAAGACATTTGGCCCTGTAATATCGTAACAGAGCTCTTTCGCATGGAAAATTGAACTCATAGATAAGAATCCCAATTGATTTGACAATTGTCTGTCTAAGCCACTGGTGTGCGAGCCGTGAAACTACTCAACGCGATACCTTGCCCTCAGTCCCTGTCCTAACTCCCTCCACCCCACCCCTCCCAATAAAGTAGATATCAGAAAGCTAAAGAGCTAGACAATTGAACAGGTTTATACTGGATACTAAGAAAAATAAGTAATTTTCAGTAAGTAATATCATTTCAATATAGTACTGACAAACTTTATTTTTATTTTCAGTTTTTAGGGTGAAAAGAACACAGGAAGAGCTTAGAATTTGATACCAATCATATAACTGAAGAATTAGTTCGGTCTATTTTTCTTTAGCTATCTATACATAGCTAGAGGGGCGGCGAGTGAGGCTTGAGAGGCCTTAGGCTCCCACAGTATTAAGTCGCGTCTGCTCTGAGTCGCTCGTGCCTGCTCTTATTCCCTTCTGCAATGTGATTCCGGAGATAAAGGTATCATACCAAGCTACTAACCATCTATGACGGGTTCCTTTTCTTAACGCTAACTAACTTACCTGAAATGCTCTCTGCCAATCGGGCTGAACTGGCTTTGTCAGGTCACAACACCCAAAGCGCCCCGCGGATACCCCAGTCCAAAAACACCCCCCCTCACCCCCCAGGTAGACACAGACAACTACATTCTTATCCAAACCTAGACCAGATACGTACATTCTGCATCGCAACTCAGGCAAGCTTTTGAACTCTTGACCCGAACGAAGAGCTTATCTCCTTCATACGCATGTTGCAGTAGTGCTAGTCTGACCCCGCATCCGTTGGCGAACTGAGATCCTGCTCACGGAAACTTCTCCATACATAAGAAATCAGGTGGCTGAGAAGAATTTTGCCCGTCAACAATTTTGTTACTCTACGGACCTCTCCTTCTACTGGGATTACTTTGCCCAGGAATGGCCGAGAAAAGTGAAGTGATACCGGTCAATGCCAATGCGCACGACGATGAAACCCTCCGGAACATGGTCCGAGAGAAGGTGAGATATGCCCAGCATTCCATAGTTTTTATTTATCTTTTATTGATTTCTTATTTATTTTTTCCCCCTTTCTTTTTTCTTATTTAGTTTAATGAGGGATATAGGTGAAAAGAGATGTTACTCTCGACAAAGAATGGGTTGTGGGCGCCAACCTCGAAAGTATAGGCCCGTCAATACCTGCACTGCTTCTTAAGAGAGACGCTGCATGGGGTGCCGTCAGGGTCGATACAAGTCCAGTATTGAACGAGGTTTCAGGACCTGGAATGGGCCCTGGAATCTCTCTAATACTTGTCAAACCGGGCGAGACCTGCAGGTTCTATCAAAGCCCCTCAGTTCGCTACTTCCGGTACACCTGTTAAGTCCCGAGGGACTCGAATGTGTTTGACCAACGCCTCACTTGCCCTCAGGGAAAGTTCAACCCTTGCTGTTCGTTCTGAGGAGGAGTCGAGCTCGATATCGATCCATGGCAATGGCGAGCCGAATAAGGGACAGATCAGGTGCAACCTCGGCGAACCCACGTCACATCCCTGGAGAAAGTCCAGCAGTTCGTTGAACTGGATATCGATGACCGTGAGAGGTGGTTGAGCCGAGGAAGGGTCATGCTTCGATATTTCTGTTCATCTGTATTAGCGATGAAGCTTATCTTTCATCGAGAAGCGAGTTTTGAATCTCACCTGCTGTATATCTCTTCTTGAACTCCGCATTGCAAACTTCCTTCGCCTTGATCACAAGGCCAGTTGGGCAAGGACCGATGGTTTTCCACCATCGACGAATATCTAACACAGTTTTGCCTGAGATTCTCGCCAACCTTGTGATACTTATCGCTGTAGCACAGAGGAGGAAAGCCTCTTCCCCGAGGCGTCGAAGAATGTCAAACAGAAGCTTCCGCGCCCGCAACCTCCCGAATCGTTGTGCTTCCGACAACCCAGCGGGTGTAGGATCTCCAAGCAAAGTAAAGCATATTTGCAGGCGATCGAGCTGATATTGTAGCAAGGCACAGTTCTCGTCATCGAAAGTTCCGAGTTCCTTCCGGAGGAGCTGGATTACTCCCATCTTCGGCGGCGCTGCCTTACGTCTTCCGAATGATGCCATGTTCAACAAGGCCAGGTCAGACGGATTGTTGACAAGAACTAGGAGAAAAGTGAGCAATAAGAGATGATACGATATAACCAGAGGAGATAAGGTGTTAAAAGGGATCTTTGTGCAGGGGGCAGAAAAAAGAGGAAATGGAAAGGATAGCGAAGGGCACGGCGCATGTAAGACTGAGAACGAGGATGTAATAGTGAATAAGAGCAGGGTACGCGCTTCGTCGCTCCTCAAATAGAACTTCATTGCCGCCCTACCCTCCCCCGGCAAATCCCCGCAGGTTCGCCTTGTTGGTCCGTCCACCCCATGGGCCCCTCCAGACCGACGTCTGGGTCCAATACAAGATCGCCATTCCACGTATCAGCGCTTAGCAGCGAGACTAAGTTAAGCCTCGTTATACTCAAGGATGATGGCCTAGACAAGTCCTATGCAAACTGGATGGGCGCTAATGCTGCAGCCTCGATAAGATCATTTGCAAGAACTATCATGGGAGTTTGGACATACACACACCTTCATGATGGGAAATGATGGGAGTGGTTTTCAGCATGCTCATTACTGAGCTTGAGTGAATGGGAGGCTTACGCAGGAGGGCAAGGCATTATAGATGAAGGAAAGATATTTATTGGTTCTTTCTTTGCATGCGGATTCAAGTTATGTGCTATTCGAGTTCCAGTGCTGCCTTCCTTTCAATCTATCTTTGCCGATTGTTCTCCAGGAGGTTCATATTGAGTCACGAAACCCTTCGAGTACACTTTCTGCTGCCACGGCTTCTCTTTCCAACATGGCTACAAAAACAATTCGATTTCTGACAGCCTCCCAAGTTCAACGACTTCATGCGGCACTTGTCATTTCCAATGCCGTTCCAACCCAGACAGGCTTACTGGAGTCTGTGGTTCCTTCGCCAATGAACCTGAAACATTACGCCAAGGTGGAAGATGTTTTTCAGCTGGCTGCAAACCTTGCTGAGAAGCTCATGAAAAACCACGCTTTCCTGGACGGCAACAAACGCACCGCCTTGCTGGCAGCAGATATGTTCTTGAAACTCAATGGTTACTACCTTCAAAAAGTGCCATTCGCGGAGGATACGTACGATAGGGCCCTGTCAAATGCTCACGTCGCCGTTGTCAACAATCAATGGACCGCTGAACAGTTGGGAAACTATTACAAGTCTGTGGCGAGGCCTCTTGATTCGTTGACTGCTGAAGTTATGGAATTTAGAACTTTGGCGACCGAGTACTAGACTCATACGCTCCTCAACATCTGTGTCATTCTGAATTGCGTCTGGATTGAGGGTGTTTCCTTTTTCTCTTTTATTGCGACGCCTCGTTCTCGAGATTTCAAAGGGAACTCTGCGTCCCCAATTGCTTCCATCTTGCACGTTGGTTCTGAGTTCTGCCCATTCATTGCGTCCTTGTCTTGGAGGAAGGGGAGAAGAGCTGAGGTGTCCATAATGCAAGTCCCCGTTGAACTAACTCTTTGCATTTTCCTTCGTGCAACGCTGTCATCTGTCACATGTGCACTGGCAGAGTCTGCATTTGGTACCACCGCAATCTCTCTGAAACAGGCTCATTGCCAAGCGAGGTGAATTGTGTGCATGTCTTTGGATCATACATATTTTGCAGGAAAGAATAGAACGTGGGGCTACCATCTCACGCAAGATTTCGAGCTTCCACGCGAATCGTAGCCTAACACCTTGTTGACATTGCCAGAATTTCTCATTGACCGACAACCCCTCTTTCAAGCTCGGGTCGAAAAATGACAACCCGCCTTCAGAGTCCCAAAGCCACACAGTCACCGACTTGGCTACAGGGGGCAATCTTGACATCACATATCCTTCAGCTGGTCGAGTGAACTTTCCAAAGTCCGTGCACTAGCTCTTGCGAGCTCGGCGAATTTTGCTATATAGACAGATATGGATTAGTATCTCCTGCGATGGCAAGAATTGAGCAGTGAATTGTACCATCAGGTGTTCCATCTAGGACAAGCTCGTGCTTTTTCCACTCAGGAACAAAGTTGCAGGGCTTGTGTCTGATGCTGTCTGGTGAGGGATCTGGTGAGGGACATAGAGCCGGGGTTAGCTCGTAGATTCTAGCGTTGAAAGCAGACTCGTCAACGCTTGTCTCTACCAAGCTTTCGGCACATGGAGATCGTACCAAACCCGAAGTATTGCAAGTCGTGGAAAAATGTAAGTTTGCATCTGTCTTCGGCTCGAGCAGCCGAAGAAGCAGGCGTGAGAGGGCTAGCAGCACGGAGAGCACTACCAATTGTGGGATCAATCAAAACATAAGTTTGGCCCGGATCGCCGATAATGATGGGCACCTTCCTGGCAAGCAAATCCCCTTGCGCGTCATAGTTGATGAAATTGGTTGTAACTCGATGGAAATACCGCGCGCTTCGCGTAGTGTGTAAGAGATACAGGGACTGAACAGCGCTGCGAAACATATGGGATCAATTTAACTTAGATTGAAGGCTTGAGTCAGTGAAAAGCGGGCAGCTCCACCAATTGCGGAATACGGTTGGATTAGAAAGGTCAAGGACAGAGGAGAATGTGCTCGGGTTCACTGTTTCGGAACGGAAGATCAGAAGAGGTGGGAAGGTCGGCAGCAGCATTGCTCCACAGGGCTCCCCAGTGGGCCGAGTCACCGGGGG